GGATTCTTTTTTTCCAGTTGAGATTCAATGTAGTCAAGAACCGGTTGGTTAACAGGACCTGATCTCAGAAGACCATGCATAATTTCTTCCGTAAGAAGCCATAACAGTCGAGCTTCTGTCTCTGCTAACGCTTCCTGCTTATCTTTTGTCAATGAGTCAAAACATGTTGGCTTTGATCTCATAGTATCAATCATAGACCTAAAGCAACCATTTGATTAGCCTTTGTCAATCCAATAAGATGAACTCTTCACGGTATCTTACGGTTGAGGAGTCATTGGTGACTCAGTGGCCAAATTTGACATAACATTCCAGTCATGATCACTTTCATCGACTTGTGTCCATGGTAATGTTAGGCATACAATATGTAGAGTGACACGGGTCCCATCGACAGAAGCCACCGGGGATTGATCGTTTCCAATTGCTTCTGGTTGTAAGTTATGCAGAGTACCATCGTTGCTTCTGAATTCATAGGAACTAGGCAAGTGCGTAACAGGTGCAGTATATGGAAGCTTTTCCTCGCCTTGAGATTTTTTGGTAATGGTGCTTTCAAGACGAATCAAGAGCGGGTTATGTGAACATGCCGTCAAATCGAAAAGATTGTTGAGCTTTTCATCATTGGTAGCATTCCGATAGCTAAAGCGAGCAAACGTTGGTCGATAACAATACATGCCGGGTCGACTACCGCTGCCGGTATTTACAGGTTCAAAATAATGACCTAGGATAGACAGGAACCGCTGATGGACATCATCCATTTCATCAGCACTATTAAGAGAGACATGAATTAATTTGAAAACCTTGAGTATCATAATAAAACACTAGTGAGAGTTTACCTGATATCATGATTATTTCTCAGCAATGTTTGGACGTTCACATATCCAGTAACATCAACATCCATATTGGACTCGTGGCATATTTCAAGCAACTTGTCAAAGTCACCTGAGTCAACGGATTTACCTTGTAAGAGGCAGACATAGATAGATCGCACAAAGTTTCGTTCATAGATCTTGACCACGTCCTGAGTCAATCGTAAGGTTCTTTCCGAGAGACCAATGTTATCCAAGTTGTTGTGGAATCTGCCTTCAAACATTTGAGGTCGAAGCGTAGAGCCAAGGCCGTCGTTCTCCTCAATTAAGAAAGGCACTGGTTTGATGGAGATGTTTCCATTGACGATTTCCTCCGAAATCTTGCTACTTGAGCCTTGCTTGATAGTACTCATGAAGCCATCACTCAATGCTTGCAGACGACGGCATTCAAACATAACAACTCCAAGAGATCTGATGTCCCATGTTTCCAAGGCGCCATCCATGGAAGAGGAATCAAGTAATTTCAAGAATCCACTAGCCGTTATATCGCCCTCTGGGTACTGTCGACTAGTACGTCTTTGTTTCTTCATACCCTCAATGGTCGTACTCAGCATTGGGTAGAGGATGACGATGAAAGATTTGGGATCAAAGACCTTAATGAAGCAACGAAGTTGTCGAACATCATGAACGTGTTGTAGTGCTGTATTTCGAATGCTTTGTTCACCCGTCGAAAACATGGACATGGTCAACCTCCTCCAAAAGTCATCGGAAGCACAATGGTTTTTCATCACCACTTCGCCATCAGTGATATGCGCTAGAGCTTGTTCAATAAAATAATGCAGAAGAGCATAATCTTGTCTATTAGGAGAGAGGTCTACAACAGCTTGCTTATAGTCTTCAAGCAGCTGACCAATACGTGGTTTCGTCTCAGAAGATCCATCCCCACTTGACGCCATGTGCGAATAACTTGAGCCAGGGTTATTTTCCAGTTTTGGTGATGCAGATGGGCTAGTCTTCATGATAGGTCTTGCACTTCTTGTCGGAGTGAGACTTTTATGCACATCAGTGCTACTGGTGCTTGGTTTTGGCGACATAGTACCGTCTGGCGTTGCATGGCCACTGCCCAATGATTCGTTTTCATTGAGATTGACGTTGATTGTTGAACTGAAGTGTGGACAGGGGAATGAAGCGATAAGGAAGATACCATGTTGAAGAACTGTGGTCATATCAAATAGGTCAGCAACATTCAGAGTCCTTTCAGAATATGTGCCTGCTGAGGTATCATTCGTCTTCTGGGATTGCTTTGCATCAATGTTTTCCCTTGTTCTTGTTCGACCAACAAAGTGGGCTTTATCAAACGTCACAAGGCGGGATATGATGGACTTGTCAGAAATGAATACTGGTGAATTGATGAGTAGTTCATAGTTGTCCATATGAATAAAGTGAGTCGGTTCAATCCAAAGTTCAGTTGTAATGACACCGGTATTTGGATCTTTTGAGATGAAATATTGCATGGACGATGTACCTGACCCAGAATCGCTGTCAAACTCGGCGTAAAAATGTGCCATATGGTTTTGGGACGAGACGAGATCAAACCTCTAATGAAATTAGGTGGTTGTTAAGAAATTGGAATTGTCCAATCACTGGCTTTTCAAGTATTACTTACCTGGTCTAAGCGGCGTTGGCATATGAATTGAAAAGCTCGCTCAGAAACCTTCCACACATCATTATCCTTCTGAACATTGGCATTCACTTGTTCAATTTGCCACTTCCATGTGATGTGCCGTAAATAATTTGGAACAATGAATTCAGCAGTCAGCCATGTCGGGCGTGCAATAAACCAAGGTTTGTGAGCGACTTGTCGCTGACTGAAGAGTGGTGAGAACTTTGATAGATACTGTGGTATACGATCATCGGAATTGAGATGGCGGGGATCTCGCATCAAAAGGCTGGATAATGGACGTTTGCATATCTTGAGGTATCTCCCATCCGGTTTGGGTAACAAAGCGTCCAACTTGTCAATGCTGTGCGTATAATATCTCCAGGCATGAACATCATTTCGAATCCTTCCAAGCGCATCTTTTAAATCTCGAACAATCCGCCGGCGAGCATAGACGTCGGCATTGAAGAACATGAGTCGTGCAGACAAGCAGTTTCCATTTTCTCGCCTCAGGCGTAACTCTACAAAACTAACCACTTGCTGCAGATTCGTAAAATGCATATTTTCACCTTGGCTTCGATTCCAATCATAAGAAGCCAGCTCTAGATGATCGTCCCCAGCATGAAATGGATTTTTCTTCGTCTTTTGCAGGACTTTTATGAACACCTCATCGTCATCGCTGATAAATGTCATCCAATGCTGTTCCAAGTAATCCTTGATTTGAGCAGCCGTTTGACGAATGTTTTCTTCAAAGCGATCAATGTATTCTTCGTAAGACATTGCAAATTTAAGGGAGCTGAAAGGTCTCAAATGAGCAATAAGGATGTCTATACATGCTGTGTCGTAACAGCTGAACATCAACGTACGGATATCTAGGCCGTTAACATGATTCCAGAAATCCTTGAACGCTTCCACATAACTATCAAATACTTTTTGATTTTGTTCCTTCTTGGACACCGGCATTTCACTTTCATCATCACTGACAGGCTTGGATCCAGCCAAGTAGCGCGCGTTGTGCCCGATGATGCTCTTCAGAACCTCGTCGACACGGTAAATTTCAGACAGGAATTTCTTGAGCTTGTATACCTTTGAGGATAGTGGCGTAGCTGCATAATCGCCAACACGGTCTTCGCCTAGTACGAGACCCATCATTTGAGCGCGACGTTGTAACGCATCCCAATTTTGAAGTGTGTGTGCAAAAACACCATATGCACGAATAAAGATCTCCGCTTTGGGAGCTTTAGACCGAGCAAAAATACCACCGTGTAGTACACCAAGGCCACCACCTCCAGTCAAGCCAGTTGATTCTACTTGCGCGATATAGGCTGGGAACCATGATGCCCGTATTCGATATTCTACAGTGATGTTGGGTTGCCACTGCATGGATAATACTAGTTGAATTCTCTCCTTACGCAAGGCAAACTCCCCTGACTTCGTACTATGATCTTCAACAGTGAGCGATTGCAAACCAAAACCTTGCCGAACTCTGGCAGCAATGACGTGGGAGAAGTCAGATGGTAGGGAATACTCTTGATATTTAAGCAAATTGTTTTCGATGGGCACAGGTACAGAACTTGGATCCCAAGGAAAGTTTAGGCGATGCTGATCGTCGTTATTATCTTCTACCGACAGTATCTTTGAATCCTTTCGTTGTAGTCCAAGGCATATATCTCGTATGAGGAGCATGCGATGGTACATGTTGGGGGGTTGAATTAAACTGTCCCATGGCATACCATCTTTTTCTCCAGCAGCTTCGTTCGGGTCTAAATCTAAGCATTCTTCAGCGTACATAAAGTGACCAAGAGTTGCAGTGGCTAGAAATCGCAATATTTCATTGTCTGCAACCAAGCCAAACGTGCATCCTGGCGAAAAACCACGGCTACCTCCAAGTTGGATGACACTACAGTTAACATCATCTCTGCGGAGCTGGCGGATAATAGCTTCATCTTGAATGTTGCTTTTGATAACGCCGTCAGTGATCAACACAAACCCAGGGCGCGCGGTTGGAGGTTGTAAGCCTAAGGCAAACAAGCCAGCATGTAATAAGTAGCTCAAGTTGCCACCTGTCTTGCCTACACCCCATACCTCTTGAGCTTGCTGCTTCTGAAATTGATGCTTGGAAGTGACAGTAGGAAGTGGAGACGGAGGAGGCTTGACAGTATTGGTTGAAACTGAACGCGTGTGCTTTGTACTAATCCTAATAGGAGGCTTGGTTGATGCTCCTCTTAAAGAAACGCGTGAAGAACTTCGTGTGCGTTTTCCTCTTAAAGATTTCTTTCGCTCTGGGCCAGATTGTTGAATATTCGATCGCCCGTTCGGATTAAGCGAGTGACCTTCATCGTATTCTCCACCTCCACTGCCTTCTTCTCGCTCTTCTTCTCTTTCTCCTCTAACATCCAAAGCGTAACCCATTTTTTCTCGCCTCTTAAGAAGCGATTTTCGAAAGGTGATCAGATCATTCTGAAAGTTATCGATCCCTTCCTTGAGCCTTTCCAGCACTTTAGACGAATTTTGGGAGTTCAGGATGACGTTTTGCAATAACACGCGCAATGTTGGGTATTCTTCTAGGATGGGTATGACATTGAGATTAGAGGCAAACTGCGAACACTCGGCAAGAACTGTAACATGTATGACCGGCTCGATCTGCAGGCATCAAATCATGATTAGTTACTGAAGTATTGGTGTCCTGCAGCACAGATACGTACCAAAGCGCCGAGAGCCTTGTAAGGATTATCAAAGCCATAAGGCTTTACAAGACCAGACAAACATTTGGTCAACCTTTTTCCATCCGTTCACACGAAGTGCTTAGTACATATCGTCATTGTGGGGGAGGATGTCAACTCAGCTGTACTTACGTTTCAAAAGCATCTTCTATGAGCAATCGTCCAGTCAAGCCGTCCACAGTGGCCAAACTGGAGCTCAAATCAATCATAAATACAAAACGGTATTCTCGTGAAATTGCCAAAACATTTGTCTGGGGTGTGACGAGGTATTTCTTTGTAATCTTCGTTGATGGTTTGGAAAGGAGTTCGCCAGCGTTGGTCGGAGTTGGCGATCGAACTTGTGGAGAGGTCTGCGAGCCATATTCGTTGGAAGGATGCCAAAGGCCGTTGGATGGTTGAACTGGCGTAGTGGGTGTCATTTGTTGTTGCGGCCGTGCAACCTGCCACATGGACCTTCGACTGCTAGATAGATACAAAACATCCACGCTATCGTATTCTTGCACCCCCAATGGCTGAAACATATGTCTCAATAGCCACTGCGAGGGGTCATTACGAGTAAACAAGTCGCTATTTTTCGTTACCACCAATGCCACCCTCGCTTCTGCAAACTGTTCCATACGAGACGTGAGAATTTTTATCACTAGCAATCAAACCGCATGCCATGGACATTACCTTCGGAACAACGATCGGTTCCTGTTTTGCATGTGAAACTACAGTCCCTGAGATCTCGGATTCTTCAGATTTTTCTTTCATATCTTCTGTGCTCTGAGCACGAGATTGAGTAGCTATATTATCGATTTCAGTGCTTATGGTAGTAAGGTTTGCATTGGTTAATTTGGGGTATGGCATTGGGGAGTTCTGCGGAGATTGTGGGCTCTACCTTTCCTCCATCTGCAACACCAGCCAGGCAAAACAAAAGTGTAGGGTATCTCAACGTGGTAAAACGTGAGCTGGTATTAATGATTCCAAAAAGAATTGGTAAGTTCGATTTCTCGACTGATTTTTGTTGTAGGCGGTGGACAAACAGCCGACGGTGTGACAAAGACCACCGTATATTTTGTTTTTTAAGAAAAAATCAAACAAGTGTATGACCAAACGCTATTCGCTGCGCTGGCTTATTTAAAACAGTAATACTATTATCTACAATTTAGCCAAAGTTGATGCCCTGTGCCAGTGGCAATTGGCCAGAATAGTTGATGGTACAGGTACCGCGACGGCAGTATTGCTTCCAACTGTCGCTACCACTTTCGCGACCTCCGCCAGTCTCTTTTTCACCGCCAAAGGCACCTCCAATTTCGGCTCCGTTGGTCGGGATGTTAACATTGATAATGCCACAGTCTGAGCCTGCAGGACCAATCCACTTGAAGATTTTGGCAGGATCAGATGTAAATACCGAGCTGGAGAGACCTTGAGCTACATTGTTATTCATATGAATAGCTTCGTCGAAAGTCTGTAAACATGACAGGCATAATGAGTTAGGGAGAAACATTAAAATAATATGCCATTGACAAAGCTTTTGCTTACCTTGAATTTCATGGTATGTAAAATGGGGACGAAAACTTCGTTTTTGATGACGTCCATATCTGGAGAAACCTTGGTAAGAGTAGGCATGACGAAGTTACCTTTAGCAAGGTCTCCTGTCTTTATAACTTCTCCTCCACATAAGATTTCTCCGCCTTGAGCCTTGATATCCTTCAATGCCTTTTCATAGGCCTCTACTGCAGATTTGGTATGAAGAGGTCCGCAAAGGACGCCTTGATCCAAAGGATCACCGACCTTCACCTGCTTGTAAGCTTCCTGCAGCTTTCCTACAAGAGTATCGTAGACGGATTCGTGGACCATCAAACGTCGGGTAGTGGTACATCTTTGACCGGCTGTACCGACAGCGGCAAACAAGATAGCTCTGCTGGCGAGCTCAATATCAGCATCTTCAGTCACAATGATAGCGTTATTTCCTCCAAGTTCTAAGATATGCTTTCCAAAGCGTTCCTGAACGGCAACGCCAACCTTTCTTCCGACCGCAGTGGATCCAGTGAATGAGATAAGGTTAGCTCGCTTGTCAGTAACAAGCTTGTTACCAACGTCACTACCGCCAGTGACCAAGGAACACAAGGAGGTTGGAAGATTTTGTTCGCGTAGCACCTTTTCCAGCAGTTTGGTAATGGCAATGGAACAAAGTGGAGTAGTCGGACTTGGTTTCCAGAGAACACCGTTACCAGTGACCAGCGCGATAGCTGAGTTCCATCCATAGACAGCCACTTGATAACAAAAAATGTCAGCGTGCATCATGACAGCGTATTCATTTCATTTATATTCAATTGGTACCTGGGAAGTTGAAGGCACTGATAACACCGGTCACACCAAGTGGGTTCCAGGTCTCAATCATAGCATGGCCAGGGCGCTCACTAGGAATGAAGGATCCACTCATGCTACGTGAAAGGCCAAGAGCGTAGTCCAGAACATCAACGTACTCCTGGACTTCACCGACACCTTCAGGCAAGATTTTACCCATCTCGAGGGCTACGAGTTTTCCAAGTGGATGGAGATTGGCAGCCAAAGCGTTTCGCATCGCCAGCAAGACTTGACCGCGTTGCGGGATAGTGTACTGTTCGCCTGAGAATTAGCCCAGCTATTATTATTTTCAAATTTTATACATACACGACATACCTCTCTCCATAACTTCTGTGCTTCCACTACTCTAGCAAGAGCTGTATCCATATCTTGAACCGAACCCTAACAAAGCACAAAACATTAGCAAAGTTCTATTTAAATAAAAACCAGGGCAAGCTGTGCTGTGAATCTTACCGTGGTGACTTCAGCAATCACTTCGTTGTTAACGGGATTAACAGAGTGCATTACAGAACCAGAACCCTTCCACTCTCCATCGAAGACGCCCTTGTTCTGCTTGTGGATGCCAAGGGCCTCCAAGGTATCCTTATGCTTGTCATAAGTGGAAAGCAGGCGAATAGAAGCTGCTGGGATAGTCTTTGAAGCGCTCAATGCTGAACGAGATGCAGCTAGTATGGAAGAACCAGTAAGAATTCTAGAAGCCATTTTGATAACAAAGTTAACAAGCAACAAGAGGTGCAAGTGGTATTTTATATCGTCTTTGATTTTTCACGGAGGCGTGTCAAATGGCCCACATAACAAGTCACGGCGTGAGAAAGTTCGACACCAATTTGCCATTCTAACAGCGGACTTTATAACAATTTGAACTTCAATGAGTCACTGCTGGAGTTACACTTGCCTGTCGCAAGAGCTCTACACGCCTCAGTATTTTTAGAAAGGTACTCTGAAATATGAGCGCTGGTATAGCTCAGAAGAAGCTTTAGAAAAAAGTACGCTGTTGGTGTTACAATCGCAACGAAACACCAAAGATTGCCAGTATTTTAAACGCAATGGAGATAAGCCTGATACAGCCAACAACGCTGCCAAGAGTGTATATCTTGACAGGAGCTACCTACGTATGCACAGGTACCATTATGGTAGTAACATCTCTAGAGCGCACATGAATGAAGTGAACGAGAGTCTACAATGACAGTGTCATCCTAGAAAAGCACGATGTAGACGATGTATCAGAGATTGCGTAAAAAACGACAGAGCTTCCTTCACTTCTTATGTTTGATCTGAGCTTGTGAGCAAATTCTGGCGGTCGGTAAAAGTAATATTAAGCGCCACATGTCTCTGTTAAAAGTGATTTTGGCAGCCAGATGCTTTAGCAGCCTTACATGGGAAGTGATTTTTTTGCGGGTTTGCTTTTTCTTTTGCGTATTTGCTCAAAATAAGTATGGCAACAAATCGATTGCTTGATTCCTCGCCTTGTCAAGTTAGAATGGAGTTGTGCGTTTGTGCCTTAGCATCTTCCTCTATACAAAATGAAGTCTCTAACTAAAGAAGTACAGACATAGACATTGGATGTCACGGCATACGAAAACATCTTGGTAGGCTCTTTTCGCCTTAGTGTTCACACCATAGTCACTAGCATTGAAGTCAAATCGGGACAAACGATCAGTTTTACGAGCATGTCACAAAAAATAGCACTTTATTCCTCGGGCTCCTTTCAAGCACTCAAACAGAAAAAAAAACTTATATAGAATGGTATGAACTGGAAATAAGATAAAGAAATCACCCTGCTATGGGAGACCAAAGTCTTAAGGGGAGTTATTGTGGTGCGCTTTCAGCTAACACATCATCATATGCTCATGTTAGCTTCTCAATTTTCATCACATTTGATCTCACAGCACCCAAATGTCGACTTACCAGGCAAGATACCTTGCTTGATAAGCTGATCAGGCTGAGGTCTTTCTTGCATCTTGTGCTCAAGAGCGTTTTGCAATCTGCTCCTCTGCAATTCAGCCTGCTGAGCTTGAATTGCAGGAGCAGCAGTGGTATCTGTCAAAGACAATAGAAGAAAAACGCTAAGTACTACAGCAAACAATGCCCTCAATATCTAACACATACTCTTCAAAATATTGTGCTCCACTAGATCCTCCTTCTTGGGTCTTGCCTCGATCTTGTGACGGAGTGAGTCCTCAATCTGCCTCTTTGCCAGTTCTTCGCGGTGCTGTTGAAGAGAAGGTGCGATCTTGGGGTCTGGTCACGACTTGCATAAGTATATGGCAACTTTCAAGACACGAAAAAGTCCAATAGTTACCTTTTAAAATGTTCTTCTCCACTAGCTCTTGTTGATCAGGGCGGTGGGAAAGAAAAGCGTCCAACTTTTCAGCGGCAGGGGAGGTTACAGGGCTCTTAGCTACGCGTAAGTTCAAGTTGTATAAAAGCACATTAGTTCAGGAAAGGAGGCATTCCAGTGCAAATGTATTAAAAGGGAGACTCAACTCATTATGTTTCAATTCAGAAGCAAGCAGAATGGGCGGCTTCCTGGCCCTCCTTCTGTGAGGTCATGCGTTGCCCGTCCATTTTAGGACAAATGTTAGGCAATACCAAATTTACCAGCAGACGGCAAACCCCAAGGTTATTCTAGCTATCTTAACGACAAAGTCTTTCATATTACTTTGAAGCATGGCAGACCTGTAGGGACTTTGGTGAATTCGCGGTTCGTTTGAGAATAACTCGTTAGATACGGTATTCCCACGTTCATGTACCATTTCAGGCACCAAAAAGTGATAGAACAATACGCAAAAGTATTGGCGTAGCATGCGCTGTATCAAAATTTTGTCCTCTTCCTCGCATTTGACATTGATTTATGTGGGTTAACACAGCGCAATGTCACAGATGTTGACGATCCATTAGTATAAAAATCGGTATGTATTGTGTTTTCATTTACAGTGACAGTCTCTCTAACTATGACTTCTGCTTGTTATTTTTACCACTCCGCAACGCTACCATCTTCGTGTCTCCAGAAGGGATTACGCCACTTGTGACCCTCCTTAGCTCCTTGGCGGATTGCTTCCTCGTCAATCTCAATACCAAGACCAGGACCAGTAGGGATTTGGACGAAACCATCCTCATAATCGAGCACCGTCTTGTTCTTCACATACGTCAAAAGATCAGCTCCTTGGTTATAGTGAATTCTCTGACTTTGCTCCTGAATAACGGCGTTGTATGAGGTAGCATCAACCTGCAAGCAGGAAGCTAGTGCAATAGGTCCAAGGGGACAATGTGGTGCAAGCGCAACATCGTAGGCCTCTGCCATGGATGCAATCTTTTTACACTCGGTGATACCACCAGCATGGGACAAATCAGGCTGAATGATATCAACATAGCCGTCATGCAGGATATCCTTGAAATCCCATCGTGAGTATAACCGTTCACCAGTGGCAATAGGAATGCAGGTGTTTCTTGCCACATCCTTGAAGGACTCTTTATGGTCAATCAAAACTGGTTCTTCAATGAACATGGGGTTATATTCTTCCAGTCGCTTGACGAGTTGCTGAGAGGCAAAGGAGACTGTCAGCTATTCATGTCCTGCTGAACAAACAATGAAACTATATGACGACTTCTTACCTTGGCCATAGGCTTGTGAACTCTTCCGTGGAAATCAATACCGATACCAAAGTCACTACCACAAGCTTCTCGGATGGCAGCCACACGCTCGAGGACACGCTCGACTTTACCAAATGTATCAATGTATTGACACTCGTCGGTGGCATTCATCTTGATAGCCTTGAAACCATCACGCTGAGCAGCTAGAGCCTGAGCACCAACGTCATTGGGACGATCTCCACCAATCCACTGATACACCTTGATCTTATCGCGGACTCTTCCTCCCATCAACTCATGAACAGGGACATTGTAGTATTTGCCCTTAATATCCCAGAGTGCTTGATCTAGTGAAGACCATACGTTAAAACCTAAGGACCGTCTTGATACTCTCCATAATTCAGCACCCCATGCTTACCTATACCAGCGATAGCGCTCATGGCAATAGCTCCGCCTCTATAGAAACCTGAACGATGCATCACCTATGGCATACATAAGTTAACTATACGGCAAAAAGAGAGTGGCTAACTTGAGATAACTTACATTCCAATGATCTTCGATCAACATAGGATCTTTTCCGATCAAGTATTCCTTATGAGTCTCGACGACGGCTACAACAGCTTCAGCTCTACCTTCCACAACAGGCTCACCCCAGCCGACAATACCGGAATCGGTGGTGATTTTGCAGAAGCACCAGCGAGGAGGGACGATGAAGGTCTCGATATTTGTGATTTTCATATTAGAAGAAAAGAAATAGTAAGTATCACATCTCCGAATAGTGTATGGTCTCTTTTATAGTCTGTTGCTGGTAATAAAAAGGTTTGCGGTTCTTGCGTGGAGAAAGTTCAGCGTTTGACATTTTGAACAAAAAAAAATGTCCTTAGTGGCGGACTCTAAAATTACGCAACGGTATTAAAGTTTCTACCACCCGGCCCACCAGTTTACCGACAGAAAGCAGCGGCCCTCCCGCAACTGGACGAAACGACATGCTAGCAGAATGTATTTATTTTTGCAGGATGTGTTGGTTGATGATTTTCATTAAATTTCGGTTTTGATATTGTCCTACTGGACGTTTTAGTCGCCCACATGGTCGTATTCCAACCGCTTGAGTGGACCAATCTCTAGCGGGATAACTGCACTGCCCTTCATTCATAAGTGAAACTTCTGCGTACCTGTACTACCAGCTACTGCATTGCTTAACCCATCATGCGCTTCCAGTATGTTGAGATTGGGCTCTCATCCCAGTCATAAAAAAGATGTGTACTAACGCTCACTAACAGCCAAAATGCCGCCTACCTGGTATGCTGTTGTATGCAACGGGACTAGATCGTCGAAGTCTGAGTTGCTATTGTTCCTACGAAGATCCCAGCACACGTTTGTTTATGTTTGGGGTTAAGTTCGAGCATGTTGGGAGGCGTTGTAGCGTTAATTTCAACATTGGAAACTTCTTCCTCTTGACAAGTCCATCTCTCTTCGTCAATTATTATAGCGCTCTGGCTTTAAGAACTTCTCGGCTTTTGAGTTAACGTTTCGGATTCAGCGGTATTAGTATCGGTATACGAAATACCACAGATAAAACCATTAGATCAAATTATGCGTAGGTAAGCAGTTCCATCTCCTATGTCTGTAGGCCGCGGGATGTCAGCTCAGCTTGCCTGGCATAGTCTTTCTAGTCACTCCGCTGTTTCTTACTCCAATTCTTCCGCATGAAAGATGCCATCTTGCAGCCATTGGATATTGAATCAGTAATGCCTGCCATAGCGTATAGTCGTATAATAGAAATGACAGGGTACAGAATATGGTAATGTAGGAGTATGTGTTGGTTTGAAGGCTTCGAGATCTCAACGAGATTGCCTCTGCCCTGAAAGTCAAATGAGGGCTCCAATGTAGGCATCAGCTTAAGCGGAGTCAAGAGAAAACATTTTTGGGAAGGAGTGCTACAGTTATAACCTAAATGGATGATGTTATTATTTACCCACTGAGCGTAGCATCTCGACATGACACTGAATTAGGAGTGCTATGTAGCATATTAGTGATCTTGGGATAGCGCTCAATAAAAATAATTTGATCTTGATATCAAGGGTTGAAGCAGGTGAACGAACGCCTTGGAGACAAGATTGGTGCATTCGTTGTCTCAGGAACAAAAATATTAAAACCGCCTGGCTATCTGGGAAAGATTTGCCATTTGGCTGAATAAGCTTGCTCGCTTAAGACTGCTGTCAGCTGAGAACATGGATAAATCTTTAGCTAGAGTTTTTCTCACCATTTTACAGCCATGGGATGGTAAACACCCTCTTAATCTATCAGGAAAGCATTAGAGCACCGGATTGAAATCTACGACATGACTATAATGGCTCTGTCCTTCTCTATCTACCATGGATTCCATGCCTAGTACGGCAGTATATAATCCCAATCTTTTAAACTTTGAGCTGATAACAACCCTTCTGACCTGCTGTGTGCCGAATTCGGCGGTGGCCAAAGTGGTACCGTCGCTCTACTTGCGCAGCGTGAAAAAAAATAAACCTTCTCGAAAAAATGTGCCTCTTTGTGCCTCCGGGACCATGGATCAAATACAGGTACGTGTTTATTACATAGGAAATCAAAAATTAACAAAAACATTTTATAGGCTACATGATAACGCAGTTATCCTTCACTGGCTCTCCATTGGCTGTGACCTGTCGAGGTGCTGAGAACGTTCGACCTGATTGCACGTATACTGGCGGTGGAGGTTTCTTCTCCTCTTCTTCCTCGCCTCCGCCAGCACTACCTCCTCCTCCTCCTGCACTTCCTCCATCTCCTCCTCCAGCACTTCCTGGGGGTGGTGGCGGTAGACTTCCTTCGCCTGGTGGACCACCTGGACCACCTGAGTAAAAGTAAAAGTGGTATTGAGGCGGCAATACGGGCATTGCCGGGGCTGGCGGCGGCGGCGGTTCAGGCGGCGGCATGCTGGGGTGGTATATCTAAGACAAGATGATTGCTGAAGAAAAAAGAGATAGAAAGAAAAGAGAGACGTGGCCACAAGAATTCATGCTGAAGCTCTCGTACAAATTATCTGTATTATAAAAAAAGTCTGGGCCAAAAAAAATCAAAAGGTTGAGCAAAAACATCCGTACAAATTTGGAAGTATTGCCAATGGAGTGGAGAAAGTGGATTGACTTGGTACGGCTCAACAACAACGCATGGTACTGCAAAAATAAAAATAAAAAGGTAACTGAATAGCATAATCTACATAATATTACATCGGAAATCGCCCACTGCTTGACCTTCTCGTCCTCGCGGATTACCAGCACTCGGCTTAGCAACCACTCGCGCAGGCACCTTTGCCTTTTTGGTAGCGGCCGCAGCTGTTGTTGTTTTTGTCTTCTTGGCTTTGGGCTGTCTAGGACTCCAGAAACTAGATGGCTGTGATGCGGGTGTTATAGGCGTTGCAGCAGCCACTGTGGACGATACCATCTCTGGAGAGTTATAGGCTGGCGGCGGAGTAGCAGTGCTACTACCGTGTTGGCTCATTTGCTGTTGCTGTTGTTGTACATAAGCCTGTACAGCAATTTGTCGCAGAAAGTCATTAACGTCAACGCCTTGAATGTGTTGTATATGCTGAGGTTGCTGACTCATTTTATACCATTATCTAGCTGGATGCAAAGTTTGTACAATATAGGTGGATCGAAAAAAAAAGAGGAAAGTAGATGAAAAAGAGAAAATGACTGCACGACGGTTGTCCAACATGTAATTTTCAGTGCGGTTGTTATGGTGTTACCATCTTTGGCATTGTCAAACCCAACATTAAAAATGATATGAAATTAGTATGGAGGATGCATTCAGCTGTTTTTTTATTGTGTGGAAATGATTTTAGATGAAGAAGGGGAATGATCAACATGTTGTCAGTTGATGAGAATGGTGCATTTTACATTTTGGTTTTCATTTTTTCACTCTGGTGCCTCGCCTGAAGCATGGTTGCCTTCGGGTGACTCGATTCCACCAGCCGCAGCAAAGTGGTGGTCTTTGACATTAGAGGATAACCTTTCATCATCGTCCAGCGTGCTGAAATTGACAACGACGGTATCATGGGGTTGTTTTCCATCCAATGTTCTTTCATCGGGGTCATTACTCTGCAATCGGATTCGGGGACTAGAAGCTGGCTTTACTTTGTTATCGTTGCTTGTGACTGACAGTAAACTGCGGACCTCTTCCAAACTGGCGCGTCTTAGGTCCTGGGCCGTCATGTCTGTTCCCTTAACGTTGTGGAATGGATGGTTGCGAGGAGAGAAAATCCACTCATCCACGGACGGTGGTGGTTTAGATGTAAGACTGTCCAGTTCGTGGACGATGACACGACAAAAGTCATCAAGGGGAAGATCATTGGCATCCATGCCTAAGTTCAATAAAAATATACATTAGCTCGCCGGCATGACATAAAACACAAAAGTCAGTACACATGAAACTCACCGAAAGGCTATATAAATGGAGATTCAGCAAATGCTCTATTAGTCAAAGTTGGCATTGAAACTCACATGACACCATCCCAATGTTTACTCACGTTTTCAATTTCCTTGCCAATTGCCTCAATACCTAACAGTGTAAACGATGCAATAGCTTGAACGATAATGGTGACATAGCCGAATGAGGCGACCAACTGGAAGGGAAGAGCCAAAATATACACCCAAATGGTTTGTGAAAGATGGATTGAGTAAGCAGCCGGAATAGGGGTACGGAGAATGCGCTCGAAGCCTGTCAGACATTCCACAAGACTGTTTAGGGCATTCATAGTAGCGGTGGTAGACGGAACATCCAACAAATCCTTTTGACGTTGAGAGTTGATATAGCTACTAAGATACAATGAGATCTCCAACGGAATGTTGTTGCTACCACGAAATTTGGCGATATCAGCGCTGTCCAATACAGCTTCCGGTGAATAGGACAGATCGCTGCTTGCCTTTGGCTTGGTATGGAAAAATGATTTTCGGTGTCGCACGCTACCGTTTGTACCTGCAACGGGATTCAACCAGCGTTTCCACTTGTCAGGCTTATTGATTTGATCTTCGTACGATTCGTTGGACGAGGGCATAGTGTATTTTGGAATATGAGCCACCAGGAACTTGAGATCATCGTAGTCATGATTGTACTCTTGTCGGAGATAATGCTTGGTAGCAACGGCAAAGGCAGCCAGCAAATTGATAGCTGTCTTCTTGGCTAATATATCCGCTACAGTCGGTTCCTTACCGTGAATCCATATGACTCGGGCCATGTTCCGAACGCTGACCACAAGCTGAGACCAAAGCCTTCTGCCTTCCCAAAATCGGTCATAGGCTGTGTTGGTACGGAAGACAAGGATCAAAGATGTAACCATGGATAAGATAGTGATCAATGTAGTTGTAAAGCCTATCACATGCACTCCTACACTCACATAGAGTGCAGATATGAGAGCAGACCATGCTACCGATGTCAACCAGTAAGGAAAGATAGCAGTGATGATTGAACCTCTCCATCGAAAGAGATCGTATACGTGAGACGCATAAGGATCCACCTCCTTGTTCATGGGTGGCGTTGCCATGATGTTGAAAAAGTTGAGAGAGGGGGGCGAAAGGAGGAGTGCCGTAAAACGACAAAGTCGAAGATATTTATCAGTTTTGGCCTTGACAAATATTTTTTTTTTATGAGGTGCCTGGATGCGCCTACTTGCCCTAAATAGATGGCAATTTGCAGTTGAAGCGGAGAGGATGTCAACAGAACCACAAGCCTGCAACGATAATGCTTATGTGAAATATTGCGCCTTACCCCATCAATGCTGTACCTGGGAATCCATTGGCTTATTTCAGACTATCTGAACCAGTGTAGGCAAGTGGATTTATAGGGGCCTCGTCTTTCGAGGAGACCGTATGATCATAAAATCATAGGATGTGGCGTCCTTGTTTTCCAACTTCATTGGAACGAGCCGCATCAGCACAAGGAAGCATGCATGATCACACAATTTTTCTATTTCTATCAAATTTTTGTAAAAATGTAACCGAAGTCAACTACAGCTTATATGAAAACGCATATTATATTAATAGATCTTCCAAATAGTCATCCGAGAGCGTGTGTTTGTGGTTTTTTGATGTAGACCGTACAGACAACGTAGCGCTACCCAACATCTCTCCCAAGTGTTCAGATGAGCTCGAGAGGGGTAGCCATGTTGTTCACGAAGTTTTTTTCCGATACCACTGTACACTTGGCATGCGGCCCAGACTCCTCTGCGAGCTTCCATTGGTAGGAGGTCGATCCCCCGACTACCGCTGACTGCTAATTTGTCGGCCAAAGCTAAAATCCGCAATGCATATCTTCTTAGGTTCCCATCAGAGATATGACGAGCTTTGCCATGATTGAGTAAATCCAGTTCCATCATTGGGTCTTGCAGATAGGTTAGGGGAATATAGCATCTTCCGAGCGTTTGAGAGTCGGTAACGATGTCTCTTGCGATATTGACAAGCTGCAAAACCTGAAAAATGCAACGTAGTGGTTAATCTTGGTATTCCTGCGATATTGCCTTTTTTTACTGTGAAGATCTGCACATCGTATTTAATCGCTGATCTTTTTGCCCCCCTTACCTGACCCATTTCTCTGGCTCTCTTGATTATCCACTCCGACCGGTATTCACCCAGCCTCCAATTGCCGCGCCCAGTCCGGTACATGATAACTGCGGTGCATAGGTCGCCTACGCTACTTGCCACATTGTTGCAGTAACGAAGTAAATCTTCTTGGTTTTCCACAGTACGGCCCTTAATATCCCAGGTGTAGCCATCGATCAGCTCATCAAAAGGTTTTCGGGGTAGATAATGCACCATGCGACTGACAGCTCGGAACATAGCCAAGACGTCACCGGGTAAATGAGCATATTTGTCCCACTCAATATAGGAAGGAAGCGGGGAGCTGAGGCCATAATGCGGTTGACTGAAAAGCGTATCAATGAACTCAATGAGAAACGTCAACCTCTCCTGCCGATCCGAGAGACTGCCTTCACCGTCTGCAATCTCGTCGGTGGCTCTACAGAACCCATATAGGATACAAAGGTCTTGGCGAACATCGAATGAAAAGGCGGCGGATGCAGTAGTGAACGACTTGGACGCTTGAGAGAGAACTTGCAAGCTGGACTTCAAATCTTGTATGGGTTGAAGGGGCAACTCGTTGTCTTGGTAAGTGAAGCAGGTCAGCAAAGCCGATAGATAGGTCAGAGAGAAGGTATTTTGGACGTCCATTTGTACGTCTGCGTCCTTGGAGTAGAGGTATGGGAAGGTATGAATGATAGCATTCGTACGATCGATAGCACAGCAGGCAAAGACAATCACAGTATTGACCAATAAAAAGAATCCAAACTCCTCCAATGGCAGATCGGGAACCACGAAAATTTCAGTGGACGTTTTCTCGTTTATGTGCCACACGCCAGCCCGCAGCGCGACAATGTCCACAATGCAAAGAAGTGCAGTAGGAACCATAACGGATACCATCACAGCCTTGAAACGTCGAGCAATGTATAGACCTGAGCCATACCAAAGGACTGCTAACACCGGCAGAGTATAAAATAGGATGCAGCAACCATAAAAGAAGGGAGTGTTTGGTATAGCCCAAAACTGTGAAAAAATTTATCAGACGAACAATGCAATTTAAGAAATATCCCCAATTGACCCTATTCCCAACACTTACCCATGAAACTATGCCAAGTCCCATTAATCCAAAAAACGGCACATATCTCGATAGATCACAAGTCAACTTGCTGGTAGAAGGATTGATAGATAACACAGGTAACTGCCATCGCATCACCAGTGATGTAAAGTGGACAGTTATCACAGTCATGATGATAAAGAACATGTACTCTTCCAAAGGCACATATCCAATAACCGCTATAACGCAAGTAGGGCAATACCACCAAGCATTGTGATAGACAATATAGTTATCCCATATCGACGCAGTTGTCATTGCGACCATGCACAGAAACAAAAGCTTGAAGTTGGTTAACGTAGAGGTAAAGGGCTTGTGAACGAGCATGAGGATCGCCAGTAGAGGCAAAGTAAAGTACAGATGAACTTCCATGTACGTGAGCATAGCGGTTGAACTTGGTACTTGGATGAGAAGGAAAGCAACCTGTATGTGAAGCGAGATGGACGCCGTGATTTCTTTTTTCCTTTTTTTTTTTAGGGACATGTATTTCATGATAGTTGCCCGATTTGTTAGGTGGAAAGCGGCCAACCTGACTTTCGATAGTAGGATGGTGTCAGTTATGTGCGGGTGGCTATCGGCAAGAAGCGGTATGACCGATTTTGAACTTTCGCAATTCCTAACATGTCCTGTGCGCTAGGTCAGCCACGAGATATGCATCGAGAAAAGTGCCACAAATTTCGATGAATTATCTCTGTCGTACATAAAAAATTTTGCCTTCGTAATTATTTTTTTTCACCATTTGACACTACCATGCCCACAATGATAGTATTAGCTTGTTCATTGCACTTTTAATACAGATAGGCTCGGCCGAGAGATAGGGGGCGGCATCATGAGGGGATTTTTGGGCGTTCTTTAGAACATTACACCAATTTTATTTTTTTTCCCTTGCACCAGGTCCAACAATCGATTGACCAAGTTTGGAACGAGTGAGTAACCCTCCCATCGCCACCAAAAATTTTGTCATGCTGCATTGTTTCCTTTTACTAAAGTGCTAAAGGAGCTGAACGAAATGGCGATCCGTATTTCCGCGATGTGACTTGGGTCTATGTCTCATTCTGATATAAAAGCCATTTTCAACGGATCAACTGCTGCTCCTTCACATTTCTCCTGGTTCCTTCCCAATTGTAGCGATCATGACGTCTCAAAAACACATTGTCATTATTGGTGCAGGCGTAGGCGGAACTGCCACTGCTGCAAGGCTTGCTAAACAAGGCTTTCGAGTCACTGTAGTTGAAAAAAACGATTTCTCTGGCGGTCGTTGCTCATTAATACACCACGAAGGTCACCGCTTTGACCAAGGCCCATCTCTGTATTTGATGCCCAAGATCTTCAAAGAAGCCTTCGCTGATCTCGATGAAAAGATTGAAGACCATATTGATCTACTAAAGTGCGAAAACAACTACAAGGTCCACTTTTATGACGGCGATTCTATCCACCTGACGTCCGATCTTGTCCGCATGAAGAACGAGATCGAGCGATACGAAGGCGAAGGGGAAAAACCGTTTCTCAATTATCTCAAGTTCTTATCTGAATCCCATATACATTATGAAAGGTCCCTTATTATGGCATTAAAGCGCAATTTTGAAGCTTGGTACGAAATGTTCCAGCCCAAGTACGCTCCTGAGGTTTTCCATCTTCATCTTTTCCACAAGGTTTATTCAAGAGCTGCAAAATACTTTAAAAGTAAGAAAATGAGGATGGCATTTACGTTTCAGAGCATGTATATGGGGTAAGCAAAAAAAAAAAAAGCACCGTTTAATACGTGAATGTGCATGATATGACAGGGTCGTTGTTCTAATACACAATATCTCCAATATAGAATGTCACCTTTCGATGCTCCGGCTACATACAATCTACTTCAATATACTGAATTTGCCGAAGGTATCTGGTACCCACGTGGAGGTTTCAACAAGGTCGTTCAAAGCTTAGAACAAATCGCCACTCAAAAATATGGTGCCAGCTTCATATATAACGCTCCAGTGTCCAAGATAAATGTCGATTTACAATCAAAGATCACGACAGGTGTTACCTTGGAAAATGGCGAGATCATTCAAGCCGATGCTGTGGTTTGTAATGCTGACCTAATCTATGCCTACAACCACCTTTTACCTCCTTGTTCTTGGTCAAAGCGTGTGGGAGAATCCAAACTCACATCGTCCTCTATATCTTTCTACTGGTCAATGGATCGAATTATCCCGCAATTGGATGTGCATAATATATTCTTGGCCAATGCCTATCAAGAGAGCTTTGATGAGATCTTTAAGCACCACAGTCTACCCTCCGAGCCATCTTTCTATGTGAATGTCCCAAGTCGTATAGACCCTTCGGCCGCTCCAGAAGGAAAGGATTCTGTCATTGTATTAGTACCCATAGGTCATATTGTTCCTGGGAAAGCAAAAGACTACGATCAAATGGTGTCCAAAGCGCGTCAAATGGTACTAGATGTTCTGAAGGCTAGGTTAGGATATGACATTTCACGGTATATTGCTCACGAAGACTTCAATCACCCGGTTAAATGGCAGCAAAAGTTCAATCTTTGGCGTGGCTCCATTCTTGGTCTGTCCCATGATGTTTTCCAAGTTCTTTGGTTCCGGCCCTCCACTAAAGACTCCACGGGTCGCTTTGATAACCTGTTCTTCGTAGGTGCCTCAACCCATCCCGGAACAGGTGTACCTATTGTTCTTTGTGGATCCAAGCTCACTGCTGATCAAGTCACCAAGCACTTTGGATATAAAACTATCAAGTCTACAAAACCCCGCCCTATCCATTTGCAAGAGTTTGATACTTCGAAAGTATGGTACTACGCCGCCTTTTTGTTCGTCCTAATATGTTCCTTATTCTACGGCTTCCCGCAAGAGAATGGTACGGCTGCTTCTTTCATCAACGGACATTTACCCCGAAGCTTCAGAGTTCAGTAGGTGAAAATGAAAAATCTAATTCCAACCGTGGCGATCGTTTAGAGTGGCTTAGCTATGGAAACTGAGAAACACAAAATTATTATGAGTTACCGACCACCCACAATAAAAATTTGGCAGTGTTGACACCGTTATTTTTCTTTTTCCCAAATTAAATCATGTCAGCATCACAATTCTTCAAAATCTCACTCAAGCGATCGACCATTGGTTTGGCACCAGAGTTCAAAGCAGCTGCTAAAACCCTGGGTTTGCACAGATCCCACCAAACTGTCTATCGTCCTGCCAATTCAACCAATGCCGGTCTCATTCTCAAGCTTAAGGAACTCGTCAAAGTTGAGAATGTCGCCTCCATTCCTACAAAGGAGGAAATCAAGGTAGCAGCCAAAGCTCCTCGTGGATACCAAATCGCCAGCAAGCAAGGAGCATTCCTCAAGTTTTAGATAGCCCATACCTACCATTGTAATAGACGGCGTACGCCAGACCCACCTTCGCAATAGCTTCCACGTCGAGGCTTCTTCCATGTACATTATGTATCTTTTAAAATCCAAATGCAACAAAAATGTCTCTTTTTTTAAAAATAAAAAAAAAAGCATAAAGAAAAACAAAGAATGCCTCTTCGTTCCTGGAGCAGAAAGCTCCCTGCATCCGCTTTGACGATTTTGTCGTTTGTCTCCGAGTTCGCCGTACCTTGAGGTGGAGGTCGTCAGACGCTATCAAAATGCAATAGCCCAATGGAAGGAATGATGTTGGCTAATATTGCGCACAGTGTTGGGTTACATTTGTCTTTCTTCTTGATTATAATTGACTTGCCGTTACGAAAATGCGGATACTCTCTGTCATCACTTGCGTGGTTCCTTTCATTGTCTATGTCCAAGGTAAGACGGATGAAGAGCTAGAAGCGATGGCATGCGGAAACAGGCTCAGAAACATCTTTTAGGAGCGTCGAAACCTTTCCGACAGATCGACAGGATCTATCCTGCGGCCATTGACTACTACAAGCAACGTACACAGACGACTCCCACCCTCTTTAAGAAAAACTTGAGTCGATGGGCAGAGTCATCCGTGCTTAACGGACCATATTGTGCGTGCTTAATTTCTCTATGTCCTATGAACGCAGCGTTTATCTACTTTACTTAGTGCGTCTTAAATATAGCCGTTACCTACAAGAAAATACTTCCTCCAAGTGGCGATGCTCACGACTATTATAGCTATCGGATCCAGTAAGCACTAGTTTTCTTGTCATCGCCAATCGGAGGCTACTCAACTTGAATTTCATATGTAGCTGGTGGCCGGCATGCCCGCAAAATGCAACCGTCAAAGATCCAACCCACGAATGTCCCTATAAATCAATACGCGGACAGGTGAATCCCGACGTCCACGACATTGGGGATCACCAGCAGCTACAGAAGATGGCAGTAGACGTGATGACTCTTGCAGTAGCTTGGAGTCTTCTTGATGAGGATCGATTTGCAGTCAGAGCAGCTATGCTACTTCGAACATGGTTTATCGATCCTGAAACAAGGTAGTTAAACTGGGAACTAGACCCTCACTCGCTGAACCATTGTTGACCTGTTCCGATGATAGAATGAATCCCAATGCTGCTTTCGCCCAGACAACGCGAGGACCCGGCGAATGGACAGGCAGGTAATGTATAAGCAGCTGTCAGCTCTTCGATGGTCCGTCATAGACTAAAATGGATACCTGAACAGCGGGTCAGGTATTTTCGATTTACGGTATTTGCTGGAGGCGGCCAATGCTGCTGCTATTCTACGCCAATCGCCCGCTTGGTCAGAGGAAGATCATCAAGCGTTCACAGCCTGGTTCCGAGATCTCACTCAATGGCTTCTGACCAGCAATCAAGGCAAGAGTGCAGCAAAGCAAAAAAAGTGAGTAAACCACTTTTTGTCATCCATGTTTGCCGGGTAGCCAGCCAACTAACCAACACTTTGCTTTTAGCAATTTGAAAACTTGGTACTATGCGGAACTGGCGGGCTTCTACATGCTCACTGAAAATACAGCCAAGGCTAACGAAACAATTCACGACTATTTGACATCTATGTATCCCCAGCAGATTGCACAAGACGGCAACCAGCCTTCGGAAATGGGACCTTCAGCTCATGGTCATCGCCTCAGCTTCAATTTGGAGGGGATGATCACGCTGGCCAAAATCGGAGACGAGATTGGTGTGGATATCTGGCACCGCAAAACCGATCAAGGCGCAACCCTATTGACAGCAGTGCAGTACCTTTTGTCTCACAATCTCGGTGCTGGATCTGAGGTATGGCATCTGGCAGCGGCTGTGCGTGCGAAATACGGTAGCGATGTTTTCCTAAACATCAAGGTCATGGTATCTGCCTCCAATCGCAACCCAGGCTTACAATCTCTCTCCAATGATCACCCGCCAATTGAAGCTTTCAATGCCTGGCCAAGCGCTAAAAAGCCAGCAAACCCATCTGAAATGAATATCAGACAGCATATCAGCAACACAGGACACAACCGTGGGATTGGGCCCAAGGCTTATCGCGGAGCCGCCGTTTCCTTGCCGATGGCTTGTTTTCACAACATAGTCATTGGACTCATCACTGTGTTCAGTATGATAGTCTAGCTCAACGGATATGAAGCATCGATAGCATTGCTCAGGCCAGCCTTCTCTCATTCGCTTCATCGGCTCTCCGTATCAATACCTGCGGTACCTCTACTATATTTGGGGTAGATCATTTTCTTTCCAAACTATGGGCAAATCTATAAAGGGATATTCTTTCTAAGGCTTTTTGTAGTAATCAGTCACTATGTTGACAAATTCCTCGGGTTTCTCGGCATGAACTGTGGGCAAAGGCGCATGAATGAATACATTAGTACGCAAAGAACAGCGGTCATCAGAGAAAGAAACGATATTTACCCCAATGACCAGCTCCCTCAATGACCTTGATTTCACTGTTAGGAAATTGTTCACGTATGTGGTCGCCATCTCGGTCTGGTTTGATATAATTGCTCTTGCCACCGGCAATGAACAAGGTAGGACCATCATAAGGCTCCATTTTGTGATCCATGAAGGCGGTCATATTATCCAGAGACTCGCCCAGGGTCTTGTAAGGGATTCTGAATTTGTAGATGCCGGTGTCGTCGTCCTTCTTCAAGTTGGTGAGAAGGAATTGGCGGATAGAGAGGTCGGGTTCAACCTTTTTCAAGATGGTATCGGCCTCTGAACGTTTCGTGAGTTTGGCCATCTGGATCTCATCCATGGAACCAATGTAGCTGGCGAAGTCGCTGGAAAGACGTTTCACCGCAGGGGCCATATCGACGACAACGAGTTTCTCGACAGGCTGAAGTCGACGCAGACATAAGTTCATGACGACTTTTCCACCCATACTGTGGCCCATCAAAACCGAATTCTCCAATCCGTTGTTCTGTAAAAACGTTGCCACATCGTCTGCCATGACATTGTAGTTGTGAACCGGGTTATGTGGACTATCGCCGTGGTTGCGCATATCCTGAGCCACGGAACATGCACGGTCAACTCGTTAATAGCCTTCGGTAAATACAGTAGAGGAAAGTAGAGATTCTCCGGTACTTACCAGGGTATAGACGTCGGTTGACAGGCGCTTGCTGAATGCTCTGGCGAGCGACTTCCAGTTTTGTTTGGAACCAAACAGGCCATGACAGATGACAATGGGGGGATTGGGCTGCGAGGAAGATTCCGAAGGAAACTTGGAATAGTCAACCTTGACAATATGACTTTGTTGCGTAGCGAATGTACGCTGCTGCAATATCAGTAACGATCCGAGTCGCTGGGTTGCCGTTTTCGCAGTGCTGCTCAGCATTCCTTTGGTTTCGAATGTGCGTCAGGGAATTGCTCTCAGACTAGGAACATTTTTTTGTGAAAAATTTGGTCTCACGATTTTTACCCCAGCACGGCTGGCACCAACGTTAACTGCAACCATTCAATTTCGAAATAGAACGGTCTGTCTAGCTGGTCTTTGATGTCATATACGATGTGGAGATCGTCTCAAAATAATACCTCTCCATTTGATACCAAGTCAGGGCGATGTCATAATGTGTAATTTAGGAGATGTTTTAAAGCATTGTTTTTAATTGGGGGGTGGTTTGCATAATGACAAAGGCGAAAAAGACAAAAAAATTATTTACAAGGGTGAAAGTGAGAAGTATGATACACTTGGAAGAGAAGGAAATAAAGATATTCGTGGGTAATGAGGTTCCACAAGGGCATATTTTGGGAATAGACTTTCTCTATTGTAATTGTTTGCGCGATCGTCGCTTGGACTTGATCTCCTTCCAGACAAAGCAGCCATTGCCTTCCAGTACATGCTTTGGCTTACGTCCCCGCTTTCGCTTTGGTGTGGATAGAAGGCTGTCCATCGACATGTCACACAGGATACCCACTGTGTGGTCGTCGGCTTTGTGTTCCACGGTGTAGTAATCTTGATCACGTTTTTCATCGACGGCACCCACATCCCATACTGTGGGGGTCAAGAAAGTCCAAGGTCCCTCAGTGTTTTGCTCGGTTGCATTTGGAGGTCTACCCCGTCTTCGTCGAGGGGGAGCCGAAGCCTTCATATACTGCAGATTGGCTGAGGTGTTGTTGGTCTGGTCAGAAGCCCGTCGCTTAAACGGGTCTGACATTGGAATCCGGTCGACGGGTGAGTTAGGGTACGATCGACTATGAGAAGGCAAATGAGGAATCTGAAGCGTATCACTGGAAGCGAAATCGGGTGATAGGCGTTGAGTGGCAGGAGGAGGTAAGGGTGAAAGGTATGGGCTGGATTCGAATTGAGATAGCTGTGGTGAGACGGGAGTGGAAACTGGGCTCAGCATAGGTGGATAAGGTGGTGCAAGGCTTTGAGATTTATAAATCGCATCAGAAGCTGGTACCGGTGATTGGGGGCTAGGGGGCTGAAAGGCCGAATGCCTGGCTTGGTCAGTGACAATGATGGAAGGTGAGGTTTGAATGGTTAATTTTGGAGGTCGACTATCCTGTCGATCAACATCGTTGAACAGCGTACTGATAGGTGGTAAGACGATTCTCTGTGGTGAGGTATTCATATAGGATGTGTAGAAAGGTTAAGGAAAGAAGAAATGGTGGAACGAGTCGCAAGTTAATAAAGGAAAATAAAAAAAAGAGAAATTTCAGAATCGAATCCCAGGTTTTTCTGACCTTTTTACTTTTACTCTTTTTGGACCAAACAAGGAAATATTGATATTTTACAGAGAATCTCTGGAACGTCGGGATTCTCCAATGTGGAGAATGATCATGGTCCGCAGATACCGCCACACATATTTCGTACGTCTCAAACATGATGAGGTGACATTAGAAGTCTTGGAAATCTGACACCCAGCGTTGCGTTCTCTCTCCTTGTTAAGTACAAAATAATCTATGCAGTCCGTTAGGCATCTCACCCCTTTGACTTTCCACAATTCGAGCTGCATCCAATTTTGTCTGAATCTGGACAAAATAACCGAATGCTTACTGCTAAATGGCAATATGAGGAAATGTTCTTAGGATGAGGAAGGGGGGCGGGTATAAAAATCTATTTATATGGTCAAATGGCCATGGTAACCTGAGAAGGAGGTTTATCTTTCAGTCGACCGACCGCGACCGGCTCAGTATGCCTAGCCAAAGCAAAAATACCATGTCTGGCTGCATGGTGGCACCACGTGCAGTACAAGGCTTAAATTACCCAGATAGCACAATTGTCAACTTCCACAATGTTGGCTTCTGCTAGCCTTCAAGTTTGATAACGTATGTCGCCAAAGATTTCCCTGCATTCTGTGACTGAAATTTTTTTGGCCTGATATCACTTCTTTTGGAAACATTTTTGTTTCAAAAAATAGGTTTCAAAATGATGTATAGTTTCGCTTATTCATCGTTCATGGTGGGTAGGTAGGATTCAATATTACAAGGATTTCGCATTGCGATTGGGGAGGTTTTTGTAAGTGGGTGAGATATCACAAGACACGTAGGGAGGGGGAGATAAACACAATAGATTAAATAGAAATGGTAGATTGCGATGAAGGGTGTGACTGGTTCATGACGTGCTATGGTTGCAGCCTAGTTTTAGATATCCATTGTGAAGAGTGCAAAGAGGGTTGGTCCAGGGAATTCTCCATCTTCAGTCCAGGGGGTCGAGTCGTTCGGAAGGTACTTTCCAATTGTCGTTTCAACCTGACTATCTCCTCTTCGCGATTATATGGGATGTCCCTAGAGGAAGGTTCATTGATAGAGATGCCGACATTTTCTAAGAACGTATATCCAATAAACGGAGCATTTCTCCCATCCAATTCCTTTCTCCCAGTAGACCTGGATGGAAAGGTGGCAGCTGGCATCTCGTCCTCCTCTTCGTGGACAGAAAAGTTGGAAGTGTCGTCTGGTGAAGCTAATACTGGCTTAAAAGGGGGTGTCGCTGTTAACCCAAAAAAAGAAATAAACAAGTGTCAATATTGGCACACCTATGTTAACGCGCGCCGCATAGGAACATGCTTACATTCTCGAATGTGATCCCAGTCAATGCCAGCAAAGAATGGGTGGGATTTGATATCTTCTGTGTTACCATTGCACCCAAGTCGGTTCTCCTTCTTGCATAAAAACCTATACATATTTGAGACAGACATGCCGATTTAGCGATACAATACCCCAGCTATAACAGATATCCGATTCAATTAGTTTACCGTGAGATAACGTCTTTAGCGTTAGCGGATATTGGGTATTCGTCCGAGAATTCCAGTGACTCCTAGAATAAAAATAAAATGGGAATAGATGTTGGTATAAATTTTTTTTGTTACACTCAGATGATGATTAGTCGCTTCGGAAAACACTTATTTTACCTCATGGAAAATAATTTTACGATACGTCTCATTCACGCTATCACTGTAAAAAGGTGGTAGCTCTTGTAGCATTTCAAAAAGGACGATACCCACGGACCACCAATCCACTTCGGTTCCGTACTGGACATTTCCTTCATGCGCCTGAAGGACTTCTGGTGATATGTAGTCACATGTGCCTACAGGGGTGGTCGATGTGACCTATGGTTCGACGGATAAGTTTATCGAGGCAAGCAATCAGTGAGGATGGTCCATCTTCGTTTAACTAGTATATACCTTTCCGTTGTTATCCAAAGTGATACAACTACCAAAGTCTGCCAGCTTAACATGGCCATGAGCATCGATTAATATGTTCTGCGGCTTGACATCTCGGTGAACATATCCAAGTTTATGTAGGTTCTCTATGGCCAAGACCATTTCGGCAATGTAAAACCTTGCTTCATCTTCATCGAATGTCAGATTTTCGGTTCGGTCCAATACGCTGAATAAATCTCCACCTCCAGCATACTCCATGACGAGGTATAGATTGTCGCTATCTTGAAATGCAGCATATAGCTGCGGCATCCACTCATTTCCTTGAGCAAGAACGTTCCTCTCTTCCATGAAAAAGGCCGTTTCTCTCTGCCGCAACAAATCGTCCTTGGGTTGTATTTTCATTGCGTACACTGCATCATCTAATTTACTTCGAACAATATGGACCTGCAAAAAATACCTGCATTAGTAGCAGGAAGTGGGGTGGGGGGGGGTTGAATAACCCGAGCCCCAAAATTGAAAAGCTAACTCACAGTCCCAAACTGGCCTTTGGCTAAAGGCTTGATGACTTCAAAGTCGTCCAATTGAAGACAGAGGTCCTTTAATGTATCGACCATCTCTTCGTCTGGATTAAGATAAGTTAGGTGAGTTGATGTCATGATCGGAAGCGGGAAATTCTTTGTTGTCATCACATACAACGCTTCAAACATATGGAAGTTTCTTTACGTGGATTGGGAAGAGGTTTTATGGACGGTCGATGATCATCCCAAGTAGCTATAAGGACATCCAACAGAACCTCATTCTGGCTGCAAGACGGTAGGTCTTGTTGTCGGAGCAAGGTCTGTATTTTCTGGACTCGTTCCGACCATGATCGTGGTGGTTTGTGCATGTAAACAGAGTCGTCGGACAATTGGTGATACCGAGTATCGAACAGTGATAAGGAGGAGGATGGGTGACGAGTGGTAAACATGGTGGGGGAATATTCTAGTGTGTGGTATAATCGATGTATATAGATAGGGTTTGCAGGTGCGCGGTGACAAGCACGCGTGAGTCGATTAGGAATGTGAAAATAAAAAGGGATTCACTCAATGATGGTTTGGAGATGACCGACTACGGAGAAATAGAAAAACGACGTAAGTGAAGCAAATAAAGAAGGTTCTGTATGAGGAGAAATAATTTTGTTAATGAAACGACCAAATCAAGCAATACGACAATAACACGCAAAACGCTGTTTTTTCACTTACAGACGAAGCGGCTATCAAATCAAACGATGAAAGAGAAAAGAAGACACTGAGATCAACCAGCCTGTTTTTTCGTTTTGTTTTGATTATCACGGTCCAAAAAGGAGATTTGTGCAAATGGAAGACTTCAGCCGATGAAGGGAAAACGAGGGGAAGCCATTTCCAATCGGCTGCTGCTGCTTCTTCCTCCTCTCTTCAGTCTTTGCCAAAGCCCACTCACTACTTTGTCTTCATAACCGTCATCACCTGCAGATATGGCGGACATTTTTTGGGTGGGAAGTCCAGAGCCCGCCCACCGTCCCAACTCAACTCAAGGGTTCAACTCGCACGCACCAATGGAAACCCTTGGACGCCACTGTACAATGTGATACACTCTTTAAATTTTCTACTTTCCTGCCTTCGACCTTCTTTCCCTTTCCCTCTTATTCCAATCTTATCATGGTCGCTCCACTACCATCTTTCATTCGTAACTGGTTCTATGGTACCATGCTAGTTGCTGGCTGTCAGGTAAGCAGTGTCCCCTTCCGATGCTTTGCATGACCCCTTCTGGATCTCAACTCCTACCTATGAATGTAGTATTTTGGCATGGGCAATAGAACAACTCCATATATCCTCAGTTTGAATGCCGGTGTATTGGCTTGCCTTCTTTTCATTCATTTTTTCAAGCCTGAGATGATGCCCGAAGTGATGCGAGACCCTGTACCAGCGCAAGTCAGTGCGACAACAGCTGAAAATCAAACTGCAAGCAAGGTTGGAGGCAAGTCTGACAGCAAATCGACCAACAAGAAGAGCAAAAAGACGAATTGAGAGGGGGGAGTTTATACCGGGAGATGTGTAGGAGCGAAAGAGATCCTTGATTGATACTTCTAAATGTTATGGTAGCTTATATTAATTTAATGAAAATTAAAACATAGTGTGTTTGCACTTCTTCTCTTTAGTCAGACCCACGAGGGGTGTCATTGCCTACGTGCAGTGAGTGGCAAAGCATACTGAACGATTTCGGGCCGCATGTTTGACCTCTTTTTTTTTTTTTTTGGTCACTGAACCACACTGGCACTGCAATTTTTGCCCCTCTTCAGCTCCACCCCTTCTCAACGCCGCTCTTTCTAGTTTATTCAAATTTACCCATTTCTTGACACACATCATGGCCAATAATAATAGCCAAGACCAGCGCTACACACGGCTAGAGAAACTGGGCGAAGGCACCTACGCCACTGTATTCAAAGGAAAGAATCGCTTGACTCATGAAATTGTAGCATTGAAGGAAATTCACTTGGATTCAGAAGAAGGCGCGCCATCCACAGCCATCAGAGAAATCTCATTGATGAAAGAGCTCAAACACCCTAATATCCTACGACTTCAGGATGTTATTCATACCGAAAACAAGTTAATGCTGGTGTTCGAACACATGGACCAAGACTTGAAAAAATACATGGATACTATCGGCCGTGCAAACCATGGTGCTTTGGATCCTCAGACTATAAAATCATTCATGTATCAGTTACTGAAAGGTATCGCGTTTTGTCATGATAACCGGGTGCTTCATCGTGACCTGAAACCTCAAAACTTGCTCATCAACAAACGCGGAGAGCTAAAGCTGGGTGACTTTGGCCTCGCACGTGCCTTTGGCATTCCCGTCAACACCTTTTCAAACGAAGTCGTTACCCTGTGGTATAGAGCTCCCGATGTCTTATTAGGGTCACGTACATATTCGACTACAATTGACATTTGGTCATCCGGTTGTATCATGGCGGAGATGTATACTGGAAGACCACTCTTCCCTGGTACCACCAACGAGGATCAACTGCTCAAGATCTTTAGAACGATGGGTACCCCCACCGAACAGACATGGCCAGGCGTCAGTCAGTTCCCAGAATACAAGCAAACTTTCCCAATGTACCCTGCTCAACATATTAATACCATTTTGCCCATGGTCGATGCCTATGGCTTGGATCTACTCAACAGAATGTTACAATATCAACCACATTTGAGAATATCTGCGAAAGACGCTTTAACTCATGTTTATTTCAACGATGTCAGATCTTTCTTTGGATAGTATTCCGATTGATGTTTTATTTCTCCTGGATAAAGTTAAAAAAAAAAGAAGGAAAAAAATAGTAGGCAGGAAAAAAAAATGATCTCACACCAAAACAACAAAACACCAAAAACAAGACAGAAAATCAAACCTTGGGGTACAATAAAATTATATATAAAGCCGCGCGTATTACCGCTTATCGAACCCCCCAAATGCTATCAATGATAAGACAACTTGTGTGGAAAACAGAATGAAGCGCAGGAAAGAAATTAAACGTTTTATGCAGCTGTTTATTATAATGGGTGGGGATGAGGAACCATGCGTTCGTTGTTTGCTGCGTCGCTTGGCTGTTGCTGCTTAGGTTCGCCGTTTCCCCAACACCAGCGAATCCGGCCTGATGCTCCGAAAACGTTCTCAAATCGATGGTTATTAATGAGTTCCACTACGATCCAACAGTTGCACCCAAAGAAAGCCAGTCCTGCCAGCCACAATGAGAAGAAGGTATTTTCACCTTCAAACTCGAGATGATATGCAAAGTATAACCACGCTGCCTGTGTGACAACCCAGCAAACAATGAGACATAACCCCATCCATCGGAAGGAAATCTTAGTAGAGGGTAAGACCAGAGGCAACAAACAGAGATACCACATAAAGTACTAAAAAGAACGGTCCATCAACATTTTTTAGTACAATGAAACTTCTTTCATGCGTCATGATAACATGAACCCCCCATTGATTTACCTGCGACGTGCAAACCTTGTTGAAGGTAACAAATAAAAAGGTTTGGATGAAACAAGCAAAAAAGATGTCTTTTCCGAAAGCAAATCCGCTTGCCATCACCAGTACCAATTGCGGGAAAAACGTTAAAAGGCTAAGAATGTGGGCCTCATTGCTGCCAAATGTAAGATAGATGTGATAGAACCACACTGAAAAGTTGTGCCGGTGATCCTTGCGAGTAACATGATAAAAATAAGTGTGTTCAAGGAATTGATCTTCATACCTGCGACAAACGGATTAGAAACCAAACACCCCTTAGTCCATTTGGATTACGTTCGTCACTTACATGCTATACATCAAACCACCCAGAGCAAAAAACACAGCGGCACTAACAACGGCAAATGAGACTCTTGTCGGCGATAGAAACATCAATCCATGTCGAAGGGCACGGCTCAAAACTCTGGATGATTTGTCCACGAGATTGTCTAGTCGATCGTTATCGTCTTCAGCAAGTACATCATCCGCCTTTTCATCATCATCCAAATAAAGTCGTAACACTTGAATTCTTAAACGTTCATAGGTCCACAGCATGTTTGGCCAGTTGATAGGAAGCCCATACTTCTCGTCCAAAAGGACCAATAACGGAGCAGCATAAATGACGGGGTATATCTTCAAATGAACTGCCAAACCAAAACAAGCACAGGCAGCGTAAAAATGTCGAATCAAGAGTAAGTACATCGTGCCGAGTACGAGACAGCCTAGAATGGATTCGCAATTTCCTCGTGTGGATATGTTGGCCACCATGGGATTGAGAAGCCATAACGAAGTATATAACAAGGCACGCTTGCTGGGCATGCCACGGAGCGTCAGAATGCGATGCAACAACCATCCCACCAATAGATCGGCACCGACAAAGATGCATTTCCCGAATGCACGAAACAAGTAAATATTGGGAGTCAAGAGCATGGCTAGTAGAGGGGTATAGCGGTATGTAGCTCGGTTATATGGCGATTCGCCTTGTGTGATGTGTCTGGCTGCATCAGTGAACACCAGGTAGTCGATATCTGTATACTTGACAACAAAATGCCGATCTTGCCATTCGCCGTACACTAAGAGAATGATACGCAGAGCAGCAGCAGCCAGCCACAGCGTTCTGAACGAGACATCTGACAAGGCCATCAATTAGTTGCCACTGGAAGATTCTACGTTATGGTTCGTTTGTCTCGATTCCGCTGATCCCGATCTGTTGGCTGCTTGTAGTGGGGCTGACCTGGAATGAATAGACAGAAAAGATAAAATATTCCAAGTCAAATTGTTAAAAAAAATTGTTGTGCGCCCTGCTTTTGCCCCGCAGCTTCACTGACTGAAAGAAAATCCGACGTCATTTTCCAACTGCTTCAAAATCACAGTGTCCGTGACACATTACTTCCTCTCTTCACTGGCTGGAAGAAAAATCCCTTACTCGCATTCCATTCTTCCATTTGCTTATTTTCACTGCCCTTCAGAAATAGCTCAATCCCCCATTTCCACTGTTCATTTACCCAATAAACCTTCTGAACGACCCTTCATAGGTCGGCCTCTCTTATTGTCACTATGGCCCAAAATCGTATAGATCTTATAAAGGTATCTCAGGTAAGTGAGCCCTTGTGCAACCCTTTCTATCTAGCGTATTCTCTCACAAAACAGACTATAACCGTGTTTTCGCTCATGCTCCTTGTCTTTACAGGTGACAGACGTTCAGCTGGAGAAAAATCAAGACGTATTCTCTGGAACCCTGCACTTAACCGATCACAACCTCATTTTCAGTCACTCTGAAGGCGAATTATGGGTAATATGTTGGTCGTTTTGAACAGCCTTGCCGCCCCTTTGATAAGCCAGTTTTGTCGGTGTAGGGAGCGGGGCTGAACTTTTTGGTTGCCAACCACGGTGACTGACCTAGATTTTTTTAATCAGATACCGTATCCCATCATTCATTACGTTGAACGACGGCCACAGTCTCCATCTAATAATCTATATCCACTGTATATCAAATGCCGCGATTTTTTGATATTCACATTGTCTATGCCCGACGATCGCGATGCACAAGACGTATTTGATGTTGTCCAAAAGCTCACGTGTATATGTAAGCCTTTGCCTAACTGCAAACAAAAACCGCCATCCTATTCACTTACTCTTTTCCAGCTTCTACGGAGCAACTGTACGCCTACAGCTTTCAACCACGTCCGCCTTTCACATCCATCGATGGATGGAAGATATATGACCCTGTGACTGAATTTGAGAGAATGGGAGTAGGCAAGATAGACACCTGGCGACTCTCATCCATCAACCGTGACTACAGTGTGAGTATTATTGGGGTGCAGAGCTAGTCGCATGACCCAATTTCTCATAATCTTTTTTTTTTTGGGCTGCCCAGTTCTCACCTACATACCCGAGAGTTCTTGTCGTTCCAACAAAAATAAGTGACAACGTTCTCAACTATGCTGCAAAGTATCGAAGCAAGGCGAGAATACCGGCGTTATCTTATCTTCATTGGGCCAATAGGGTAGGTCGTACCCCTCACAGCCAAACTTTTCCGCCACTCGCACTTATTTCTTCATTTTTCGTAATAAGGCTACCATAACACGATGCAGTCAACCCATGGTCGGTATCAAGCAGGCACGCTCTATCCAAGACGAAAAATTGATTGAAGCCATATTCGCTTCGAATGTTCCTAACGGCGTCAATGGACAAGTGGTGTACGGTTCAACTGCGGCCAATTTGATTATTGATGCTCGACCCATGGCCAATGCTGTTGGTAACGTAGCCAGGGGTGCTGGTACGGAAAACATGGAAAATTACCGAAACTGTAAGAAGAACTACATGGGCATCGATAATATCCATGTCATGCGAGATAGTTTAGCGCGCATGTGTGATGGTAAGCATATTTTTGTGGACATTTGCCGGCCAGTATGGATGGGTTGCCTAACGCCTTGTTGGGTTTTCATTAGCAATGCAGGGATCTGAGTCGATTGGCGGAATGATCAATAAGTTTGCGCTTCAAAAGTCCAATTGGCTTAAACACATTTCTACTTTGCTGGACGGAACATTGGTCATTGTCAAGAGTGTTCATATCTTCAACTCTCATGTCCTGGTTCATTGCTCTGATGGATGGGATAGAACTGCACAATTGACATCCATCGCTGAGCTGTGTTTGGATCCATATTATCGAACGTTCAGAGGATTTCAAATTCTGATAGAGAAGGAATGGGTTGCGTTTGGTCACAAGTTTGCCGATCGATGCGGTCACATTTCCAATGAAAAATACTTCATTAACCTAGCCAACACCGGTGGTTCAACTGCAGCCAATACCATCAAAGATATGCAGAACAAGTTGTACAAAAGTGGATTCCACCAGCGCGAAACCAGTCCCGTGTTCCACCAGTTTCTAGATTGTGTATTTCAACTGATCAAGCAAAACCCAGCACGATTCGAGTTCAACGAACAAATGCTTTCAGAATTGCATTACCATGTGTACTCTTGTCAATTTGGTACTTTCCTGTTTAACAATGAGTACGAGCGCTTCAAGAATCAACCACAGACCAAAACCTTTTCGATATGGGATCATTTGAACTCCAACCGCGATAAATTCACCAACCCAAATTACGATCCGACACTAGATCAAGATATCAGTCACGATGGGGGCGTTTTGTTGCCTGATCCAAAGCATATACAGTACTGGGCTAGTTTGTTTGGACGAAGCGATGAGGAAGTCAATGAAGCTGTCTTCCCGGCCATGCAACAACAACAAATAGGTCAATCCATAGAAGCGACTGAGGCAGCAGAGTCTGATTCAGAAAACGGTGTGAGCAGGATTCGAACTGTGTTCAAGGAGACTACCCCACCTAACGAAGAGAATAGTTCAATGACTACTACCGCGGAATCCACCATAGTCGAATCACCGTTAACCACTACATCCATCACGGTGCAATCCAGCTATACAGATTCGGACCCACTCAATAGCCAAATGAGCTCACCCGGGTCTAATGCCAACAAGGCAGCTATTGACTTTACCGAAGTGTCTACCCGTATAGGTACCATGGTCAATTCGTTTTCAAGGTTTACTATGAATGTTGGAGAAGCAATGTACAGTCGAGCAAGGAGTACGAGTGAAAGTATTGCGTCGCCCCCGGTTGAAAGAGAATTAGGAGCGATGGATCGATGGCCGCCGTCCAAGACATCATCAGCCAGTGCCACTGATCTCATGGGTCCCAACAACAACCAGCATGAGAATAAGAACGGGTCACCGCTTCGATCGTCTTCTTCGCCTTACCTTAGTCATTCCGGCAGCCCCAAGCATACCACGCCACCAGCAAGACGGCCATCGCCTTTAGGAACTGATCCTCTGGAGGTATCGTCGTCACCCACCCAACAAGAGAGATCCAGTCCCAAATGGACAACCCCCATACCGTCATCAGCCTCGACGCCGCCGCCGCTCGAGGAAACAAGTGATAGCAAGGATCAACAACTCGACTTGAACGATTTACCTCACCCATTGTGGATATCGGATTCTTAAACCGCCCCGCCCGCTTTGATGTGCCCACCACACTCTTTTTCAATGTACATCCCATATTCTTTACTATAGCCGAAACGGAACGAAAACGAGGTACTACACATATAAAAAAAAAACAAACAGTCGAATCATATTTTTTTTCTTTGGTATTTGGTATGGAAAATAGAGGGAAAAGCGCAAAAAACTAAAGGGGAAGGAACCAAATTCACTTATCACGTGCTCTACACAGAGGGCAATGAAAAAAATTACTTGCAGGCACACACACTTTTTTGGGGGTTTCTATTTAATGCAAAGGTGAGGGAGGGGGATATCCATTTTCTTGCGCTTGAAGGAGGGAGTTTGGATGAGGTCGGATGGCATGTTTACCTTGCTTGACTCTGTGCCCATTTTTCCAAATCCACCTTTTCAGTTAATGATGACACGAGGTATGGATGTTTCTACACAGAGAGAGGGGAAAATGAGCCATACATCTCGAGCAGCGTTGGGTTATACGTCCCACTTACCATCAATTCGCTTGGTGTTGCACGCTGCGTCACATCCTTTGCCACACTAAATGATGGAACATTAAATTAAATGTTTACACGTAATAACAAATGGCACAATCGGTACTTACCACTTGGAAACAAAGTCTTGGAAATTGGCAGGGAACTTTCCTTCCGGCAATGTTGGAACGGGCTCATGGACGATATGTTGTAACAGCTCAAAAATCGCCAAAGATCCACCATCGGGAGGGAAAGGAAATCTTCCAAGTGCAAGTTCCATGAGTGTGATACCTAGAGACCAAACATCTGATTTGACTGAGTAAGGCGAACCCAGAATCCGCTCCGGCTAAAATGTACAAAAAGGATGAGAAAAGACCGAACCAACAAGTCTATATTGCTGCATGGCAAGATAAATCTTTACTTACACTCATGTAGGAACTTGTGCCGACAAAAGTGTCTGCTACAGAATTCTTATTCAATTGGCCAGAAACACCGAAATCACATATCTTAATTTGACCTTGAGAATTAACCAGGACATTTGAGGGCTTGAGATCTATTGAAAAAGATGGCGCCAAAACGTCAGCAAACCACCGCCAGCACCTGATCTCAAGAATATAAAATGAAACTGACCTCTATGAATGATGCGGTGGTTATCGTATAGGTATATAAGGCCATCGACGATCTAAAGAAAATGTCAGCTGAGAACACACAAGTGTATCAAGGTCATCGTCGGATCACAATGAGACTTACGGCGTATGCAATCTTCTTCAGGACATCCATGGGAATAGGACCATTTTTCTTGTATATCTTATCCAATGACCTATAGAATCGCCGCCCATGGGTTAGTAATGAGATGATAAAGGCCCACATGCTGTATGAATCAGTGTGGTGATCGCTTACCCAACGTCCATATACTCCATGCATATCAAAATATCGCCACCGTTCATATACGCTCCGTAAAAGCTGACTATATGTTTTGAGTTACAGTCATGCATGAACTGCATTTCCCGCATGATTTGTTTTCGAACATTCAAATTGGCATCGACGTGAATGGTCTGAAGGGAAAAAAAAAATAGAGTTTGGAGGTTAACCCATGGTGTATTGACAATGCGTTATACAAAGTGAGCATCAAGGTGTGCCTGTAGGCGATGATCTGCTTGGTTCACAACAACAGATGCAGCCTACAGTGCAGAGATGTGTTTGCTGGCTTACCTTCTTGGCCATGACCGTCTTGGTGCGGACATGCAGTACTTTGCAGACCGTACCGCCATTACCACGACCCAGTTCGTCCAGTTCAGAGAAATCCTCACTACGAAGATCGAGTCGTAGCTCGAGACCAATCTCCAGGTCGCTCAATCGTTCACAGAACTGACTATATTCTTCCAAACTCTTTCCTGATTTTGCTGCTGCTGGTGATCCGTCAGCAGCTTGGACGATGACGGGCGATTCCTCCAGAGTCAGGTTTTTGAAATTTCTTTTCTTTCGTAATGGCGCCTTGGCTAACATTTTGAACCGTCTATCAAAGGGCTGAACGAGGATGAAATGGGGGAATGATGCCAAAGGATGACAGCAAAATATCCCTGTCGGCCTTGAAAAACTTGTGAGCTGGTTTTGGGATTGGGCTGACTGTCTCAACGTCCACAAATTGCCTGCATGCTTTCCAACCTTTCTATTTTCTATTCACACTCGTTTTCACATCAAACTCTTCCAATGAGTTGATCAACCTACATTGACCCTAGAACCCTGATCTATCACATTATCTATTTGTATTCGATACCTTTCACAGCATAATTTCCTGTTTCCAATCCTGTGAAACCCTGAAAGCTTGGCCATTAGTGTAACCAAAATTCGATATCAGCCTTGGAAAGGGGAAAGACGTTGATTATTATATTGTTACAACCAAAAGGGTATACAAGTTGTTTTTCTTTTAAATAAAAAAAAAAGAGAAGAATGTTGAACTTCTTCCGTGAGCTAATTAGTATATGGTGGAGACATTATCAGGGGCTTCGTTCAAATTAAAGTGAATGGAAACAGATGAGATCCTAGAAGTGACGTCGGTGGTGTAGGGTCGAAGACTTTCAAAGACTTGAAGTTGTCGCTTGTGAATGCGGATCTGAGCTCGGACATGGTCGGCTATAGCTCTTCTAATATCCTCGCTCACATCTTGACGATAATCCTCGCAGATATCCCGTTTGATACCCGAATTAAGCGTTTCAAATTTTTGCTTAACCTCTGCTTCGCTCGCTTTAGCATCTCTGAGGTCGTTGATGGCATCATTCACGCTGCCATGATCAATAGAACTAGAAAACTTTAAACGCTCCATAGCTCTCAATCTTGTTTGGGTTAATCGACTACATTCCCGGTATTCTGATAACGCTTTTAACCGCACTTGCAGTGTTTCTTGTGCAGCTTGAGAGTTGAGCAATTGATACTTCATTTGATCCAGAATCGTGACACTTTCCGAAACTGCCTGTTATCCCCGATAGCATTAGTACCTATGGACATCACATCGCTCAGGTGGTTGTTGACTGACCTTTGAGCGTTCCAAATCCGCTACCAAATTAAATGCTTTGGACATATTTTTAAAAACACTAAAGTGAAGTGCGTTCGTTAGGTTTTCGTTCGGAACTTAGATCTGCATAGCAATGATTCCCCAATCGTAACCTACAGAAACAATCCAGGCTCCCTCTCAATGGCCCCAAGACTAACGAATTCTGAACCAAGGTCGGATTCTGCTACAGCAAGTTCTAGATACATGGGAGGGGGATGGATTAATAACCACACGAAAGAAAAGATGCCCACATTTCCTTACTGCATCCTACCTCGTCTGTAGGTGACTTCCGTTTCACCTTTCCTATTGCAAACAGTGATATGACGCTCAAATTCTTCTATAGCGCGCTTCGTTTCAACGAAATCGAAATCAATGTCCTCCACCGTATCAGAAGACCCCGATCCCGTAGACAAGAGAGACGTTGCGCGGCGACGAGGAGGAGGTTTGACTGGATGAGGGTAAAATCCCACGTCTGATTCTACAAACTCTCGAAGGGCTTCGGATTCACTTAATCGATCGTTACGACAAATGATATCAAGCCATCGTTGCAAGTTGTGGGGGTTGGTTGCTTTGGGTAGCGCGGGTACAAACCCATTAGAATAGGCATGGGTCAAGTAGACTGCCAGTCTCCTGAAGTCAGATATAGTTCGTGGAAAGCGTCGTTGTTTTCGAAGGTACTTGTTGAGGTTCGTCTATGTGAGAAGAAGAAAAAAAAAAAAAAAAAAGAAGGGTGAGCAAAGAAAGACTACTTATTGCCCGAGCAAGCATGAGCGCAAAAAGAAAATACATGACATCAAGACGAATCACTTACTGAGCATTCCAGCCAAAACACAGGTTCTTTACGGTTCAAGTCGGAACTATCTATCTTTATATGTATAGAATGTTTAGCATCTTCTTCTCGCCATGTCGAGTACGACTGTAGCATCGCAGGCCAAACCAGAATGGAAATTCGATAACACACACGGATCTTTATAGGCAGCAGTCACAAAGAATCCTTTCACACACATACCGATTGCGCAAGGTAAACACTGACAAGGTAAAAAAAAAATAGGGTGGACAGGCATGTTCGTGGATACAGATGTCAATTTATTACAGAAAACCTTGAATACCAGTGTCTTAGCCTAGGCCTTTGCACTTCCTGCACCGCCTACAAGTTTATCAGAGTGCGTAGACTTCTGTGAATCCTTCAAGCTAATATCATTACCCGCCTCATCTTTGGCTGTAGACCGCAAAATAGACATATTACATTAGCCAACATGCAAAAAAATTATGAATGCCAGTCTGCCGACAACGTACCCTTGGTGCCCGACTTTCTGGCAAACATCCAGTAGCCTAAGCCTACAGCAGCGGCTCCCATAGCAACGGCTTGACCAGTGGGACCAGTTCGTTGTGGAGCTTGTGGATTGGCGTCTGCATACATTTAAAAAAGTTAGCGGTGTAAGTACCAGCATTTACATATTGGGACAGGGCACTTGCTTTGTGGGTGAGTAGCGTAGCGGCGGATAGCGTTGGAGCGAATACGATACATGACGATTGAAAGAGTTGTGTCGTTTAGTTCAGCTGCATTGTCGATATTTATAAAGCCGCATTACTGTTTAATGGTTGGGTGAACACTTTATTCATTCTGACGTCAAGTTGTTTGAAAATTTCTGTCTACCCATGGGACAAAAAATTACCTAGCTAGCCTATTTATTTTTCTTAACAAACGCCATAATATACGGGCTTGGTGGTGGTGGCAATCACCTACACACTTTGGTTCTCGGAGAAGATCGCAAGACCAGGTAAAAAGTCAATAAGCACGGTAATGCAAGGGGGGATGTTCCCTTTTGCCAAAGAAAACCGGTTTAAGGAGTAGTTTAGCGGCAGCACCTTTTATGTTGCCTATTTTTTTTCTGAGCCTGGGCCCCCCTTTATAAATGATCCTAGCTTTTTGACAGCCCTCATGTCCCCTACCCCGAGCCTATTCCTTTTGTTGTTGCTGATTCAAACTGAATGGCGGGCGAGATTCAGGACGCCTCTAGTCGCCGCTCTTCGTTGTTCAATGCCATTGTGACCCGTCAAGCTCCTCCTCCTCCCCCTCCACTGCCTACTAATGCCGATGCCGCAACTCTCAAGATTGATTTGGAGCAGGAACCCAAGCGGTATTATCCTGGCCAATCTGTTCGTGGGCACTTGACCATCAAGGTCCAAGAGTCCATTGGAGTACAATACATTCGCATCGCGGCTGTCGGAGGTCTAAAGCTGCGTTCAACTAGTAAACGAGAGAGTAACGACTACCAGTTTACGCACGACTTGATCATTTTAAATTCTGGTGTACGGGTAACAAGACAAGCAGGGGTTAAAAAGGATCGTATCCCAGGACGTACCAAACGAGATCGATGGCACATGGTATACGACCGAACGACACTACCTTCCAGAAGTGGGCGATATGACAATACGGATGGAGAGGACGATGAGGACGACGATGGTATGGAAACCAGTAGTCGAGGCAGTCGGCACGATTCCAAGTACGCATCTATTTCATCTTACTCGTCTTCTGTGGAATCGTTCTTCACCCTCGACAGCCGAAGTCACGACATCGCTTTCTCAATACCCATACCACGTAGTAATGTGATCCCCCCTTCATACACCAACGACCAATTTAATATTCAATACAGCGTGATTGCGACTTTGCACTATGAAACCATGGAATCAACCAGTATTCATGTTGTCAACTGTTACCAACCACTTCAACTATCGTCTTTGACCCCTATCTTCACTCCTTTGTACAATACTCCACTGATAGCTGTGTCGCGGCGAGCTCCCGTCACACAACCCACCTCCAAGTACAAATCGCTTCTGTCATCCACTGGCTGGATCGAAGCCTCCGCGTTCGTTCCCCGGCGAGCATTTCTTCCGGGCGATAGCATTCCATTAGGAATTCGCATTATTAACTGTTCTGATTTTCGTCCTGGTCGAGCCACGGTGGACGTCACGCTAACACGCAACATTGTCATCTCGGCAGGCAAAGAGAGCAAAAAGAAAATCAATGGTTTGGTCGGTGTGTTCGAAGGCATCTCTGGACAAGATCGCGAGTTACAACTAGATATGGACTCTCTCCTCTCGGTACCAGCCGAATCTATTTCCACTATATTTGCTGATATGACTCAAAACTTGCTAGAGGTCGTCTACAAAGTTCATATCAAGGTATCGCTTATTGGGACCATCAAGACTTCAAAGCCAATGCTATGCTTCAACTCGAGAAAGCAAACGGAGCATTGCGAACATATTGGCGTCATTGAATTTCCTATCGTGATTGGGACGTTATCCAAGTGTGCCTCCCAGGGCCGTGATTCCCAAGAGGTGAACCTGAAAAAAGCTGGTATGTAATTTGTCGGAACAAGATATAATTATTTTTTTTTGAAAGTTTGGGAGTACAGTCATCGACGATATAAAATAAAAACCCTAGCCAAAGCTTCAAACTTCATCTCAACTATTGTTGTTACTGCTTTTTAATCTCAAACAGTAGTCATTCTTGTCAAGATGTCTCGGTTTGCCAAAGACTCTGTGTGAAAGACAATGATGTGAAAAAAAAAATCGTCGGGGAAGCTTAATATAGCCTTACTAGGTATATCATGACGGGCTAGTATTAAGTCCATTAAAGCGCTCAGGAAGTGCGGCTTGGGGCGTACAAAAAGTGCTATCGCTTTTCGACACCATGTTTCGGTTACTTGGTCTCCTGATCGCTGGTCATGGTGGTGGTACACACGGGTTATCTTCTATGAAAATGAACCAATCCCCCATTTTTTCAAGCATTTTTATGCTGGAGCTGAAAATCTTCCTTGTCCCGGTATTTTTTCTATTTTTGTTGGCCAAATGGAACGAGAAAATTTACACTAGAAAAATTTGCAGGTTCCTTATGTTTGTGAAACATTCGCTATGGCTGGTCTTGGCGAATTATTTCCATAACCAGCAATTATAAGAGGATGCGTCATCGGAGAGAAGGGCGGGTATAAAATAGAACGATAAAAATCTACTTGCACCGTACCGATCTCCTTCTTCTTTACTTAAACATGAACGCTCAACAACAACCCGTTGCTCAACCCGAAGCCTACACTGCTCAATCTATGCAGACTGAAGCCGTCCAGACTGTTCAAGAACCCCAACAAGACAACTCTTGGTCCTCTTTGCTTCGTCTCCGTGGTGGTGGCTGTGTCAAGGGCTGCTTGGAAACCATCTGCTGCTGCTGTGCTCTTGATGCCATCTGGTAAGTGAATGGAAATGATACACACACTGTATGAGATAGAACCATGGTGACTGATCTGCTTGTGTTTTAATCTATTTCAGCTGCTGCGAACTCGATGAGGTAGGCATCCATTCATGACTGTCACTCTACCCGTTGCTTCTGTGGTATTAACCTTTTTTCATTTAATTTCTAGATCTGCTGCTAAATCGCGATAATACTTCGTATGGCACCCCACTCTCTATCTCTCACTATCAAACCCATTAGGCCTTTGTATCAATTCTTTTTAGTTCAGCTGTTGGTTGACCTGCAGCTCAAGTAATTTGTAGTGGCGTCGTTAAAGGGAAATAAAGCCCAAAATATGTACCATGACCCAATGGTTGTGCCCACGTTGTCTTGCTCTTTGGTTGATACGGTGCGATAGAATATCTTGATAGAAGGATGTGAGGTTCCACCGTCGGTGGGGTGGGATATGAAATCAGGTGTAGTGTTATGAAAATAGTTCGATTAGTGAAGTGCGACGTAGTGGCGGATGTCTCTCCTTACTCCCTGTCTTAGTAACTCCACTCTACCAACATTGTTGTGGTGAGGGTGATGTTCCTTCCCTTTCTTTTTTCCTTCCTTCTCGTAGCCAATGACAAGCGTCCCACAAGCCCCACGACATGGTACTGACATTGGTTACAACGACCCTGGTAAAGTATTTTTTTTTAGTTTGATTATTTTTATCAAGCGTACCTTTAAAATTGCATATGAACGTGCCCGGGCGGCAAGAAGCGAGCCATAAATGGAATAAGTTTGGTATACAATATTGGCGAATCTAAAGTGAATCAGAGCCAATTTCAACAAACCTATAGCAGCGTGTAGAACTAACTATACCCATGTTGAAAACTACATCCTCCGCGAAACGGCTATCAGCAAAGCAAGGGAGGGGTGACTAAGGCTTGGCGCCATAAAGCCAAATACGAATGGAATGTTCCGTTGTGACATGATTGTTTCACATCATACTGCAAATAATGTTACACGGAGAGCTATCTCCAACTATTTGTTGCTAGCAAGGAATGAGCCAAGTGTGAAAAATACATGTCTTCTTTGGCATAAGTTAGGAACATTTGCTTGGTTGGGACCAAATTGCAGTTGGAGTAATTAACGCGGTATATGCAAATCAAAAATAACAAAAAAGTCACGAGAGCTTGGGCCACCACCTTGGGCGATATGAACATGAAAGAATATGGCATCATGTAGCGTTATACTCCACTCGCCTCCGGAAAGCTATGTACAACATGAGTTGAGCACCCGCTCCTATCTTCATGGTGTCGCGGAATGTGTGCCGAGTCAACATTTCAAGGAGAAGGCTCAGCTCACGACGACGTACGGATGTTCCGTAGACAAACGGGTGGCTTACAAAGGGTTACAATGCATTATCATCAGTTGATTGAGGGGGAAGGCGCTAAGGATGAGCAAAAAGCTGTTTACAAAGTGTTATTGAAACAAATTGTTGGCATGTTTGACACACTTCCAGGGACAAAGTGATCCTAGTTTGGTAAGATCTAGCCAAACAAGCCCAATGCACCAAGACGTACGGTAACGTACCTAGGAACAGCTTAAAGTGAACTGTATGGCATATTATATATATTTTTTACAAAAGTTCTATGTACACGAATAAAAATTACAGCATGTTGGGAGAACAGCACTACAGGCGAAATCGGAAATCAAGACGTTCGCTTCCCTTGTGAGTCGTGTTCAATTCATAATCTTGTTGTTGTTCGTGTGTCATGGAATTCCACCTTTTCTCCCTGTGCTTGTTTGTCAGTATATACCGGGTACGCTGCAGCAGAAAGAGCGCCATGGTAGTCAAAGATAGACCAATTAGTATCTTGTTACCATGGTAAAACCGAGGAGCATCGTAAGCCTCTGGTAACAGAAAGACATTAGAACTGCAGAAAGTATACTAAGTCTACAGTGGCGTAATCCTTTCATCGACTTACGGTAGATTTGAGAGCCAGGTACCCCACAGATATTGGCGGCTCCAATCACAGCTCCCAGCGCTAGTGTGCGCTTTCCAATCGGCGCAAGGTTACTTGCCATCCACGCAATTTGCATTCCGTGCCACGAGGGAGAAGAAGCAGCAACGAAAGCCGCACTGTACATGGCCCACCTACTGGCATTCACAGGCAGGTATTCGAGCAAAAGGAACCCAGTTAAGTTCCAGGTAACACCTATGAGAGCAAACAGACTTGTGTTTCCGTAGCGGTCGGCCGCTTTGGCAATGAAAATGGAAAACACCAAGTTGACAAGGTACGTTGGAGCCGCCAATAGATTTGCCACATAGACGGAAAATCCAGACTGCTTGATCATGGTGGGAAGATAGGTGTTGATAGGTCCATTTGGCATGATACCGATGAATGTGATGAGCAAGTGTGTCCACAATCTGGTGTCAAGTACCGTCTGTTTTACGTCGTCAAGTGTGATGTGTCTATACTGCTCGCGTTTGGTTTGGTCATCTCGAATAAGTCGCGTAACAGCGATTTGTAATTCTCTTTCCGTAAACCATGTTTTTTTTCCAAAGGATAGTCTATTGGGAGTTGATAACGCTTTCGGTAGGTATAAGCTGATTGAAAGTTTGGGTTGAGTCAACTTCTACGCATGATAGTACCAAGATATGAAGTCACACTTACAAGGCCACAAAGCCCACAATGTCTGTGGCAACACCATCGAGAAGAAATAGCCATTTCCAGCCTGGCAGACCAGCGACGCCTGCCATACGAAAAATACCAAAGGAAAGTAGTCCAGAGAATGCAGAAGCAAAGGCTTGAATGCCCCAGAACCAGGCCAATCGTGTGGCCAACTCGTTTGTCTTGTAGAATCCAGTCAGGTAAGTCAGACAAGCTGGAATGAAACCAGCTGTGATAACATAGTATGATGGGATCAGCGGTTTTACAATGAGTTTGATTAAATTGTGTAATAAGCGACTGACCTTCTGTAGCAGCAATTAGAATACGCACGATAAGATAGCCTCTAAAATCCGTTATGAAGACGTGCCTGAATCATTTACAATGACTTAGTCATCAGCATGATGAAGAGAGATATTGGGAGCAATCTACTTACGCCCATGTAACAATTCCCCAAGAAACCATGATCAATGGAATCCAAAGGTTGGCGCCAATTCGTTTGACGATGATATTTGAAGGCAGCGTAAATATCGTGAATACAAAGGCGTAAACTAAGGTGCCTTTATTGACTCCATCAATGTCGAAACCAAGGTCTGCTGGAAGACCGTCTGATATTGCATTCGCTATCAATGATGACTTTCAATTAATATTGTGCTGGTGTGTTGACAGTATGGAGAAGTGTGAAAAAATGAAAGGCAGTATTTACATATATTGGTTCGATCCATGTTGAGAACAAAAGTCATCAAGAGCACAAAGCTCATCAGTCGTATATCGATTTTGTTTCGCACAGCATCTTCCTCCTCGACCGTCCATTTCAATTCCGGGACATATCCGATGGTTGAAGTCAGTGGCAAGTCGTTTTGGCTAGAGTCACTGAGTTCATCAATGTCTAGAGCCTCGTCTTTTGTTGGTAGCTCGCTGATGGCTGCTGTGGTGTAAGATAGCTGGGTGCTACCGTTGAGGAGAGGTTGTCGCGACATCCGGCTGTTGCGCTTTTTGAAGAGCCAGAGGAGGGTCAGTTAGCTTGGCAAATTTCTGCTTCTTTATATCAGGTTGGGATTGCCTGTATGTCCTCATTTGAAGCCTGATGTGCGCAAGGTCGTACACAGTGCAATGCAGCACGTTATCAGTGCGGATTAGCGTTTTCCCCACAGGAGACACTTGAGGGATTGACTCTGCTTAAAGCTTCACCGGAGCATAGATTGTATGCCAACCTCACACAGAGTTGTACCCGGATGTTTTGATTCTCGATTAATATTCAAATAAAAAAGCAGCACATGCGAATGTATCGAAGCTACTTGCTTTATCTCTAAAAGGCTTTGCAATTTTTTGACATTAAAAATGGCGCAAGATTTGATTGTTATTGCACGGTCGACTGTAGACCTCATATGACCGTACAGAGGATATTTTGGGTTTTGAAACGATGTCATTTCGATCAAGGCATATGCGGATACCTAATAAATTGCCTAATGCTTTTTTTTCAACAAAGCATTTTTTAAACATATGCAACGCATTTGTTATGTGAAAGGGTCGCTGAAGGACGAATGGATGCAGAAGAAACCAAATGCCTTTAAATCGACATAGATAAAACAACGTGATAGTGAGATCTCCACAAAATTATTCTCAAAACACTTCTTGGTACGAAGATAAGTAGGTAGCTTTTACTTTTGCAAAAATATGTACATGTTGAATAAAATACAAGTGATAGAGATATGTATGCATACACACGTTGGTAATAGATCACTATGATACATCAATGATTAAATACGGAATTGGTAGTCGAGTCGGTTGCTTCCTCGTTGGCTAGTGGTCTCCTTGTAAGCACGCTTTTCATCGGCAGACATGGCATCCCATTTTCGTTGACGAAGTTTGTTGGTGATAATATAACGAACATGTTGGAAAATGATCAAGACTCCAGTTGCAACGGCAATACCGATGAGAATCTTATTGCCTTTTCTGAACCGGGGGGAATCAGCGTTTGCTAAAGGAGAGAATATCAAGGGATTAACAAATTGGGCTTGGAGACACTTGGTGCTTTTAGTTCGATGTGGGAAGCTTACCATAAATCTGAGATCCAGGAACAGCACTGATGTTGGCGGCACCAATGACCCAGGCAAGAGCAAGAGTGCGTTTACCAATGGGAGCAAGGTTACTTGACATCCAGGCAATATGGATGCCGTGCCATGTTGGAGCGGAAGCAGCGACGAAAGCAGCACCATACAAGGTCCATTTGTCAGTGCCATCTGGAAGAAACTCCATCATGCAATAGCCGATAAAACCCCAAACAATACCAATAAGAGACCAGAGCGCAGTATTGCCATACTTTTCAGACATCCTGCCCATAAAGATAGAACCGAGGAGACCAACAATGTAGGTTGGAGCAGCCAACAGATTAGCAAGGTACACGGTGAATCCAGTTTGCTTGATAATAAGAGGAAGATATCCACTGATGGGCGTAACCGGCATGATTGTGAGGAAGGCAATGGCCAAGTGAGTCCAGACCTTGCTGTCCAGAAGAGCGATCTTGACATCCGCCCAAGATACAGTGTTATATTGGTCAGTCTTTGTCAAATCATCACGGATAAGACGAGTAACAGCAATTTGAGTTTCTCTTTCTGTGAACCAAGACTTGCGGAAGAAGATCCATTTATCAGTCTGAGAAAGAGTAGCAGGGAGATAGAAGCTGTAAGGAAGAATTGCTAAAAGTCAATACAAACTGCTGAAATGGTTTTTTTTTCTCACTCAATGTAATCGCCTAACTTACTAAGAAATCACCGCAACAACGTCGGTTAGGATACCATCGATCAAGAAGAGCCATTTCCAGCCTTCTAGGCCAGCTACACCAGCGAGACGGAAGATAAGGAAAGAGAGGAAACCAGAAAATGCAGAGGCGAAAGACTGGATAGCCCAGAACCAAGCGAGTCGTGAAGACAATTCAGCGGTGGTGTAAAATCCAGTAAGATAAGTTAAGCAGGCGGGAATAAAGCCAGCTTCAGTGATGGCAATGAAGATACGAACGACAAGATAAGAGTTGTAGTCTTTGACGAAAATATGAGCCCAGGTCACAATACCCCAAGCAAACATGATGAATGGAATCCAGTTATGAGCGCCAACTTTCTTAACGATGGCGTTGGTAGGAAGCGTAAAGACGGTGAAAACAATGCCGTAGATGAGAGTAGCTTGGTTGACATAATCCAGATTGAAGCCCAAGTCAGTGGGAAGTCCATCGGAAAGAGCGTTGGCTGGAATAAAAAAAATTAGAAAAGAGAGTTCGAGTCAATGAATGCTCCTGGATGGCTATGATATTTACCAATATTGGTTCGGTCCATGTTGAGAACAAAAGTCATCAAGAGAACCCAGCTCATGAGCCGTATATCTATCTTTCGAACCACTTTTTTCTCTTCTTCTTCAGTCCATTGTAAATCGGGAGAGTAATCCGAGTTGGTGATGATGCTATGATTGTCTTGACTGGAGACGGTGGTATCCTCAATCTCGAGAACCTTTTCCGAGGCCGAGGTCACAATAATCTTTTCTTTAATATCTTGACTCATTAGTCCAGCTAAACGATGAGGATAGAGAGAAAGAGGTGAGGAAATGCTGCTTAATACCGATGAGGAAAGGATCTTGATTTCATTTTATAAGAAACAACGATTTCGTAGGATGGCCTCATTTGACGACTTGCGTGCGCAAGGTAACACATTAGCCTATAGTAGTCATGTTAAGCATCCGAGCTGTTTTTTATCAGAACGCCCGCCCTAGAATTCGAATAAGATTTTCACTCCACGTTTACAGTTTAGAGATTGTGGATCAGAAGTTCGGTGGAGAGGTAATCTTCAATCCAAAGGCACAGATATAGGTTTTTGCCCAAGTGTTTAGTTTGCAATTATTCGGAAATACACAACCAACAAAAAAAAGCAGGATTGTGAATCTAGCCACGCATTGCATTTCTGTTCCCTGTCAGACTTAGAGATGGTTTGTAGATTTTGTTATGGTCGATGATGGTTTAATGTCACGATAAAGTCTGCTGAGTTTCAGCGCGCTAAAAGGGAATGGCGTCAGTTTGGAAGAGGGTTGCAACACTCTGGCCAAAGTTGCATCATTTTCGGTGGCGACTTAACAAGCATTGCGCAATCGTTGTTCTCAACACGTTTCTAAATAATTAACGATTAGAGAGTAAGTATGATGGTTATAGGCACCGGTGTGAGGCGTATGCATCCAGGAATCCTGTATATACAATGACTGCACCCAGTACCGTTGATATGCGGCGGAGGCCCCCAAGCTGTACTTAAAAAGAGATGACGGTAAAAGCCAGAGCTATTGCGCAAGCATAGCGCAAGTATCAGAAAGTGGCTTTTTGCTCATTTGATTCGCACAGCTTGCTATCGAGATACCAAAGGCGCCTGCGATAGCTGAGCTACATTTAGAAGAAGACATTCAACGAAGCGACCAATGAAACATCACTATAGCGATAGACACACTTCAAAACAGTAATGGACACATTGACTTTGAATACAACCATGCTGGTAATAATGTTGAAGTAGTGAAAGCGTTTTTATCTACTACTAGTACCAAAGCAGGCTCAAAATTATAAATGTGTGGGCTAAATTTTACACGGTAAATCAAAGTGATTTTTATTTGGTGACAAGGTTTTGTACGCAGAGCATACAATAACCTTTACAGTATGGAAAACTACACTCTCACTAACTACCATTTTTCCCTAAGCACGTACCCTGTTCAAAACTTAATACGAGAATTAGTTAAATGTTGAACATGGCTTTGACATGCAGATCGATGATCTCACGGGCTGAATTGGCATCAGGTTGTAGTTGCGTTTAATAATGTTTTATCATCAATGTGATTATGACAGCTCCAATAGTATAGACTCATCATTTTGCCAGCCCGTGTGATTTCTGATACAATAAGAAACACTTACGCTATATTAGCCGATACAGGAGAGAAAGAGAGGTTTTCAAGCACAACAAAAAAAAATTTTTTTGTTATAGGCTGCAGGACGATGTTTTTTGGGACACCGCGTAAACCGGAGACCCTGAATGCCTCACGTCAGTCAACACTTTCGGATAATTCATCAATGTATCTCCAATCCAGTCGACGTGCCTTAATTTAACGTGACTGAAACATACGAACAATGCACACCATCCAAGCTCGTTAATACAGTGGTGTAAATAATAATAACCAAGTTCAACAGGACAATACAAATATATATATTAATTACATGACAATGAGTGGTATGTGCAAGCAGAGGGGGCAAATGCAGTAAAAGAACATTAATGAAGAAAAAAAACTACTCTTGTCGCTGTGAAGTAGTAGCTACTGGAGGTGGAACGGGCTTCTCCAAAGCCACTCTAATCGATGAACCATTGTCCTTTGTAACCTGGCAGTCCTTATGAGCAAGAAGCAAGCTCTTCAACTGAATGATTTCTTCCCGGAACGAATTCGCTTGCATTGCAAGTTGTTCGTTCTCTTGTGCTAATATTTCGACTTTGCCCTGTAAGTCGCTAAGCCATGCCTTCTTACGTTGACGACATTTCAACGCAGCTACCAGGGATAATCAACAAGTTAGCTTTCAAACCCATGCGTGTGAGCAAGCAAGCATCTTTCATTTGGACTCACCCTGTCTGTTTCGTTCCAAAAAGTTTCGTCTCTTTTCATCTTCATCTTGCTCAGATGAGACGGATTTTTGTCGCTTATTGGTGGGGCCCAAACCTTCCAATAATTCGCCGTGTTCCTGACGCTTTGTTCGAGTGGATGGTTTTGAGTCATTCATGAGCTGGTGGGTCGATCGAGAGCCTTTTCGAGTAGAGCCTCCGTTTTCATGGTGAATGAACTCGGTAGTGGACTGATATGGACGCGCTTCGCTTTTGACGGCGGCTTGATCTTGCCCATAGGATTCAGGCTGAGAAACTATGGGGAAGGTTGTAATATGCTGAGCTTGTGGTGTTGGTTTTACAGATTGTGGGATAGGTGCAGGTGGTTGCTGGTATACTATGGAAAGTATTGCTATTGGTCAGTTCTCTCCTATACATAAATTATGACTATTCCCCGTGTCATTCGATCCTACCTCCGTATTTTGTACCATTCACATGAGTAGCTTGTGTATTGGCTTGGAAACTGTACTGCATCGATGTTGGAATCTGTGGTTGATAAGGGACAAACTCATCGGATTCAACTGGTTTCATGGTTGTTGCTACGGTCGTTGTCGCAGCAACAGGGGTAGCAGTGAATGGGACAAGAGCATTACTCACTGGTCCCTGAAGCATGGAAGGTGACAGAGGTCCAGCTCGTAGGGATCCCCAGGCGAATTGATCAACAGTTGCCTTCTTGAAAGTTGGGATTCCAGTGGATGGGCTATCCATGGAAGTTACAGGTGGTAGTACAGGTTTAGAGACAGGTGGGGAAGGATTTTTGGCTGAAACTTGGGCAGCCGCGGTCGATGGGAGACCGGAAAACGATTTTTCGAATGGATTTGGTTCCTCATCGAGTTTTGAGTTTTGTGGTAAACTGACGTAATTCTCAGGGAGAGGCTCTTCGGGAGGAGCTACAGTTTGTTGAATGGCTTCCGGTGGACGCTGAAGCATGGAAGGTTCAACGACTTTTTTGATGGACAGGATCAATATCAGTAAGAGGAGTTTACTCCTGTTGCAATTCAGTCATAGAAACACTCACCTGCAACTTCGGGAATGGCTTGCTTAAGAACCGAGGCTGCTGTCGCGGCGAGAGCGGTAGAGCTGTTCAAAGCAATCTTATCGCGAGGATGCTGATCGAAGAAAGGTACTGTGGCAGTGTTTGTAGCAATCATATTGTGCCGCCCGCAAACGAGGGGAAGTGTGTCAGGTCGTTGGAAGTGAGTAAAGGGTAAGCTAAGGAACGGGAAGATGAGTATATCGATAGGGTCGGCAATGGAGCAGCAATGAAGAACTCACAATGGAGGTGAAGTGAGATGTAGATTGCTGCTTTGATGATAACAAGCACGAGAAGAAAAGAAATGACAATGTAATCAAGTATCTAGCAAGGTTAGAAAAAAAAAAAAGAGAAAAATACGGGCGCAACTCCAAATCGGCGGCAACAGTTGACAAGGAGTCTGGGCTTATTTGATGGAATCTGATTGGGGGAAGAACAGGAGGAAGAAAAGAAGAAATCACACTTCGTGGTGTTAAAATAAGGCATTTTAAAAAATCTGTTCTGTAGTGTTCTATTTATTAGAGGATATGCGGAATAAGAATCGCTAGCTATGACTTTTTGACTACCTTAACATTGCAATTGAGCCCATCCTTGCATTCAATGTAAATAGGGTGTAATGCTTATTTGATCATGACCCATCCACTCTGTCTATCCTTTTTCCAACCGTAGTGTTTTTTCCTAAAGGCTCAAAGCGCCACCAACGTAAGTGTGTTACCCTACCACCCATTTGAGAATCCGAACTCAGCTCGACTCAGGTACAGAGCCATTAACGAAAACTATGGCATTCCTTTCATGATGGATGAACGTCTTGGAGGTCCCCTTGGGTAAAGTGTTATGTAGGGTACACTCTGTACAGCAGAATAGGGGAATAGGAGCCATATCGTCAATAAAAGAACAGGTGGATCCTTTTGCATCTCCGAAGTGAAGGGATTTCCAAATCGTGCTCTGTTTGACCTGAGGGAAGTTTAATAATTTTTTTTTGTCGATATTGATCTTCCACTCTCGTCATCGCAGACGTGCTCCGATTTCCTAAGGTGACAGAGGAGCCTGGTCAGTGTCACCCAACCAAATAAATTGCGACCTTATCCGACCGATGGAATATACATAGGTCGAAGAATCCAGGCGTAGCTTGGATCCCTATCTTGCAAGTCAGATAATAAAATTGCTAAAGAGAGGATTGCCATCAAAAGAAAATGGGATTTGTATCCTTCCCCACATTATATGAACATAGCATATTTATTTCATACACTAATATGATCCTATTAATTTAAGCCAAGGCTCCCATAGGATCGTAAGCGGGGAGAACAATAGGCTCGGTTTTGAGTACCTCCAACAAGTTATCGGGAACATCCTTCTTTTCAAGAACAACCTGCGTAGCATGAAAAAAACGTGTCAGTTGGATATCGAGGCATGTAAAGGGTTCAGTGACGTAGCCAGGTTAATTTAGCCGGGCCGATGCCTACCTGATAAACAAATTGTTCAAACCACTTGTCGGTCATGATCCAGTAACCTTTGTCGCCGGAAGCATCACCCCAACTGTTCTCAACGCGCCAACGCACAGGGTTACCATCTTCATCCAAGTGAACTCCGGAGAATACCATGGCATGGGTCATCAAACTTTCTCCGTACAATACTCGCTGTGCTTTGGTCAAACCGAGTTTGATGCCGAAAGCCAGTTCGTAGTTGTAAAGATCAGTATCCATAGCAGCAACTCCACCGTTGGAAAATTGACCAACATCACAACCAAACCACACTGGTCGTCCACTCTTGAGGACCTTGATGGCATACTTCTTCAGGTTCTTGGCTGCGGTGTTGATGTATCTGATATCGGAACCACCAACAACATTGCCAAGTCGATCGACTGTATACAAACGGGAGTATTCATTGCGAGGGTCATTGATCAGTGAAACAGTGTCGGTCAACTAGAGGATGAAGGCGTAAGAGAAGGTTCAATTTCATCACAGCACACAATATAGCTTACCTTGTAATTGATAATTTCCCCATAGAACTTTTTGGGAGTCAGGTTTCTGATGCTAATAACTTTACCATCCTTGTTCTTAACTTCCCAGTCGAATTTCTTGGGAGGTTCGCCAAGGGTAATCATCAAGATACGGTGGATCTCAGCAACCATTTTGTCCTTTTGTGCTCTCAAAGCGGCAGTGGAAATGCCTTGTTCACGTGCCTGACGGATCTGAACCGCATATTCTCGAAGCTTGACGCAGACAAGCCAGTTGAGGCGGCTGGATGCAGACGAAGAGTAGGTTTCAGGGTAGGCACTCTTGGGTACAACACCATACTTCTCAACGACATTAATGAACATATCCCATTGGCCACCATCGTTGATAGGGGTTTGCAACAGGTATTGTACAACACGGTCGTTGACATCAACTTCAGCAAGGTCGATCATGTTTTCCAAAAAGTAATTGGCTTTTTCGAGTTTGTCTGAGAAGAAGCATAATGTCAGTGTTTTGGTTGAGCAGCTATTGTATTTTTTTGCATGGACAACATACCATAGAAGAAAAGGTAGTTTTGAGAGAGTTCAAAATCTTCGTCGAGCTTGTACTTTTGAATCAACAGGCGACGCAAGACGTTTGTACCTATAAAAACAGGCGCAGCGTGATTAGACATACGTGTGTTATCATCGATGCTCAACCTACTCTGCTACTCACCAGCAAACAACCAGCAGCGACCAGAAGACTTTTGGTTAGTGGCCTTGCCTTCGACGTCAGTTTGAACGTTAAAGATATGTTGGTCCTTGACAGCTGCCTTGTGGTTAATCAAAACCGAGGTGATTTCATTACGAGTAATGGCATTCAGAGCAAATTGGTTCTTGGGGTCAGCATAAAATTCCTCTTCATATCTCTCCAAACTCTCGTGAGATAAGCCGGCAAAACGAACACGAGCTTCGCTGTCGTCTAGATTCAGGGCAGTAAAGGAATGAGAGAGCTGCTTCTCAGAAAAGGAAGGCTGCTGGCTATCTTCGTTATGTGTAGGTTGAGATTGAGAGGCACCCATGTACGCGATTTACTAGTGATTTGGGAAAGGAGGAACAAAGGTTGCTGGTAGATAAGACGAAGCTGACAAGTTATAATCGGGGATTTTTTTGGCCACTTGGGTTTATTCCATTGATTGTCTTTATTCTTTGTGGACATTAATAAATCAAATACTGCAATAACATGCGTTTCATCTCATCTTCTCCTGGCTTTTTCTAACTGCTCACCACTTGCATATGCTTTGCCGCATTGAATGGCTTCTACCGTCGACCAAGACAGTCCCAATCTCATATCACGCGATTGACAACCAGTCAAACCACCTGACTCATTCGCAGTGAAGCGGAGACACAAGTTTGAATTTTTTAACATCCCTTTCTGGCAAAAGTTACCTGACAGGGTATCTGGGGTTAGCCGAAGATTCGGCCCAACCATGTTATTATATGTTAGATGAAGCAAATATAAAAAAAGAAAAATTGGTATGATTGGGGTCGCAGAAATGAAGATAGAGAAAGAAAGAGATTGGTAAAAAGATCAAATGAATCAAACATGATGTTTGTTTTGTACAAGGCTGTTACGTTTCCCAAGGGCTAAACCAAGACGTTTCATCGCGCAGCTTTGAACCATAACAGCTCTCACATGAAGCAGAAGCCACAAAATGGAACAACCATCCATCCATTGACCTCCTTAGCGACAATATCAGGTGTCGCCTCTTGACTTGGGGGGATAGTGTGATAGGACGGCATGGTGGGTAGCGGTCGGTCATCTTCAACATCATCATCCGTCAAACTGCTGTTGGTACTGTCGCTGTCACTATCGTCATCGTTCAGGTTGTAGGATGAAGGACGAAAGCCTTTCTGGCGCAACATGTGTTGTGTCCATAGCAAATAGATGCCCTCGTCATTGTCATTGGGTGCGATGGTCGTGTGAGGTGGTGTGGGTGGGGTATATTGGTCATCTTCCACTAAGGAACCAACAGATTGCCGATCTATTAAACAACAACAAATTATGAGTAAATTAAAAATGTTCAAAAATGATATTGTATAATTCCCTTCCCATGTTAAAGCATCCCATGAAGGAAAAAGGGGCAGGCATTAATTGCAATAAGGTAAGACAGCGCGCGTAACAAGATTCATCATGGGATGGGGCTGTAAGGGAGTCTCATGATAAGTCAAAGAACCTTACCTGAGGCAGCCGCTCCTGGTATGGAACCATATGACAACTTTGATGAAGGAAACATGGGAGCGTTATCTGTTATGTGTATAATTGCGTTTAGTGAGGCAGTCATTGAAATAGCTATGGAAATTATTTGGGAGATTATGCTTATAACCCCGCCTTTGGATAATTTGCGACTGCATTGTGAACCTCCTCGCCTTACGCAGCAGCTCAAATCGATATCCACAGGTTTTGGGGGCAATTGGCTATTCTCCAACTAGTAGGATAGATTGCTCGCAGTAAGGGGTTGTACATACCTCTTGGTGATGCCTTATATTCAAGGCTGGGTGATATAGGTTTGGAATGGGCTGAGTTACTGCTTGAATTCGAAGCAATGGAGTTGGATCGCGCCATCAGCTTCTCGGAAATGTAAGCATTCTTCACCTTGCCTTCATTTCTTATATTCTAACACCATGGCAGTTGGTACATAAAGTCATCGGATGTAGTAGACCAAGGGTTATCTTAACGTACCTGAATTGAAGATATATGTGGCTGCGGCATTATTGGTACATGACGTGTTGTTGCGGCCATACTGATAAGTTGGGTTAAGATACTTCTAAGCAGAAACAAGGGACGAGAGAGTGGGGATAGAGAGTATTTTATATATGAGAGGGACAAAAGGCCCATGATACAAAAATGACATATCGGTAATTATACAGTGGTTTTTGCTGTAATGGCATCTCGGATCTTCCTGAAAAAGCTGTGATTGTCTCTCAGCCAATCAAACCTTACGCACCACACGTGAGGCCGCCCGAACATGGCGTAAGAAACAGAGTGCTTCGTATCATTCCCGTCATATCCGATACATTTTTTTCGCATTTTCAGCCCATAGTTTCTCTTGATCAGCTTGACTCCATTGTGAGGTAATCTCTTCAAGGAGTACAAACCATGATTTTAGTTCGCTTCCTTTCCTTTCAACCACGGGCCAGTCACCCCCTGCCATTATTCGGTCATGGCCAAACGCTTCTACCACTACGTCTAAGCACTGTTTGACTTGAGCACTTGTGGGAAGGCCATGTCGCTCGTCTACCTCCGTGATTGCTCCAGATACCTTGCAAACAATGTTAGGATACTGAGCAATTGCCTGTAAATGGGTCTTCCAAAATTCAAAGCGCTTATCGCCTGGGGTTGCACTAATCGGAGGCTTGCCCATATGATCCAGTATAAATTGTACGTCGGGACAGCGTTTGACCAATTCGACCACAGGAGGAAATTGCTCAGGACAATCATGACAGTTAATATTGATATCAAACGACAAGCCATAATCCGCCAGAGCCTGTACGCCTTCGATAAAGGTTTCGCTTGCTGGAATGGTGGGATCTCGAGATGGATCTTCAAGCAGGAACCGTATGCCCTTGACATGCTGGAAATCCACCATGGATTTTAACAAATCAAGGTAGTTGACAACGTGTTTGCCTTGGTTCACGGGAGCATAAACAACCAGGCCGGAAATGCCTCCAAATCCAGCAATCGTTTTGACCTGCTTTGCGTATTCATGTATCCACTTTGCTTCCACCAATCCTTGCGTAGGCTCAACGTCCGCTTCGACAAAAATAACCCCTTCGACCTCAATATCATCGGGTATCTGCTCTAAGTACTCTGGTACGAGCCGGGCCTGTGCAAATTTACCACCAGCTTTGTAGATCCACGGAATATGCACCCGATCAGGGTTCCAATAATGGACATGAGAATCGATCATCCTTCTCTTTGCGACGGTTATTCCGTTGGGTACGTTGTTGTGGAGCATGTTTGATATAGTCAAGGTAAGAAGTAGGAAGAAAAAAGGAATAAAAACTAGCAAGGGAGATGGGCGTTTTAGGCTACATTTACAAAAAGGAGTGTGGGCATAGCCTTTCGGATGCTTAGATAATTTAAGTTCCGTATTATCCGTATCGTAACAGCATGAATGAAGTCGCTGTAAACATCAAACGTATTATATAGAAGACGAATTAATAAGTACAAAGTGTCTATGATAATTTTTTTTTATTTCATCTCCCAAAAACATGGCGAAATCTGTACAGTGCGCGTGTGTATATGTGGTATTTGACGGTAAATTGGCCTTGGAGGATGATGTGAAAATTTACGTCGTTTGACGGTCACCGGATTTATGGAAAAGTCAAATACAGCTCAGCCGCTGGTAAAAATCAACCACTCTGGGGTCAGCAACTACCTTGCTTGGATTGAAATTGAGTACTTGAAGTGAGTTCATGTCTGTCGCTCTTGAAAGTGCTACGTAAGCTTGGCCTAAAACAGAGTTAGATATACAATAACTATCAACTCCAGAACGACACACTCTCTGATCTATACCTTTTTCAAATACACTGCCCAAGTCAACGAACACACGATCCAATGTTTGCCCTTGACTTTTATGGATTGACAAAGCCCAAGCCAACATTAGCGGGATTTGCGTTCTTGTTGCAGCCAACTCACCACCTGTTTGAAACGACAAATAAATACAAAAGATCCCATGCTCATAAAACTCCACGGGCTAAACACTGACCTGGTAGCTCAACTTCCCATCTTTCTGGTTGAATGACCACCTCTTGTCCATTGACAAACCTAACAATAGGGTATACTTCTGTTGGTATAATCATTTCTTCTTTTCGCCCTCCTCCTGGCGTATTGCTGGATCTCTCCTTCTCCAGAAGGCGAGACTGAATAGAACTTTCCGATGTAAATTGACCTTCATTTGTGAATCCGATGATGATGCCGGTTGAACCATTAACCAAAGAGGGAGTCAAGTTTTTGATAAGCATGACTTGCGCGTCCATTTTCAGTTCGAGCTCAACAGGTGCCATACAACCATTCAATCTGGCTTGGTCTCCCCAATCGTTAGCTGTGTAACGATGTGTCGCTCCTGTCAAATGGCGGAGTCGGTCATTGTTGGAGATTTCAACTTGATTTCGTAATGAGAACCTATTGTGAAAAAAAGGAGTTCATTCATTGTTCTTCAAAAAGAAGGGGGCAATATACATCGATCATGGACACTTACAGTCGAGTCGGCTGGATGGAATCATCAGCGTATTTCGGTGTACGAGAGAGAGACTTGAATTTATCGATTGTGCTCGTGGACATTTGATTCAAGCGCATTTCGTTCAACATCCGGACAAAGTCTAGAGTACCAGTTAGCTTAGGGTGTCATAGTAAGAGACATTCATCGCCATCTTACCTCCGTCCTTCTGTCGAAACACATGAGTCAGCATGACGTTTCTTTCGACCACTTTACTCCACGACTGAGACTCGAAACAGTATTTGGCCACCTTGTCCTTTCCAACCGGAGGAAGTTGAAAAAAATCACCAGTAAGGATGAGCTATACGATGGAAGGTCTTAGATAAGGACACTGGCAAAAAATTATTTGGATGTCATGCTCACCTGAATACCGCCAAACGGTTTCGTGTTTCGTCTGACTTGACGTGCAATTTGTTCGAGTTTGTCAAATAAGCCGGCATCGATCATAGAAACTATGAGTTCGCTTTTATGAGACTTCGCTTCGTTCATAGCACTTTTTGATGATACAACACTTACTTTCATCGATGACCAAAACCGATATAGTTGTCCATCGTCGATATATTTGCTTCACGGTGGAAATTCTCTTTACCAATTTTTCCACACTGTCATGACCGAGACCAATACCAGCGAAACTATGTAGTGTTAATCCTCCTATGTTGCACGCAGCAATACCGGTGGATGCAGTGATAGCAATACCACTCCCATACTTCCTCTGCATTTGGGCAATGATTTCTATGCATGTAATTTGATCAATACACTGCATCAAGAGCTCTTTACAAGTGCATTGAACCCTCTTACCTCGCAGCAAAATGGACTTTCCCGTTCCAGCCGATCCAGTGAAAAACAAGCTCTTGCGTTCATACAAGGCCATTTCAAGTACGGCATTCTGCTCATCAGACAACTTATACTGACCCAGACGAGTTATCTCTCTAGTTGCTCCTTGACTACTGCTAAGACTACCATCAGAAACTCGACCTCTCTTCGCGTCTGAGAAAGACTTGGACGGAAGCACTCGTTTCTTGCTTTGTGTAGTGGCTGCTGAAAATGCTGGGTTACCAAACATGGAGCTGGATTCCGTTTGAGACGAATTGGATGACCCGGCCGCCACTTTAAATGGCTGTACATCCATTGCGGAAGGTCCACCATGAGAGAACTCAAACGTGTTGGCAGTGCTTGTATGCATTGAAGAAGAAGAGCTGATGTTGGTCGGGACGGCATTCCAAGCTCTGCCCGCTGATGCTAATCCAACACTGGGCTTCGATGCTTGGCGGTTTGCAAAGGATGCTATTCTTGGTTTAGGCACAGTCTCCGTTACTTCCATAGTCAAATCAATCAAATCTTCGAAGACAGCGTGGTCCTGGGCTTGCTTCGGGGCCGCCACCTTCGGAGCCGCCAGGGTGGTATTAGATCGTTTTGCTGTTATCTGTGACGAAAATACCAATTTTTGATCGCCATATAGCTCGGCATCAACGTATTTAGAGTCATTCGTTATCTGCTTTGTAGCAGATCTGGAAGCTGCAAATGGGTGTGAGTTATGTCGCGTTGTCAATGGAACTGTTGGCGAGGAATTTGATATAGGCTGTGATTGAGTAAGATTCTTGGCCGACACGAATGTAGTGGCTGTTGTATTTGAATCCTTTTTGGAAAAGTACGATAGAATGGAGGATTCGCGTTTCAAACTGTTCTGGCCAGGTCGCGACCCTCGTCCCTGTGACATTGAAGTAAGAAGTTTTTGAACAGCGGTTAACTCGGTGAGACGAAATTCCACCCGAGCTAAAAAATAGGGAAAAAAAGTGTCATTTAATATTCTCGCGTCGCGTATTTGTGACCATTCTGCTTTGGGTTGCCGCCAAGCCAGTCTAATAAGTTTTGATAAGTATACTATATAACAAAGTTACTCTGCCATATATCATTTATTGCGTTGTGAATTGTGGTTGGAATACCTATAGCTGTATGAAATATAGAAACTGACGGTATTGAATGGTACTACTAAAAACCAAGAGCCTTCTTCAAGCCATCTATACCATCATCGGCCCGAGCAATAGTACGCTTCTCGTCTTCCATGGGGTAACCAATAATATTGTCAAAAGAGGATATTTCGCCTTGCACCACTGGCTGCTCAACCAGCTCCTTCAGTTTTATAGACAAGACTGGGCCGAAGTCGCTTTCATCGTCTAATTGGTCACTGTCTTCTTCATCGTCCAGAATTGCTTGAGATAACTTGAGGTTTTCTAATCTAGTCCTGGTTGAGAGATCAATCATTTCTTCGTTCAAAGGTTTGCGGTACGCCTCGATTGAAGCTGGATCCATAGTATTGACAAGGTTGGTCACTTGCTGGCTATTTTTTTTGGCTATGTTGCATAGGTGGGTATCGACGATCCAGCAAAAACTGAAAAATCGCTGTTGGTCTGGAGATTTCTGTACAATGCGAGCAGCTTCATCTTCGTGATATGTCACATAGTGCCATGCCGCAGCTTTCGCTTCAACATCAGGAAGTCGATGTCGACCAATTTCTTTTTTGCTTTCATCCAGAAATTCTCGATAAAACTCGTTTCGATAAACTTTTCGTAGACTGATGACGGCATTCATGGTCTGCTTGTGTACTTCATGGCTGCGGCGTTTGTTATCCTTTCTTAACCACTTGATAATGTATCCAGATACAATTTCGGCTTCAGAGAGGACACCATACTGGTTCATCAATGATAATATATCACGGTCATAGTTGCTTTTGAGTTCGCGAGCTTCGGCAATGTATCGATGCATGCCTTCCACATACAATCGATGATCGTAGCTTGCTTCCGAGGTCAGGACATCTTTGTATTTTTTGTAGTCTTTCTTATCAATCAAACGGTATATTCTGCCCAGAACCTTTTGTGACTCGTAGCTTTCCTTGTCTTTCTTTTCCATGAAATCAGGGAAAACTCGGACGCGCAGTTCGTCATCTAATTTGGCAGGTTTACCGGATTTTGGGAAATCTTCAGACAAATTGTCCATTAGCAAAAGGGTGCTCGCTCCTACGTGACGGCTGACGTCAAACTATACACTTACCAACAGCAAGGGAGTGTAGCTGAGCAAGTCGAAGGCATGCTCCATCCATAGCGCCTCGTGGTGAGCGATCGGCTGTAGCCAAATGAGCATTGGCAATTTGGCCAAGGTTGTCGTTATTAATGTAATTTACAAAGAATTTTTGTACATGCGATATGGTGACATTGTCAACAGTGAGCGGTTCATCTGCCTTATAGTCCATAGCCGGATAGTTCTTGATCGTAGGTAACAATTTGGGATCCCAAAAGATACTGCAGTAAAAATATAGGCTATGAGCATACAACTGGCTATTGAAGCCACGTACATTCTTGGTTTTTTCTCTTACCTATAATCATCACCATCCAAATCACCTCCAGAACACATGCTGGCGAGATCTCGATAGCCTTGAGCAGGAAAGACGATGACGTTGACAAGATGGTGCAAGGCAGGGTAATCGACCGCCTGAACGACACGAATATCACCAGGATGGAAGCAAGGGTTGCGGAATAAGATACAGTCCGATAGAATAATCTGTCTGTGGTTTTTAGAGTCATTCGTGCCAGCCGATATCTGTACAAACACTTCGTTCTCCTTCAAGCTGTTCGTTTCATCCATAACACCAAGCAAATAGGCTCCTTGAGGGACAATGATCTTAGCCTTCTTCTTCAGGTCTTTAAGTTGGGACATTCGAAACAAGTTGAGCAGATTCATAATATATGGGTCCTTCTTCTCAAGAAAGCCAGCAGAAAGTATATGAGCCATAGATTTTGCCGTTCCGTATTCATCCACGTTGGCCTGAAGAATTCTGATGGCCTCTGGTGCATTGCTGAGCATTCTGTTCATTGAAGTGAGCATTGAATTGACCATGTCGAGGAACACTTCATCTGGAACACCAAGACTAGATAAAATTGTGATTGCTTGTCGGTTGAGGTATGATGGAATATAGGTTGACGGACGAATCACTTCCAATATAGAATGCTCGGTATTGAACTTGATCTGACTTGGCCGCAGCTGGATTTTACGTCTATTATCAGTATCTGTCGTCAACGTAAGTACTCCCTTGGCACCGCCAAGTCTGAATTGAAAGGCACTTGGTATAGACATTAAGCCCAGCAGGTTCGCAATGTCACCAGCTAACTTTGGCGATATTTTTCCTACACCATCTGAGAACGTGTATCCGTTACGAACGACATCTGGAATAGTTTTGACCTCTGATTCAGAAAGCTGAATAACGGCTTGGGTAGATGAAAAGCACTAGAGCAAATCCTTTTAGGTTAGTGAAGAGTTCAATCTCAAAATAAGTTGAAACCGATCCTCTTGTTACCTGGCCCATCCGAGCAGAGTACTTTGCGACAATGCGGACGTTGGAGAAATTTCCCATCCAAGCTCGAACATGGTTCGCTCGTAGATCTTGGGTAGGTGCAAAGAACCAACATCCATGCTCACGAAGTTGAGAGCTTGAAAATGCCAGAAATTCGTATCGCCGAGACCCAATCTGTATTCCATTCTGAAGAACATCGAAAATGCGATTGTACAAAGCCTCGTTGCTAAATCCGCGTGGCGAGGCACCTATTCTGCTCAGCGAATCGTCAAGGAATTGCACTCGAGCAAACCGGTCGACATGTTGATGAAAATGCCGCACTACTCGATTCGTGGTTTCCATGTTGGGCACCTGAGGATACATGGTCGCCGGAGTGACCAGAAATTTTCGGATGAGAGCATACTGTGGCGGGACTTTCCTAGGTTTGAGAAGTTGACGACCCATTTTATCCCAAGTGTCTTGAAATTCTCTAATAGGATTCCACACACGTTTGCGGGAACTGATGAAGGTTTCCAATATTCGACAAGAAACTTCAGGATCTAGCTTATGTAGCATGTCATAAAATTGCTCGTTGAGGTTGTATTCGCTGAGAACCCGACTGCAAATAGCGCATTCAAGCATATATAGAACGTCAAAAGGCAATGTGGCTCGCCCAATGTGATCGATTGGTTTCTCTATCTCTGAAGAAGGTCGTATGGTGAGTGGTGTGTTGAGTTGCATCGATGATGGGCGTGGAAACAGATTGTAGCTGACAGCCTCCTCGATCAAATGCTTAAACTGGTCGATGGACCGATGTGTTGGCGTGATTTGCAAGTGATAAACGACGCATTGTCCAAGATTGACACTGTAGGGTTGTGCAATGGGCATAAGAGGTTCTCTTCGCTTACTAGCCGTCCCGGGAACAGAAAAGGCTATAGGTATAGTTGTGATGCGTTCCCACTGATCACTCATAGACCAGCTGAACTTGGTCATACGTTGGCCCTTGGGATTTTGCTTCCAGTACCTTGGAGGATTCTTGAAATAAATGGTCATATAATACGACTTGTTGACTTGAACCATCCGAATATCGCCATCGATATCCTTAAACCTACTCTCCAGTCGATACTTTTCTCGGTTGTATGAAAAGAACAGTTGCAGATTGCGATTTTTGAAGTTGAAAGCAAATCCAACGTCTTGATCCGTACTCCATTCCGATATGAAGGTGCTCGGTGTAGACATGATGCCCATGTCCATCTTCTGCGCATCAAACCTTGCCTTTTGTGACCTCAACCGCCCATCCCTCCAATCACGGCGATTGTAATTATCTTGTTTGGTGATTTCGAGCTTTATACTTCTTCCGTCCAAAGTAAGTGGTTGCTTCAAGAAATTGAGATTCTGGGGTCGTGGTCTATATGGAAAGAGATAACCCGTTGAGCAGCCGCATATATGTAACACTACACCACCACCTATATGTCTTGTTCCACCCCTAGCGACTTTTCTGTGATTTGAATAGTTACCTGTAAAGCAGAATAGCCGAACCACTAGGTAAATCGTTATCGTCGAGTATAATGTCAACGGCCTCTAGTTCGCCATATTGAATGAACGCATTTCGAATGGTACCAGCCACTGTCTTCTTGCTCATGTTTGTAATTTTGACCTTTAGCTCTGCTCTGTCCGTTACAACTGAAGCGGCTGCAACGGCTCGAACTTCAGATCGCGAAGCTGCCAGTCGATGGTGATCACCATTGCCTTTTACCGCTAGATCTACGAATAAGAGGAGATTTTAATAAATGAGCTGAAAACGTGATCTCTATGACGCTCGTACTGACGGTTGGATCCAATGGAAGGACTTGAAGGCTGCTCTACTGTTCTTTGTGTGTGGTTGGGAGAGGAAGATGTCGCTTGTGCTGAAGAATTAGAAACGGAAACGGGAAATTCGGTAGAGGATCGCGCTGAGCTTAGTAAGCCGTAGTTCACAGCATTCGAGTAAACAATCGGACGAGGTGGTGATTCGACTTTGGGCAGCGAATCTGCCATCTCAGTCGGGAACAGCAGCAAAGCGTGGTTCCCGCCAAACTCCACAATCAATGGCAAGGATTGTGGCGTCATCGCGGTCACATTCGAGCTTGGATTTTTTGGGTTGGGTTCAATTTTTCATTATTTCAAGCGGGATCCTGAACTACAACTTGAGCTCTGAACGAACTCACTTTCTACTTCAACTTTTTTTGGATTTTTTTTTTCCTCTTGAGCTGTAATGGCGGTATTCAGTAACTGCTATTTTGACTGTGGGTAGTGATATCCTGACCACTGGCTTAATCTCTGTTCATGTTTTACATCCACCCAATGTTATTGGTCGTTTCCGCTGGGTGTAGTCAATGTGTCGCTGTTAAGATATATAAACATACGGAAATGATGACTTTCTAAAGTACACACTGCTGCATCGCAACCTTATTGAAAAACGCACTGACTGTCATACTCTCCTGTATTTTTCCGGTATCTTATATTCCCATACCAATCAATAAACTCTATTATCAAGCGTCCCTCAAGCTCTATGCACGCAGCAATTTTCTGCAAGCCAATCGTCTTTTTGAGCATTTTTAGACAAACGCATCTGATACCTCGTAAACTTTAGTTTCGCCAATGACATGCATGTGGAGATCGTGGCTACATCAAATTTTAGAGCATGCCCAACAACCAGTACAACAACCGGCTGGGAGGTCAAAAATAATTGGTCAGAGCACGGTAATCTGAGATGTTGAAACTCAACGTCTATTATATCCCCTCCACCAATCGATGAGTAGAATACCAATTCATGGATAGGATTCAAGAGCCTACAATTTGATTTGATAGTAAAGTGTCCAATGTAATGATTATATTAGGTTGTATGGACGGTTTCGGACGATTTTCATTTAAAGATTATTGATCTAACACTGAGATCAATCCAAAAAAAAAAAAAAGGTCATACACACATGAGCATGCAAACACATATTCAGGACATTCTTGGTAGTACCCTGTTGTGTACCATCCACCTATAGTACAACATATTGTAGAAGGTCCGCTACCATTAGCAACGGATGGGTGGTCATGGCACGTGCGACAAATATTGCGCATTATGTCCATAGACAACAGTTGCTTGATACTACACCGGGACCATATCGGTTGACAAATTTACCATCACCCCAGTACAGTAATATGTGGATTGTTTTTTAAAATCTGGTTTTTTTAAGTCGCTCTTGTAAAATGCGAATGAATATTACGTATTCAGAGATGTGTCAGTGGCTGCAAAAATTCAAGGGCATCGTCCATGAACGCCGAAGCTCGCTCTTTGATGGAAAGCAAAATGAGGCTAGAATATTGACATGTTTTGGGTACCAATTTCTAGTTTGCGTGTGGCAATAGAGGGCTGTCATTGGACGACGGAGGCAACAAATTTTTTTATTTGGGATTTATCAGAGGCAATAATTTTTTTTTTGGTATTTATCAAACATGGTAAAATTATGTCTACTGGTGTCGGAAAAGACATCGTTCGGGACGCCAATATGCTTGCCGATGTTCGGAAATGATGAAATAATGAAGAAAAAAAAGTCTATAATGTTGTTGGAAGATCTTTCATTGTCTATGGTGAAGAGTCCTATAGAAGGGTGATCTGCAAAGATGTTACGATGAACTGGTTTTACGATAATATGCCCTGAAACATCGAGAACTGTAAAGGTTAGGCCATTGAAGTTTAACCAGCGTTCTCCTCATTATACCCTCCTCCACGTGCATTGCCTCCATCCAACGATTGATTAAGGTTTACCAGTAAGGAAGGTTGAAGATAACACGACCAAAATTTAACCTCGGATTAGATCGACTTTATTCATTCCATCTAGTTTCAGAGGTAATCTGTATAAAAGGACCCTCATATTTTATGTTAAAGATTCTTTGTTAACACAGTCTTTCACATGTCTACTGGTGATATTCCTGAGAACCTTATGGTCGTTGGACCTGAGAAGCAAGCTGGTCTTGATGTCATTCACAACGAGACCCGAACCGAAACCATCGATTCCATCACCCCTGCTGAGAAGACCTCTCAAACCACTTCTTTGATCTTCGCCGGTATTGCCCTTGGCAGTGACGGTTACCAAGCTAACGCCATCGGTGCTGTCAGCTCTTTCCTCGGAGAGATCTATGGAAGCACCTACGACTCCCTATCCTCTACCAGAGTCAGCAATGCTATGCTTATTGGTGATATTGTTGGTCAAATTGGCTTCGGTTATTTGATTGATCGTGTCGGCCGTAAATTCGGTATCCTCGCCTGTACTGCTTTCGTTTGCTTGGTGAGTAAAAATATACTTGTGAAATTTTCATGTTTTACGCTGTATCCTTACTGATATTCGCTTTCAGGGTATTGTTTTAGCCACTGCTTCCAGCGGTCTTACTCCCCAAGGTCTTTTCTGGATGTTGTGTATTGCTCGTGGTGTTACTGGTGTCGGTGTCGGTGGTGAATACCCATGCTGCTCTACTGCTACCAATGAAAGTGCTGAAGAATCTGGTCGTAGCCGTGGTTTCTGGTTGGTTATCTGCGGTAACTTCATCATTGAGTAAGTATATATAGCATTGTTTGTGTGTGAAGGTTGAGCATACATCTAACTCAGCACTCTTCAGTTGTGGTTTCTTGCTCGGAACAATTGTTCCTGTCATCCTTCTTGCTATCTGTGGCGAAAATGCCTTGGAGCCTGCATGGCGTTTGACTTTGGGTCTCGGTCTTATCCTTCCCGTCACTGTTCTGTACTTCCGTCTTAAGATGCTTAACTCCAAGATGTACCGCAAGGAGGCTATGCAACGCAATGTTCCTTATGGTCTCATCTTCAAGCACTACTGGAAGTACCTTGTCGCCTCCGGTGGTATCTGGTTCCTTTACGATTTCATCTCATAGTAAGTAACATGCAACCTTTTGACATAAAATACATCTAGCTTCCGTATATACCCTTTTTATCTAACCGGCCCTTATTTATAGCTCCTTCGGTATCTTCTCCGATCTCATTCTCGCTGAGGCTGTTCCCGACAATACCTTGATGCAAACTTTGCAATGGAATATTGTCCTTAACGTTTTCTACCCCTTCGGTGCCTTGGCTGGTGCTTTCGTTGTTGATAAGTGGGGTCGTAAGAACACTATGGCTGCCGGTTTCTTCATCCAAGCTGCTTTCGGTATTGCCATTGGCGCCTCTGCTCCTCAATTGATTAAGGTCTTCCCCTTGTTCGTCATCATGTACGGTATTTTCCTCTTCTTCGGTGAATTCGGTCCTGGTGATTGTACCATTCTCGTTGCCAGTGAAATTTACCCCACTGCTATCCGTGGACAAATGATGGGTCTCTCCGCTGCCATTGGTAAGGCTGGTGCTGCCATCGGTACTCAAGTTTTCAAGCCAATTTTGGCCGCTCTCAAGGAAACCACTGGCGATTCCGTCAAGGCTCAAGGTTACCTTTTCATCATTGGTTCTTGCATTGCTATCCTCGGTGGTATCCTCACCGTGTGGTTGGTCCCAGAAATGAGCAAGGATAGCATGGCCGATAACGATGCTAAGTTCAGACAGTTGCTCATTGACAACGGTTATGATATTACCCAACTCGGTCTTCATGATCCCCATCCCCAAGACGTCAAGGCTGGACTGGAATCCGCCGAAGACGAAACCAAGTAAACTCATTAATTTCATCCCTATCCACAATAACTTATTACAAAATAATTGATCCGTCAAAAATCTTCACTATGCAATATCCACAAATATAAAAGGCTTTGAGCCAAGCATTTCACAATCTGTAAACTATACTTCAGTATGACGCCTCGGTTTCCAAATGTTGAGTGTAGCAGGACGGTAGTCGGGTGCATTAGGACCAATTTGTTCTACAATAGTTTCTTACATTGGTTAAGACCATCAATGGCAGCAAAGAGTGATGGTCGATAAACATCCTGAAACATTGACAGCTGACTTTTTGAGAAAAAACCTGCAAGCGATCTGAGCCGATTCAATTTTGAGAAAGCTCCGATTCAGTAACAGTTTGCAGTTTGCAGGAATGGGCAGTACAAGTAAAGTAAGTTGGCGTACATGAAGAGTTCGCCAATATGCTTGTGCCCTTGCTTTTTTTTTTGATCAGCGCTCCTTCTGTGAAGAGGTGACAGACCATTGAGAACATTCCGACTCATGCATTACAAGGTTGTATCACAAGTGGACATCTTCTAATTGACAGTGTTATCATGCTTTATAGAATACCCTAGTAACGCCCATTAGGCGAAAGCTTATCAGAGTCAACTTTTGAAACAATGAAATTAAGCTTGCCTTATATACATGGGGTAATCTGGAAGGCATAAACTCTACAATGCAATTATGCTGCTGTATCTGCAAAAAAACGTCAAGTCTGACTTTATATGAAGGAAAGACAAGGAGGGTATCGCGGCATCGATCTTTACTCCGGAGTGAAGTATGTAGCCATGACAAAAAACGCTTGAAACAAAACAGAAAAAAATCGTCTTAGGGATAGCATTATGTCACGTTATGAACCCATAACCATAGAACCAAAAAAAAAAAAAAAAATTCTAATAGACCCTTGTATAAGCTCTTCAAACCCTTCAAGAGCTCTAATGGCAATGAATGAACGTCCTTTTGCCAACCAACCTTACTGCCGGACAATGTACCGTAGAAACACAAAGTAACTTTTTTTATTTCTTGACCATAATCTGACGACTACCTTCAGCTGAATTATTATGATTTTGTATGTAGATGGTAATGATGGGGTGTTGCTTGTTATATTACAATGGTACTTCCGTCAGGCAGTGGAATTAAGACAAGGTCCGTCAGTAGGACAAGTTACGCTTGGTGACATTTAGTGCTTGGGAGACACAGGGCAGAATCTTGTAGCATGAAAGGCTGAACCGCAGACATAGCATCTCTGTTGACCAGCAGAATTAACTGGTTTGCTGGCAGGCGCATTTTGGGTATTGACTTTGCGTGCAGGGACTACAGTTTGCATGTTGTGGGAGGTTGACAAAGTTCCAAGTGAGGGCAATGTGAATCTTTTCAGTAGTGGGTTTTACCACAGCCTTTTATACGTTTAGCAATCCACGCAACTTGTTGCATATTTATCGTATGTAAAACTCCTGTTTTCCATAAATAGCCGTCCAAAAACCTTTCGTTACATATGGAATCTGATAAAGATCAAGAATAGTTACGATGTTCTTTCAGACTTTTGAGCGGCGCAGGTATATTGAAAGAGATCCAACCCCCTTCAGGATATTGAGGATTGATCTCCCCCCTTTTTCTGCAATGATCCCACATCGCCTCAAGCCATTATTGATTCGGTGATCATTTCCTTTTGGACATCCTGCACTTGAAACGTAACTCACTTTGTACATTTAATGAAAAGAAGAACTTACGAAAGGGAATCACTTTTGTTTTGAGAATACCGATGAGTCACCATTTTCTAAAAAGTTGGCAAGGGGTTCGTTATCGATGAAGTTCGTCAAATCCTTGTGCATGGCCATGCTATGCTTTGTTTGGTTTCATAGGTTTCTTTTCTGAATCTGCTGTTTAAGGGATTACAGCTTTTTCACTGTGGCTACACTTTCTTGGTGTCATCAATTGTTGCTTGCTGACTTTTTCTCCTCAAAGATTTTCATTTGTATTTTTTAAACTTTTGGGACGTATGACAACTCTTTATCGTAGACCTGTTTGTTACAGGGTCAATCCATGAGTTTCCTGCAGGATCGATAATCCCGTTTCAGATATGGTCATCTTTAGTCTGCAGCTACTGATGAAAAACTAGCAGTAGACAATTTCAGACACATGTGGCCCCTCACTGAATTGCCCAATTTGTCTAACCTAGTCCTGTCATTAAGGGATGTGCCTCTGTTGTAGCGAAGCCCTTCTGTATTTTTAGATGGATTGTTGGCATGACAATTGTCGATGGATAGTAGATACACCCAAAACTGCTTCCAAGCGATAAAGAATAGCAAAAGTTAATAATCGTGAAAAGTAAACACGAAGACGCTGCTGGTCAGGTTGTGTGCCATATAATGTCTAAGGGACCGATTGTGGCATTACACACACGCAAGCACCTTAGACTTTTGATTTTGACACTACTGCAAGCTGTAGTCTACTTGAATGCCTGACCCCTTCCCATTGTTGTATATCATTTCCATTGTTTGTTGGCATCCAATGCAATCGGGCACATCTTCGTTTTAAGCATACAAAGATTATTATTTTTTAGAGTTCAATGGGGCTGCCCAAAAAAAAATTTCCTATCCACATTGGCAAGTCATAGAATATGCTACCTTCGCTTTTGAGAACAATGACTGATGTTGAAGACATCAAATGTCAATAATGACGCCAAGGCTCAATCTATACTGCTCATTTTCCTTATCTACTGTCATATGTGAATTTTAGGGCTGACACATCAAAGCATCCTCAAGCGGAAGTCATTTACCCAAAACAGCTTGTTGATCGCAGTGAAAGTAATCCCTCACGTTGATCAAGCACGCTTTGCTAATTGTATGTGAACGCAGAGGTGTTTTCCCTCACTCCTTTTCTCATACGATCATACTTTTTTTTTCATGGATGAAAACCTTAAGAGTCGCTCAAATTGCGGGCATGATCTCCTTGTCTTTCAAATCTTGCAAACTACAGACCTACAACATACTGTTTTCGCGCGTGTAGACCAAACAACCTATTTTGACGTGATATTGTGCATTCTAACATTTGACAACTTGCATGTTTAGTGTCTGCGACAAGTCACTACCTCTTTTGGTACGTTTTTGTCATTCACTCTACTTGTTGTAAGCAGTGCTTTCGATTATTAGCCGCTGGTTACATCATGTCCCATTTATATTATTTTACAGTAAACAGTACAGTACTATTATCATCAACCAAAAGCCCTCAAGTCATTTTTTAAAAAGGAGGTTTTCCTCCATACAGCATAGAAGGCTGAGTGTGTGCACAATTTTCTTATTGAAAGCTAGCCGTGACAATTATTTCATATAAGCATAGAAGTTCGGTATAAAAAAGACTCAGGATAGATAGAAAACCAGGTGTTGGAGGACATTACGCAGATATGTGAGCAAACGAGCAAATCAGATCCCTTGCCAATAGTAAAGAAGGATCATAAAAACCAGTGTGTTTACAACAGATTACATCCCTTCTTCTTCTTGCTCTTGCTAACCATCAAAGCTGCTCTGGTTGCGTGTTCAAAAACTTCGCGAACGCCATTACCGTCCTTTGCAGAGCATTCCAAGTACTTGTAAGCGTTGATTCTTTGCGACACTGCGACACCCTATTGATAATTTATGAGTTTTACGTTAAGAATTTTGAGCGCAATTTGGGTGTATCAACTCACCTCTTCGTAAGTGACAGGTCTTTGTGAGGTCTTTCTAAGTTCCTCAATAGTATGGGGGTCATTTCGAAGATCCTTCTTGCACGCAATCAACAGAATAGGAAGACCTTGGCAGAAGTGAAGGACTTCAGAGATCCACTGTAAGGCAGTCGGTTTCAGTAAATGTTTTTAGATGGAATGCGGGGTTGCAATGCTGTTGTCATGTACTATATACCTTCTCTTGTACGTTATCCAAAGAGTCTGGAGAGTCGACAGCAAAGCAAATCAAAATGACGTGAGAGTCAGGGTAGGACAGCGGGCGAAGTCGATCGTAATCTTCTTGGCCTGTGAATCAAAGAGAGTGGGGTTTAATCTCGTGGGATCCGGGTAGTTAGATTTTAACAAACGGTTTTTACCTGCTGTATCCCAAAGAGCGAGTTCTACGTGCTTTCCATCAACCTCAACGTCGGCTACATAGTTCTCAAAAACAGTGGGAACGTAAAACTAGATATTTTTGGAAACATGGTTAGCTAACAAATTTGGGTCACAAGAGTTTGGGTTTGATCGAAAGAATTCTACAAAAAGACACATACCTCTGGGAAAGTGCCCTTGGAGAAGACAATAAGCAGACAGGTTTTGCCGCAAGCACCATCACCGACGATAACTAGTTTTCTTCTGATTTCGGTCATGCTGATCAAAAGATGGGATTAGCATTTTACTTGAATATGGGTCAGACATGTACTTTACAACGTGGTCAAGCATCTGGTCCTTGTCAAGGAGTATACATGGCTGGAAAGACCAAAAAGATTGTAGAGCTAAAGGGCTAGCCATTTCACTTCTCCGACTGGTGCCGCAGAGAATTCTACAGCTTTCTGGCCACCATTTGCCTAGTTGCGAGGTCAATACATTGGTAGTGATTCAGGTTGCTACTTACAAGTTGGCAAGATTAGAGACAGATGCGGGATAAGGTATTTGATTCCCCTAAAGCACAGAAAGAAAAATGGTTGAAAGGGGTTTACAGTGGTCGCGTCAAAGGCGGGTGATGCAAAAAAAACTTTACAGTACAACTCTGTAGCTTTGGCACAATCCATTGGAGTTCCGCCAATCGGAGACCAGCGAGCTCTTCCAGCTCAAGTTTAGAGTCGATTCCCAGTAACTACTCATCCTCTAATTGGAGCCAGCCGTAGTTCAATAACGTATACGTAGCCATGAGATTTAATGATCATTTATGTATTAATTTCATTCTGATATCTCCTATTCCTCCCTACCATACTGCGCACTGAACATGTGGCACAGTTTTGCTCTATGGAAAAAAAGAAAAAAAATTTACTGGGGCAAGATCTGACCAGCAGTCAGTTTTGGTTTCTCACCTCCACAGACTGCTCACCATATCCTGAGGTGCATTTGATTCATACCGAAGTAAAATAAAGAGCTGATACGAATTCATTCTGTTAAGCTCATAGGCTCAGGGTTTGCAATGCCCTGGAGTACACGATACCACGTTCACATTTGTTCATTGGTGCTACCAGGCGCATAGCGTAGAAGAGCAACCTGACCACCGAGAATGCTAGAAAAATAATGGTTGAGTATTTTGCAAAATTGCTAGCAAGTTTACGTAATAGGGGAAGGTCATATATGTCAGTTGACTTAGTCAAAATGACGAAAGGGAGCAAAGCTCTATGAAATGGCACGGATACAAGGAATATTTGATGCCTTTTCGATTCGATGCAACGTGCTCAGCTTGACGTGCTTACTTCAAAAAATGGAATAGGGTTGCCTGACCCCATTGCCATGCCAAAAATTTGGAGTGCCGACGACAGACAACCGCACCTGGTGATCTCATTCCTCTTAGCATTGCTTTGTCTTCTTACACTAAGAAATGGCACCTCGTCGTGACGCAGAGCAAAGAATTGGGCTTTCCCACCACGAAAATGTACTTACAGACGACGAAGAAGGCATTGAATTTGCAAATTATGCAGAATCCGACGACGATGACGAAGATCCCTACTTTATGCCAGAGCACACAAAGAAATCGCACACTTTGAGCTTTAGCAGGTATGTTACCGCATTTGTTCACCTGTTTACATTGATCAAGCGTTCTCATGTTATTCAAATAGCTTTTCCTGCTCTCCTATTCAAGTCGTGCGCTTCACAGTTCCTCTTATTTGCGTCACCACCATACTGGTTTATACCATCGTTGTGGGTGTCCTGACAGCCCAACGTAAAAATATACCTTCTTCGATGGATCCAACAGACCCATCTTTACCTCTTCTGCCCTAGAGGTTACTGAATTTGCGTTTCTTAATGTAAAGCTGTATATAATGTAAAAAATCTAATACAACCAAATGTCTGTGAAGTCATCAACCATTCACAAGGTGACTTACAGAATAATCTCAAAGTCAAACAATTTGATGTCAATAAAGCGAATAACATAATTGCGGATGATACGTAAATGATTGTAATTATCATGCTAGGGATTGACAGTATGTCACGGCCTGCTGTTGAAAGTAATTTAAAAAGGCTGGCTGGGCAAACGCACCAAACTCAGATCTGTGCAAGTCATCGTAAACATGTCCTCTAATGTGGTAAGCCCAAACGCAGACAGGAAATAGATGAGGTTGGCATCTCCGTATGAACAATACCTAATTGCTGCATTACAGCATGGAGTGAAGAAGGTCAAGACCAATGAGGAGCTTGCACAAGCTCGTAAGCAGAAGGAAGCTGTAAAGATAAAGGAATACAATGATCTTGTGAGCAGATGTAAAGAAGAGGTAGGTTCATGTCGACACCAATGTTTTTAGTTGCGCGTGGTTTGCTCACTCAAGTGAACAGGTGGAAGCCAAGCACTTTGAGTTTTCGACCCTGCGACTGACGAGCGATATATTGCAATTGAACCCGGATTACTACACAATTTGGAACTACCGACGTGAGATATTACTGCAAGGCATATTTCCGACCATGGATGAGGAGGCCAAGCAGCAAGTTTTACAGCAAGAGCTTGAGTTCTTTATGCAACTCATTCGTATCAATCCAAAGTCATATTCGATGTGGAATCATCGACGATGGTGCTTGTCAGTTATGTCAAAGCCTGATTGGCAGCAAGAGTTTAAGCTCGTCGGCAAGATGCTAGATCTTGACGCACGTAATTGTGAGTTGGTAAACATGATTTCCTTCATTACTCCTCTAACAAAACTACACTAACGCACTCGCCACTGCCTTCAGTCCACGGGTGGAGCTACCGACGCAATGTTGTTGCAAACATCAGGGAGCAGCAACTGGATACCAAAGAAATTGATACCAAAGAGTTCGAGTACACGTCTACAAAGATTAAGCAGAGCTTTTCCAACTATTCGGCGTGGCACTATCGATCAAAAGTGCTGCCCTCTATTTTGAAAGATATGACGGATGAAGAGCGTACAGCTGTCGGTAAAAAAGGTAAAGGGATAGGGCCGGTGCATGCTATACATTGTGCGATGGCTTATTTACAGGATTGTATCCAATTTTAGAGCTCGATTTAATCAAGAATGCACTGTATACTGAGCCAGATGATCAGTCTGCTTGGCTCTACTATTGGTGGCTAGTTGGCAGAGGTGTGTATCAAGAATGCAACGTATTTGGCCAAATTCTAATTTCTGGACATATGTGACTAAAATACCTCATTACTCAGTCCCTTCTCATGTGCAGATAGTGGGTGCTTACTCGGTTTCTAAAACGCAGTTCCTGTTTGTGGTGTTTGATGACGAGGTTCAGTTGGCTGGAGATATAGCCGTGCAAGATGAGCAGAACAACAAGGTCAACGGCAGCTGGTATGGTGTTTCAAGTACTACTGCTCATAAATCTAGCTCTGTATGGGCTTTCAGACCGAACGATACGGGTATCGTGGACAACGTGAGCAAGTTGTCACTGAGTAAAGAGAATGTAATAGCTGACTCTCCCGAAAAGCTATTTTCAACCACCAACGATGCCATCCCCGTTACATTCTTGGATGATGAAGGTATAGCTGTTTACTTATATATATTACGAAATCTGAAAGTGTGTCTAATAGACAATCATCAGCACTGGCAATTCTCATTCAGCAACTGGATTCAAGTAGCCTGAAGGACACCATTACCACCTCATCTATTGAGCAAAGCGATCAAACGGAGACGTATACCCTTTGGCAAAAAGACGACCACGAATTACTTTTGGTGGGAGAAATTGAATCACTGGAAGAATTACTGGATCTGGAACCCGATAGCAAGTGGGTGTTACAGACATTGGCACACTTTTTGTTGCAGTTGGAGGCTTTCAAGAAGCAGCATGGAAGTTTGGTCGATGGAGATAAAGAGTTACGGACAAGAGCTCTTGAAATGGTCAAGCGCTTATCAAGCATCGATAGATACCGCACCAAACGATACCAAGACTGGAGTAAGTAGCGTGGAGACTATCCTATCCTAAAGCGCATAGAATGCAGCCTTCTAACATCATTCTTTTCACAGTACATAACATTGAAAGCGTGCCCGTCACCTCGAATTTGAATGACATCAAAACAGAAATTAAGGGCCGCATAAATAGTCATTTGAAGGCCTTTGGTGAAAGGAAATAGGAAATGTCGTTTGTTTGGAATAAAATCTTGTAATATTATGAAACTCGCTTTTATGATGTGTTTTGTGGCAGTTACCCATGCTATGCTAGCAAGACTTTCCACTATTGCCCCTGTAATGAACCATGCATCACATACTATTTTGTTATCTACTATTATCGTAATTGTACATGGCTTGTCAGTCCAGCACAACTTTGTTCCACGGTATGGTATTCTTCCAAAGCTCATCCTTCCCTGTTGCCCAAGCGGTGACGACCATAGCAACGTTCTGATGACCACAGAAAGCAAATGGCCCGGTGATGGTAGTCTGAAAGTGAGCATCGGCGCTACCAAATTTATACTCCAACAAACAACTGTCATCGTCGTTGAGATTCACTAGCATGTAATATTGGTCGTTCGCTTCATCCAATCTTTCAACCACGAGGTAGCTAAATCTCATATTGAGCTCACTCAAATAATCAAATATTTGTTCCGCAGATGGATCATATACCACTTCACCAGCAGCAGTTGTTAAACGGATATGTGAGGTGCTCAATGTTGCAGCCGGAGTTTGCCTACATTGTTTGCGACGACGACCAGTTAAAAATACGATTGTTTAAAATGTTTTATTTATAAAGTGTATTTACTTGGGATCAGGATTGCTGGCTTCTTCATCTTGAATAGCGGGCACTTTACCAAGTAAAAAGCTGATAAAGTGTTGGACGATCCAGAGATCATCAATAGGCTTAGTATAAAGCTTCTTCAGCGATTCTTGCACAAAGTCTTGCTTCAAGATACCAGCCTCTAAGCGTTTCTCTAAAAGCAATTCCACGACTTCGGCAGGAAACTCTGGATGGCCCTGAACAGAGATGACTCTATTATCATCTGAAACCATGGCTTGAACTGGGGTATGTGGCGCGGTAGTGGCCAAGCATTTGAAATTTGGAGGTAATTCAGGCACGTAATCCTTGTGAACTTCTTGTATAGCCTGATACGACAAGATAAAATAAATTTCAGAGGAACAAGGTGTCAGAAATAGGACGCATTAACATGACACATATATGTAGACAGTGGATGTTCATACTCACCATCTGACTTTTTGACGTATTGAAGTAGCGACGACCAAGTGGAGTCAGCTCGGTATCAGTATATCCAAACTAATTGTAAACAGACCAGCGTTAACTATCATTCATTACTGTAATTGGAAGACTTCAATACGTACCTCCCATCCACTCGGGTTAGGCTTGCATGCTCCACCACTGGCGATAGCAATAATCTGGTGACCAAAGCAAATGCCAACCATACGAGTTTGCGGTGCTTGCTCGCGGACTTGCTTGACAAAATCTATTAGTTTATGAATCCATTCCTCATCTTCGTATGCTCCTCTTGCAGAGCCAGTGATAACAATTCCATCATATTTCTTGGCCTGAATATCGCCAATGGAGGGATGTTCCTGACGAGTGACAACGTCGAAATCCGACCAAGTAATGTCAACATCGGCAGGACGAGCTTTATCGAACACTACTCTGAAAAGTTTATCGTAGGCTCCATAGTTTTCAACCACTTTTGTCGTGGGAGTATCGCAGATAAGCAGGGCTAGGTGCAATGACGATGTCATGTTGAGAACTAAAAGAGTGGTCACTACTACCAAGGTCGGATTGATTCCTACCCACACATTTGATGGATCGGGGTTTATTTTTTCAAGTGTCTACTGTTAACGAGAGCTTGGTTTATGAACACGCTGTCAACGAACTCAGCAGCGATTGTAAGTATTGCTCACAGCACTTTAAATAACGGCAAAGGTACGCTATTTATTGTAACAAACTTGATTAATGCACTGTTAAAGGAAAATTCTCTGAACGCATTCTTTCGTAACCCTTACCCATTCAGCCAAAATACTGTCCCTCCCACATGACCGACACAATTTGCCTTTTGATGCGGCCACATCAGAATTACACAAGCTTGCTGTTTTATCTCCCGTTATCTTCATTTTTAAAGCCTTCGCCTTTTCGACCACTTTACCTCCTGCTTGTACAGAATGACATTCTCGAGGCTTATCGGCGTATGTCTCGGTTACTTGAAAGCATGCTATTATCTACCGCAAGCTAAAACGCGCTTCATGATTTTCTTTATAGAGACCTGCCAGTTGGCAGCCCTTGGTGCGCGGTCAAAAAGCGAGAACTTTTGCAAAGATAGTAGGCGAGACGAGCCATGGCAAGGTGCCTATGTCAAAGTTTGAACAGAATCGTTTCATCGATTATAAGACGATGGACGACCGGTTGCAGATAGTACGAAGAAGGTATGTGGAGGGGGGAGGCACTTTTCTCACGTTTTGGACCTCAGCAAGGAGTTGGCAGAGGTCGATTTGACACATAGTCAATATGAACCCGCGGGTGACAACGGGATATGGATTTCAGATTTCACGTGTACTAACGAAAATGCAAAACATTAGACTGAACCGGCCACTGACGCTGTCTGAAAAAACCCTGTATGGTCACCTGGACGATCCTGAGCATCAAGAAATCGAACGAGGAAAGTCGTACTTGCTGCTTCGTCCAGATCGTGTAGCTTGTCAGGATGCCACTGCTCAAATGGCTCTACTACAATTTATGTCAGCTGGCCTACCGTCTGTCGCGGTACCAACCACCGTACATTGTGATCATCTGATTGAAGCTGAAGTAGGTGGGGAAAAGGATCTTCCTCGAGCTGTCAGCGCCAACAAGGAGGTCTATGATTTTCTGGCAACTGCATCTGCCAAGTATGATATTGGATTTTGGAAACCAGGCTCTGGTATCATTCATCAAATCATTCTTGAGAACTACGCCTTCCCCGGTGGTCTTATGATTGGTACAGATTCGCACACTCCTAATGCTGGTGGACTTGGTATGGTCGCCATTGGTGTTGGTGGCGCTGATGCTGTGGATGTAATGGCCAACCTTCCTTGGGAACTTAAGTGTCCAAAAGTCATTGGTGTTAAGTTGCATGGCAAGATGTCTGGATGGACATCAGCGAAAGACATCATTCTGAAGGTTGCAGGAATTTTGACTGTCAAGGGTGGTACTGGAGCTATTATCGAATACCATGGACCTGGTACTGAAGCCATCTCATGTACTGGAATGGGAACCATTTGTAATATGGGTGCCGAAATTGGTGCCACCACCTCCGTCTTTCCATTCAACGACCGAATGGCTGACTACTTGCGAGCCACCAATCGTGAGAATATCGCGAACTATGCCAAGCAATATAGCGAAAACCTACGACCGGACGAAAATGCCCAGTACGACGAACTAATTGAAATTGATTTGGACAAACTGGAACCTCATATTAACGGTCCGTTCACACCCGATCTTGCCACACCTCTATCCAATTTCAAGAGCGCTGTGTTAGAAAATAATTGGCCAAAAGAAATCAAGGTTGCCTTAATTGGATCATGCACAAACTCCTCCTACGAAGACATGTCCAGAGCTGCATCCCTGGCTCGACAAGCTGTTGATAAGGGTCTGAAAGTTAGATCACAATTCACTGTCACCCCTGGATCTGAGCAAGTTCGTGCTACCATTAAGCGAGACGGACAGATGGACTCCTTTGTTGACGCTGGAGGAATGGTACTAGCGAATGCTTGCGGTCCTTGCATTGGTCAATGGAAGAGAACCGATGTTCGAAAGGGTGAAAAGAATTCCATCATAAATTCATACAATCGAAACTTTACTGGCAGAAATGACGCAAATCCTGGAACCCACGCATTTGTCACCTCGCCAGAAATTGTCACTGCCATGAGTTTTGCTGGAGACCTTACCTTCAATCCCATGACAGATAGTCTCATTGGTGCCGATGGAAAGCCATTCAAGTTTCAAGAACCTGTTGGTGATGAGCTACCCTCGCTAGGCTTTGATCCTGGCCAGGATACTTACCAACCACCTCCTGAAGAACGCAGTCAGGTGGATGTGAGCGTCGCTCCCAACTCACAGCGATTGCAGCTTTTGAAACCATTCGATGAGTGGAATGGTGAGGATATTAAGGAAGCACCAGTGCTTATCAAAGTGAAAGGAAAATGCACAACAGACCATATTTCCATGGCAGGACCCTGGCTGAAATATCGTGGCCATTTGGATAACATTTCCAACAATATGTTGATTGGAGCTGTCAATGCTGAAAATGGCGAAACCAATCATGTTCGCAATATCCTCACCAACGAATATGATACCGTTCCAGACACTGCCAGGCAGTACAAGGCTGAAGGTATCAAGTGGGTTGTGGTAGGTGATGACAACTATGGTGAAGGTTCGTCTAGAGAGCATGCAGCACTTGAGCCGCGCTTTTTGAACGGTGCTGCCATTATCACAAAGGTAAGTGTACAGTCAGTGTTATCACAACAATGTGTCCACAGCATGTCTAATTTATGATTATCTAGTCATTCGCTCGCATTCACGAGACGAATTTGAAGAAGCAAGGTATGCTGCCATTGACCTTCGCCAATCCTGCAGACTATGATAAGATCGATCCTACTGCCAAAGTGGACATTCTTGGATTGAAAGAATTCCAGCCTGGCAAGTCGTTGCTTCTCAAGGTGCATAACCCCAACGGTTCTGTAGAAGAGATCCCTGTCAACCATTCGTTCAACGAAAGTAAGTACCGTAACTGACGTGCATCACTGAAACTTGCCGAGCAATTATTGACCGCAATCACTTTTGACTGTACACTTTAGCTCAAATTGAATGGTTCAAGGCAGGATCTGCTCTAAACATGATTCGAAAGAAATTAGCATCTTCATAACTTTCAATTGACATTCTTATACAGTAGATGTAATGCAAACGTCTGAACTGCACAACAATCAGCGAGTAAAAACGCTATAATGCTTTATCGGATACATATTCCCTGTTATCCCCCATCGTAAATGAAAAACGCCTTTGCAAGTATCTTAGTAGCCTGTTGTAAACTGTAAATTCCATGTATGAGCCAAAATGGTTTTATATGCTTCTGAAGGAATAATCCTGGCCATGTTCACTATGATTGCTGCGAAGTTGAAAGTATGGGTAATTTACATAAGTTACATCGTAAGTATTTAAATGATCTTGTTGGTTAGATGAGTCGTGTATAATATGTATCTATGTTCCAAAGAACTTGACGCCAATGCTATCGACATCTCCAGTGCCAGTAAAGATTTGAGCGTTACCATTGGCACTGAGGACTTCGAGAGCTTTTATCAACACAGTGGTATCCATTTCGTAGAAATCTATGTAGAGGCATGAGCGGTTCCGTTTTTTTTTGGGGGTTCGATTTGCATTAAAAAATAGCTTACCTGTCCCTTCTGCAGCTTCTCCATTCGCTATTTCGTATACCGTCATAATCGAGTTGTTAAATCCTTGCTCGTTTATCTTCGTTATGGTTTGACAAAATTAATCCTGTGCCTCCGTGATATCATTCATTCAATACAAAACTTACCCAGTTCCACAGCAAAGAAGACCATTCTTCTGGTTTTCGCCAATATATGAGAGCTTGTGTACGTGCGGCCGACTTGGAGCCTGTATTAGAGTCCGTGACCCACTCTGCGAGTCCTAATAAAACGACCTCCGTCACACTCCTGCTTTCTGAACAAGCTCACGCTCATGCTATTACATACCTTTTCGGACCATCTCATTAACAATCTCTTCCAAAGTCTCCAATGATAAGCGCCCTGAATAAAATGTAACGTTGAGGACGCCTATGCATGACTGTTGGAGTGGGAATGGAAGGCAAAGGTACTAACGCTTAATCTTTGTATTATCGAATAGTGGAGACGCGCCGGGAACGGTAGCCTCTACTAAATTCAGGCGGTATAGTCGCTGAGAGCGGTAGTATGCCAGGATGATTCTTTCCCATTCTTTCACTTGGTTTTGCCAGGTCGATTCCGTTGGTTGGCGGCTGGTCATAGCGTTAGCAAACCCGATCAGCACACGATACATTTATGGCAGTATGAATTCTTACGTATATAAGGGAGGGAAATCATGGATGGCCGGGAACTTGTAACTGTTGCTTTCGGATTGCATTGATGGAACAACGAGCAAAGTATGAGCGAATTGTGGACGGACATTGCCTACCCTTCACTTTACTTTGAGCAGTCACTTGCATGCGATGGAAGTACAGCCATTTGGTAATACTCGATTTATTGTTGCTAACCATAATGTACGATATACACGTACAGTTACTAAGCTTTATTTAAGATCTTTGAAGCCATCAACTATAGGGATCAGTTGAGCTGTTCTCATGTCCCAGACATTACCAGTGCAATAGATATCGCTTTGGAGACGATCCCAAACTTCCTTCTCACTATTGCCTTCTATCACCATAGAGCTACCAATCATGTTCTTTGACTTGCGACGGAAGTTTGTGAGTTAGTATTCTTGCTAGAGTACATGCTTGTTCTTGATTCGTAGGACTTACGTCGTGAGAATCCAGAATGGCTCCACCTGTCACAATATAACCAGATCGCTTGTCCGGCAAAGCAATTTCTAAATGCTTTTGTCTAACAGCCATTCTGCGGCTCAGAGCATCTTTGTCGGTCTGGTCATGTACGAGAAAGATGAATCGTAAGTTGCCTAAAGGTGATGAGTATTTGAGTCAGATCTTCTTTGAGCTGCCGTTTCTGACGTTTTGCTTTATGAGTGGCGTGTTTACTTACTTCTTCCGGTAGAGCTAAAGCTGCGTACTAGATGGCATGAAACCACTGTCAGTCTCGTTTTTGTTTCCTTGTCTTATTAGTGAAAGCTTTACCTTGTTTGGTAGAAATGATTCGTTGGCGGAGGACGGCAAACATGGTATACTAGAAAGAGAAGGGCTGTGACACGAAAGAAAATAAACCACGGACAAGATATTTGATGAGTTGTGCTGCTAATTTTATTTTTATTGTGGTCTGACAAAGAAAAACAGACAGAATGGTAGAGGTACAAATTTAAGATCTAGGCTTCTCCTTCTTCTCCTTGTAGAGAGCGAGGAGGGAAACACCGGAAACCTTGACAATCTTGAAACGGACACCAGGAATATCACCAATAGCGCGACCCTTACGACCGAAACCAGCAATCAAAACTTCGTCGTTTTCATCGACGTAGTTCAAACAACCATCATTGGGGACGAAAGCGGTAACCTTCTTGCCGTTCTTGATAAGTTGGACACGGACACACTTACGAATGGCAGAGTTAGGCTGCTTGGCTTCGACACCACTGTAGATTGATACATCAGAATTGCGTCTATGTTTTTTTGGTATGAACGTCAGCGCCAACTTACATCTTTTCGAGAACAATACCCTTAGCGTGGGAGGATCCACCGAAAGGAGAAGACTTGAAGGCAGTACCCAAGAGTCTCTTCTTGAATTGCTTGTCGGCCCAACGGTTTTCACGACGATGGGTGCGCAACTTACGTGCGGCGTTAAGACCACTAGGCTTTCCTTTACCTACAATGCACAAAAGTCTGTCATTAGTCGTGAACGGCAAACAAAGGTTGACAAAAGATCTTTTAGTTAAACACTCTGTCTATTGGATGTGAGGAGGACAATGAAGTTGAGGCAAAATGTCGACAGTAAATAGTTGAACTGTTGTGATAGGTAGGTGCAGAAAGTGTTGAAGTTGTTCAATGACCGAGACGTTGACATTTCGATTTGGAATGAAACATTGTCAATTGTTCGAAATGATCGCTGATGCTCTTCTCGCAATTTCATTATCTTCAGGCATATCCATCCATCCATCCATCCATCTTGTTGAGCATCCAATAGACATGAGCATTATTCAGATTCTTTGTTATGCATGGCTACATACCCATTTTTTAAAAGAAAGAACTGTTAGTAGACCAGCTACAATTTCGAAGATAATGCGAGTCTGCGTGGCTTGGCGGTGAGAGAAAAGTCACGTGAATATTTCGGCCAAATCTCAAAATGCGTGGACACAAATTTAAGCATTTTCCTTTTCTTGAAAAAGGATGCCAAAGCTTTTTAATAAGCGAAAAGCTCCATGAGATAGGCTCTTAATAGTTTTCACTCCAAAACCAGTTAGAACCATATCTTCAAAAATAGTGGTAGAAATTGCCACCTTTCTGATGTGTTGCAGAAAATAGCCGGAAACATTCAACTTGAGATATACCGTTTGAATTGAATCGAAAACGACTTGTGATTATTTTTTTCGCGAGATTATTGGAGTCTGATGTTGTTATTGTATATGAATGAAGATGAACATGACAGATGTTCAAAATTGCTTATAAAATGGCATGTTGGGCTGGCTAGTTTATCGTCAATTAGATGATTGAAAGGACCAAGGAAAAGATGAAGTCAGATGCTGGAGCGGTATTACATTTCTTCATCAAGATCATCAATGGAAGAAGAGCACCATGCATACTTTTAAAATATAATCGCCTATTTGAAAGGTATATGCATTCCATTTGCTTTGATAAAATTTCCTTTGCGTTCACGTGTGATATAATTCTAGTCAAAAACTGTTAATAAGACGTTGATATGGCCGTACAGATAGAGATATACCAGGTAGTTGTCTGTGATATGGGAAGAATTGGTTAGGCATCCTATGAAGAGAATACACACCTATAAGAATTGATGGAATCCTGCAAATGATGGGTTTAAACTATTGAATTCAATGCGATGTGAGGCACTCATCGTTTAATTGGCTACAGCCGGTAAAATAAATATTCCGCCAACATTCCAACACTCTAACTTACAGTCCAAGATATTCCTCAGCTTTGACATTTTGCCTCCAAAGTACTGTGAACGCATTGCTTACTGGGGCAACATGCCTCCATCGAACCGACATTCGAACAAAAGCTTTTGTGCATATTTCATATGTTACCTTACTTTCGTCCTATTTCATTTGCCAAAAGCAATGGCAGCAGCCAATGACAGGATTTCTCGAGACAGCCTCACCCAATCGTTGGCATATGATGCCACTACGAATGAAGGTGAAATATTTACAAAACAAAATATAGTATCGGCACTGAGGTCTCAGAGAGATTTGGCCATCAACGTCAGTATCAATCGCATTCAATGGCCGGCCATAAGCCTTTCATCAAGCTTCTTCGGCAATAACTACACGGATTCCAAGCTGCAGGGCCTTAGCTCGGTAATGGGCTCAGGATACCGGAGACTGGTGTTGGACCTTTACTGGCGAAGTGACCTTGGGAATTGGCAACTATGCCCTGAAATTATTCCAGATACTACCTCCACTCAACGTATGCTATTAAACCCTAACCTACTCGGTGGGCTGAATTCGCCTAACCGTACGGTTACACGACCATTACCGACTATCTCCACCACATCCTCCAATGCCACACAGTCGACTACCTCTTATCGACCTTTAATTGCCAAAGACTTAAATTTTAGAGAAGCAGTCTTCTCTAGAGAAGATGTAGTGATATCCTCCTATACTTGTACCCCCTGGATTACATTTCGCCACTTTATGCAAGCTCTAGATGGGTATTTAGGCAGCATTGAACCGATAAGAAATCCAGAGAATACCGATGTATATATTCTTATTCTCAATCTAAACAACCTCAATGTCACCACCAACAACAATATTCAGTCAGTCAACACCAACTCCACATGGCTAGACTCCATGTCAGCCAATCAATCGCTTAGCCTGCAACAAACAATCCAGTCCTCCGTTGGACAGTCGCTTGCCAGTACTTCCAAAATATACAAACCACCAAATCTGACCCAGGATAGAGCTAATTTAACGGTTTCCTTTAATACTACGGGAATGCCATATTTCACTACTGAAGACAATCCAAATACGCAAACGCTCACAACCCAGACCGGATGGCCGCCGTGGTCCTACCTCATTGAAAACCGATTCCAGCTGTTGGTTGGATTTGGAAACAATAACCTACCTACCAACACCAACTATAATACTACTGACGATGCACAGTTAATTTTCAACGAAGTGGATTTAGGAGGTGGTTCGATGAATGTAGTCAATGTTACATCTATGGAAGCTACTGGTTGGACCAATTGCTCGGTTCCAGGTAGTAACAATTATATGATTCCAAGCGGAAATGAGACCACTGATCTCGTTGGAGGCATTCCACCTGGAGGGAACGCCGTGTCTTGGTCTTGGGCCTATATGGTTGATCAAGGCAATCCCTTCAGTTATCAAAGCGCGAACAATGCGGTAAGTAGATGCCATGTCATAGAAAACAATGGGTAGTGGGAAATAATCACTAATTCAAGATCGTACTTTAAGAGCGCATGTGGTTACTCTCCATACTTTACTGCCTCAAGTTACGCAGCCAATTCCTACCCTGTTGCTTTGAATGCCAGCTCAAGTATAGGAAATCCAATATTGTCAACTATCTGGTCTTGGGATGTTGGGCAGCCACCATATCTTATGGGTAGCTTAAGAAATGGCTCCAATTTGCTATGTGCATCTGTTCAAGTTTCTAACGGCCGGTGGAAGGCTGCTGATTGTGCCGCACTCTATAAAGTGGCGTGTCGAAGTGTACAAGACCCAGATGTTGTAGGTACTTTCTACCATAAACCTTCTTTATACTACATGAGCTAACTTGTGAGTTTTTTAGTGGGCTTTGACAAGTGATTATTACTCATACGATCGCGCGGCATCATCTTGCCCTGATAAATTCAAATTTGAGGCTCCTCGAACCGCTCAGCAAAACCACATGTTGTTTATGATTGTACAAAATGCCACTCGCAGTGTAGCAACCGCGACAATACAGAGTACGGCTGATCAATTCGTCTGGATCGATCTTAACAATGCCGGTGGTCAGGACTGCTGGGTGGTGGGCAAAAATTCGACTTGTTGGTGGACTAACGGAGTAAGTATGAGTAAATTGGATGGTAACCGACTACATCCAGACCATTAATATCTCTTTTTTTTTTTTTAAACAGTCCAATGGAGAGTTCACTGGTCTGATACAAACGTCAGCAGTCGCTGGTGTCATCATTTTAATCTTTGTCAGCCTTTTCATATGGGTGAAGTGTACCCGCATGTATCGACAAAGGAAGGCCGGTATCCGCAAAGGAATTGTTAGTCGACTGATTCAGGAACGCGAGTATGTCACGGTTCCCGCTTAGCTTAGATTTCTGCTCTCGAAACTTAATGACTCCTTCCCTCTCTTGCTAACGCAATGTACATACTCGTTTAAAATACTTTGAGAGCTATTTATTGCTATTTCTTGTTTATATACATAAGTACTGTAAACTACCCTCTACTAAAAGTGAGTTTAGGGCATGCTAAATGGCACACATCTTTCAGCTTCAACTACTCGTCCACAACTTTGCCAACGATATTGTATCTTTGCTGGAAAAATTTTACCCAGCCGTTAAGAGTTTCCATCTCCTTTTCGTCCAAACTGCTGTAGTCGGCAACGCAGTCTTCAGGGCTAAGGGAGGACTTGCCTAGAGCCTGCATATTGACGTCAACACCCATTCACTGAACTTCCACACTTAGCGTATAAACCTACCTTTGAAGCGTCCTTTCCAGCAAAGCAGTTGTAGCCACTTCCAGCTCCATACATCTCGGGTTTCTTTGTCACATCGTAGACAATGCCCTTGATTGCAACGTAAATTGGCTTAGATGAGTCCGTACCGTCGAAAGCTGCAAGTTCTGACGGCTTGAATGGAGTGTCCTTTGGTGGTTCGCTGAACAGAAGCTTTAAGTATTAGTATATAATTGATCACGTTGCTGCATATTTGCGGTTACGTACGTGGCCATTTTGCAGAGTGGTGGTGGGATGGAAGGGTAAGTGGATTGACGGGGTTTTTACAGCAGCCAAAGCTTCTTTGCGGTGTCTACGATCACATGTCTACGCCTGAAAAAGAGTTTGGCAAGTACATTAGCAATTTTTCGACCACGCGACACAACTTCGAGAAATATCTAACTCAACGCTTTATGTATCTGTCACTTCTTCAACGTTCCTTATCATGATTGTCATCTCTACCACCTTTTGCAGACGCTCAAAGGGTTTAATAAGCGACGCTTCGCAGCATTTGCGACCATTCAAACTTGCCGTTTGAAAGATTCTATCAGTGTCGATGTTTTGCATAAGCTAAATAATTCCATTGTGAAGAACATTATAGATTGAATAAAAGCAGATGATGCGATGGATTACTTTATATAAAAATATTGGGTAGAGAAACCCAATACGCAATTTGTTAGGATTATGTCAAAATCTCAATTCCAGTCTCAGTAACGAGCAGTGTGTGCTCAAACTGAGCCGATCGCTTCCCGTCGGTTGTTGTTGCTGTCCATTGATCAGGCCTGATACAAAATAAAATAAAATTTATATTTAATAAACCTTTTCATTAGAGGGCAGTGGATGCGAATTTGCGATAAAAGATATACTAACCACAGAACTTCTTTGTGTGTGCCCTCGCAAATCATGGGCTCAATGGTGAAACAATGGCCGGGCTTCAAAACACCAATAGCCTTATTGTCTGGAATTTTACAGATTAGTATACACCATAAAATACACAAAATTAGCATATAAAAGTCTTACTGGCATAAAATGGGACAGTAGGAGCACAATGGAATAGTTCATGAATGCCATGTCCACAGAAAGCGCGCACTGTGGAAAAGCCCATTTTTGTGGCATGCTCTTCGATCAGTCGCCCAAATCTTCGATAAGGAACACCAGGTTTGGCTGAAGGATCTTGTTATTAGCTTGAACCGCCACTTGTTGTTTGCATTTGTACCGTAACATACCTTCTGCGATTGCTACTTCAAGGCACTCTCTAGCAGCGTCTATCAGCTTTTTGCCAGCTTCATCAACCGTTCCAACACAGTATGTCGCATTCGTATCTCCGTGAAAACCTTCAAAATAACAAGAGACATCAAGATTTATAATGTCACCCTCCTGCAAAGGTCGCTGATCGGGAATTCCTGTTGACAATGGTGTGCATAAATATATTGGATACGAATGTATGAAATCAACATGATAACGTACCATGGCAAATAACTTCGTTAACGGAAGTACAGCAAGCTTTGGGATAATTCCAATAATTCAAAGGACTAGGGTAAGCATTTCTCTCAATGGTTGCTTGGTGAACGATAGCATCTTGAAGCATGAACAGAATAAGTTATTAATATGGTCAGACATCGCCTTTGAATGGTGCATACAAAATTACTTACCTATTTCTTCTGTGGTTACGCCCGGTCGGATTGCTGCGGCACCGATTTCCAAGACTTCTTTGGTGATCTTAACAAAGAGAATGTTAACTACAAGCGTGACGCTATACTATCATCAGGTTCCTGTATTACCTTGCAAACTTTTCTCATTGCTTCAATTTCCTCTGCATTCAAAACTCTGATGTTGGTCTCGCCACGCTCTGCGAGTTCTGCAATGGGAGTACCTATAAAGATAGAATTAGGATTTATAGATGGTATCGTGTTAAGCGAAAGCATATGCATACCATCTTTAGCATGATCGGGTCTGGGAATATGTTCAGGTACTGATCTGGTAGGTGTCAGAGGATACACCGGACGCAAAGGGCCAGTGTATTTGAAGTTGGGGAAGGGATCGTATGTGGCGCCTAAGGAAATCAAAATTGTTATTTGTTGAGCCGAGATACACGTTGTTCCTTCACTAAGAATCAATTATACCTTCTGGTCGCTTATGAAGCGCTTTGTGGGCACCCTTTTTGTGCAAACGAAAATAATTAATGAAATCGTTCGAAAACTGTCAATGACAAGATTTACTAGGTCTGGCTAGATCTTACCCAACTCTTCTTAAAGCAATCTTGTGAGCAGAACGTTGAACCAGAAATTGTTTGCTTTACACATGTTGGACACTCAAGCTTAGCAGAGTTTTCGCAGTTAGGCGCTTGACAGAGAGCGGTGGGCATTTCAATAAATTGCTGTTCAAAAAACAAGGAAAGCGGCGTCTCAGATGTGCCTGTTAATGACTTTTTCAAAAAAAAAAATTGTAGGCTGATTTTGAATTTTTTTTGGATATTCGCCAGCAATGCAAATATGGGATTTTCAAACTATTGTTCTCATGTCATTTTTATTAATGTTCCATTTAACGAATGTCTATCATGAAGATGATACTAACTATATCCCATTCAATAATCTGGTAAGAGGTAAAGATTGGTAAGTAAACGATACAATCGTAACTCGTATTTACATTATAATGCTATAGCAAGCGAGATACGCTCAGTGCTTCTTAGAGAATTTTGGTTGAATCACGGACTTCTTGCGGAAGTCTACCAGCCGAGTATTTAACATCTTCGCGAATGTTGTTTCTCGCTTGCCATTTGATTACATGTTTAAAACTGAGTGGCTACATACCTAGATTTGGTTCATATGTATACAAATTGTATCCTAATATGTACAGTGGAGGTGATTAGTTTGGATTCACATTGACTAAATGGTCTGACATGAGTTTAAGTGAGGCCGAAGACCGAGATCAGACGTTCGCCTAAAGGTTCCTCATTCCTGCAACCCAGATGCAAGGACCAAGAGAGTCTACGACCATCTTTTGCGGTCCATGTCGGTTGAGGGCTTATTCAGGTTACCAGGATAATCATCACATCAATGACATACGTCCTCCTCTCTCACTTGTCAACTTGTCACTTGTGGGTCGAAATAAACGGCTTACCTTAGGGAAACAATGAATAACAACAACAACGCGATGGAAAGCAAAAAAATTTAAAGGCGGAATATCACGTGATATGTTCCTGTGACTGTCGAGGCATCACCGAATGTGGTGGTGTGCTGAAGATGTACTGCGATCCACTGATCCCTGATCGTGAACAACGTTGGCCATTGTTCCACTTTATGTGGAGTACAATGTCTCAAGCTACTCAAGTTAGCGTTATACTGATTGCAGTACTAGTCATATCTTGCGCATGTAAGTGTACTTAACATAACCAGCTCCAGCACCATTTATGGTAATGCTCTCTTTCCTGACTTCATCACCTCTTTAAAAGATGCTTTCCATTCCTTCAATCTATTGCTAAGCGGTTCATTAGCTTCAGCTATATTTGTAATTTTCTTATTTAATCAATTTCATGTGAGCCCAAAAAAGAATACTTTGCAAGTAAATTCTGAAACAAAGGCCCAGGACGACAGCCCCGCATCAAGTACACCAAACCCCACCTGTCAATGCGGTCAACCTAAAACAAATTTTGTGGATAACCCCAAAACTATACCAGATGATCCAACAAGTAATACTGAGACAGACTTGAGTGAACCGAGGAGTTCATTTTCTCAGCAGAATACTATAGGCTCTGATGTTATGACATCAGAGCCAGAAGAAGTAGACGGAATGGACCAATTGGCGACAAAATCTTTATTACAAAGGCGACAAGTACGAGATCTACGCGTCTCTACTGATCATCATATATTGCCAAAGTCCTCATCATTTTCTACGCCACTACGGCCTCAACATCGGCTATCACCTTACTTAAGAGGCTCGCTTTCAGAAACCACGTCTGCAAAGTCACCCACTGTTATACCACCGGACTTTTCCTTGGCAACCAAGCGACCATTGCGAAGAAGACATTCGACTATTTTAGTAACAGCTCAGCGTCTCGAAAAGGACGCAAAGAGTAAAGAAGTTTTAAGCAGTAAAGTTCCTAGCGCCATATCTAGGCGCGCGTTTGGGTTCGAACCTATTTACGGCGAATGGGAAAAGCGAGCCCAAGCGGAGGCCCACTCCCCTGGCCCTCAACAAAATAACAAAAATCAAAACTTTAGTATTCATCCGCAATAATTTCACATTCCTTTGACAGTACACGCAATCTATTTAATCGTAATAAAATACAGTTACCAAAGAAATGGACTGTATAAGAGTCTGGAGTGGGTTTATTTTGACGGCACAGGTTTATGGAGGTTGCTATAAAAGTGCAACTGTACAATTTCGAATCGAGAAGGGAGTGTGATGGATGCTTGGGCAAGTGAAAACAAGAAAATGAATGTGTCTAGGAAGTGCAAAACAAAACAAAGCAAAGTCGATGATAATGTCAGGGAAAAAGTTCAATATGCAGCATAGCCAGCGCACTAGCTAAGCGGGCAATTGAAACCATCTGGTCCCGGGGAAACCATCGCGACAGGATGCCAAACGATCCCCCAAATGTCAAAGATGGCCTATTTAGTGATGAAGAAGGGCAAGTTAAAAAATCGCTGCAATCATCTGGCCACATTTCCCGCATGTTTCATTATGTTACTAACCTGGAAGTCAATACTCAAAGGTGGCGAATCACCGACTTTCTGTGGGCCGCATGCACTATATAGATCTATAAAGGTTTGGTCCGAAGTCGAAGAAGCAGTATAATTGATGTAGACCGTTACATTAAGGGTCTGGATGCTGCGACCCGGGATGGTGAAAGCGTTAGTATTGCCGTGACCAACAAATTGCTGGGTATTGGTATCGAGTACGCTGAAAGCAATGTTGTTTATGCGGGTGGGTATCCAGTTCGCTGAGTTGTCAATGGTTATATTGACATACCAATCGGATTGAAGAGACGGATTTGTATCTGGTCCCCATACTGGCCCATCCTTTACAGCAGCGTCTCCAAATGACAAGGTAGGTGTACGTGGCCAACAGAAATACCATATGATAGCAACTACGACAACGAAGGCTATCCAAAAGGGAATACATATCCAGAAAGAAATGCCGCAGCAGGATTTTGGAAGTTTTCTTTTCTTACTTCTTGGCGGAAGCTCACCTGATGTTGGAAAGACGACAGCAGATTTTGACCGAGGCGATTGCATTTCCGAGTATGAATCAAATGCATCGAGCGGTAGCTCTTCTTGAAGTAATGTTGCTGACCGACCGTCCTTATCAGGATTAGAAATGCTGCTCATATCTTCTTCTATGTACAAAGGCTCATGAGATCGAGCTGGATTGAACCCTGGGTCTCGTCGGTGGGAATATGGAAGGTAAGAGTTGGATCGTACATCGACGATACGATGCTGCAGCTGGATGTCAGACTGAGAGCTATTTAAGGGTTCGTTATCAGCTTCATATATATTTGAGTTATGCCCGAGACCTAAAGTATAAAAGTTAAATGGAGTGGAAAAAATGGGGAAATTTTGAATGCCACCTTGGGCGAGAATGTCATTACCAGAATCTTGAGGCTTCCTGGTAGCTCTGTAAGGATCAGTGGGATTTGGCTGGTTAACAGCTATTCTCGAAGGCTTATTTGGTCGAGCATATGGGTCCTTTGACTGTGTATTATTATCGTTTGAAGTTGGGTATCGACTCATTCGCAAGTGAACTGGAAACGCTATGAAACAAAAATTCGACCAAAAAGAAGCTTTTGTAAAAAAGAGTAAAATCAAGGCAAAAATTTATTCCGTATGACAGTTTATTGAATCCTCCACTGAAAACTTAATGGTTATGCAAATGTGAGCTTTTTATCGCTTCTTAGCGGCTCGTGGTTTAACATCCTCTTCCTTCACTGCGTGTAAGAATATCTTGTTTGGATTGTTAGGAAGTGCAAATTTGTAACCCTAAAAAGTGGAAACGAGTTGTTGGTGTGGATGAAAAAAAAGTAAAAAATAAGGTAAGCAGTCGGTCGAAAAGGAGCTAGATCGTATGATTTGCCTTACCTTGCTCCAGTCATAGCTCACACCATACGCAAATATAGTACCGTTGCGGTTGAAAGCAGTGCATGGAATTTGCCCGTTGACGCTTGGGAAAGGCTTCAAGCGCTGCTTAGAATCCTTGTCCCAGAAGGAGAATGTACCATCCGAACCAGCAGTTGAGAAAGTACCATGAATGGGATGGAATGATATAGCGTTGACAGCGAATACGTTATTGCTATTGTCACGATGGCACTTGAAAGAAAAGTTTTTGCTAACAAATCATAAAACAGAAAGGTGAGAAACAACTGACGTAGTTTGAATGTACCTTTGGAAAGGTCTGTGTCAATAGTATTCAACCTACCCTTGTTCTTTATCCTCAACATATTGCATTCCCACTCGTCCTTCAATCGAACCAATTGCATAACCTTTGGCATTTGGAAAGCAAGTTACGCAACGAGTTTGCCATTTTAATGGTGATTGCGTAGTCTTAAAAGATGTAGCGACATTGTTAGAACAAAGGAAATCGATATAGCCAGGGCTTAAACTCGTATGTCTCACCTTGAATGGAACAGTAGGATTGTTCAAATCGTAAACTTGAATGTGCCTGTCGGCTGTGGCGACGACCATAAGCGGGAACGTAACATCCATGGAATAGCATCGTTCGGGAAGCTGTACGGTACTGATTGGTTGTGGCTGTCGCATATCCCAATATTTTACGGTCTTATCCCAACTACCAGTCGCAACTATTTGCTGTGATTGGTCAAGGAATTTAATGCATCTAATGGTATCTGCGTGTTCTGCTATTTGCGTCGTCTGTCCTGTGGCTAGGTCATACATGCGACCAGCTTTGTCTGCTCCGCCAGAAAGCACTTTTGTTCCATCCTAATCAAAATATCAATCAACCATACGATAAGAGATTCCAAGATCAATGATTTGAGTACGTACTTTACTCCACGTTGTGCAAAGTACTGGGCCTTCATGCGAGTACGCAGCTTTGGGAACAGTCATTCCGGTAGGTTGAACTTCGTAAATTCTGACCTATATGCCCAAACGATATTGAATTAGCGCGCACAGTGTCAACGAAATCTTTGTATTCTTAAATGTTACAAACCTGATTGTCCCATGACGAAACTGAGAGAAAATCAGCTTGTGGAGAGAATTCCAGACCCGAAATTCCATCAGTAGGTGGAGAAGAGACCTAATAATTGTACCGATCGGCATATTTTAGTTTAAAAGTGGGGAACAAGGAGCTATAGCCAATCTAACAGCCGAAACGTATTGATCAATTCCAACTTTACCTCAAAATCTTTTTGCTCCATGGCAAATTACAGGTAATGGTGAAGTCGTGCTTGAACTTTTTCCTCAACAGCAGCTGCAAAAAAAAGCGCGCCTCTTGTCAAAAGGCACAAATTTGTGACGAAAATGATTGCAATTTTATTTTTGTCATTAAAAACGTATTAAGCGTATAGCTTTATGGTGTCCACAAGCCGAACGGTAAGCAAAACTAACTCGCGACTGAGGACCATCCAAAGTAGTTATAGAGTTGAGAATTTATGCCAAACAGGCAGGCAAAGTTTTATATAGAAATTAGAAATTGTAGTTACTTATTTCTTATCAAAAGTGCCGATGGGTGCTAAATTTATGAAATAGGATATACATCAAAGTAATAGGTATCATCAAGACACATCATAGGAAATAATTATGAGTGAATTTGACTCATAATAACAATTAAACACAGACCTACATTACTTCTTTGCAAGGCCTACGCGGCACAAATAAAATACAATTTGCTCTGGTTTTTACTCCGCTGCTTATCCCGTACACTCCCCCTTCATGGTTCAAACAAAGCCATTCGGTTCATGGACTTCGCCCATCACTGCTGAATCTCTCGGCAAAGAATCTGGTCCACGACATGATTTCAATGTCGTTGTCGATCCCGCCACAAACAATGTCTACTGGACCGGTTCTTCTGGCGAGGCTAGCGGTAGAGTAACAATTTTCTCACGCAAAATCGATGGTTCTGACGAAACAAAGGTAGCCATACCAGACGGTTTTAACTGTCGTACTCGGGCTCATGAATATGGTGGCGGAGCATTCACTGTATACAAGAATGTCTTGTATTTTTCGAACATTATGGACGATCGTTTGTATAAATTGGACCTGAACACTGGTCGGGTCGTACCTGTTGTTCCAGAAAACCCTTATTATCGCTATGCTGATATGGTCATCGATCAAGAAGAGCGCTTTCTTATTTGCGTTCGCGAAGAGCATTTCGAAAATGAAACACCAAAGGACGTTGTCAACACCATTGTAGCAATTGACCTCCTTGGTGATAATGTTGATCTGGCTGTTAAAGTCATCGCCCAGGGAAATGATTTCTATATTAGTCCACGTCTTAACCCGGACAGTACCAAACTGGCATATGTTACATGGAATCATCCAAACATGCCTTGGGATTTCACCAAATTGCACATTGCCAGCGTATCTGTTTCAAATGGTGTCCAGCTTTCTGACGACAAGTGCGTTGTGGGCGACAAGATTGACGAGAGTATCATGGTATGTTTATCATTATGGACTTGTTCTAAGAGAACGGAAGGTGATGTAACATTTATCGTTATAGCAACCTAGATATGCTAGTGACGGCACATTATATGTGATGTCCGATCGCTCTGGATTTTGGAATCCTTACAAGTATGAAAGTGGGGATATACAGCTTTTGTTACCCCAACATCTCGCACAAGAATTCGGCGGCCCGACTTGGAACTTTGGACAAACAGACTATCGTCCTTTCCAATCAGATCCCACCAAACTTCTTTGCAAGAACAAGTCGTCGCTCGCAGTGTTGGATGCAACTACCAAGACGCTGACCAATTTGCCAACACCCTTTAGAGGAGCCGCTCATTTATCTACCGCCGTCCATAACGGTGAGGACTATGCGGTCTTCCTTGGTGTATCGTCTAATAAGCCTACTACCATCGTTGCTTACAATGTCACTGAAAAGAAAGTGACAGCCTATCTTTCACGCTCTGTCTTGGAGCCTCTTGATGATGCCTACATTTCTGTGTCTCAAGAAATTAGTTTCCCAACAAAATTGGGTGAGGGTTACTGCTTCTTCTATCCCCCCAAGAATCCTGATTTCCAAGGCGAAGGCTTACCACCATTGATCGTTTTGTCTCATGGTGGTCCCACTGGTAATGTCGATGGTTCTTACAATCGCAACTTCCTGTACTGGACATCTAGAGGTTTTGCTATCGCTGACGTTAATTATGGAGGATCCAGTGGATATGGCAGGGAGTACAGAAATCGCCTTCACAAAAACTGGGGCGTCGTCGATGTCGATGATTGCTGTGATGCTGCTCTGTACTTGGCTGAGAAAGGTTATGTCGACCGTGAGAAGCTGTCTATCAAGGGAGCTAGTGCTGGTGGATATACTACTCTGTAAGTTAATGACCATTTTCCTATCACTTGAAAGGCGCAGACTCATATATGACTTCTTCTATTAGTGCAAGTTTGACTTTCCGCCCAGAAGTTTTCAAAGCTGGATGCAGTCTTTATGGTATTTCCGACATCACCTTGATTGCAAAAGAAAGTCATAAATTTGAGTCGAGATATATAGGTAAAAACAACAGCTCTGATAAATTTATAGTCAACGTCTCTAGACTGAAGCAACATATTAACACCCTTCCATCCGAAAGATAACCTTATTGGCCAATACCCTAGGGACATTGAGCTCTTCCGAAAACGGTAAGCAAGCAGGCACAAAGTATCTTTTGCCTTAATTTGGGGAAATATTAAATTCAAACGATTTTGTCTTGAAGGTCGCCCATCCATTATGTCAACAACATCTCCTGTCCCGTCATCCTCTTCCAAGGCCAGGATGACAAGGTTGTACCACCCTCTCAGGCTGAGGTCATGTTGGAGGCTATGAATGCCAACAAGGTGCCTAACGCTTACGTCGCTTATGAAGGCGAGAGTCATGGTCAGTGCTCAACTGTGCAATCTTAAATTTACCATCATTGCACTAACTCTCATTCATTGTTTCTACCAGGTTTCCGTAAGCCCGAAAACATCATTCGCACACTTGAGCTTGAGCAATGGTTTTATGGCCAGATTTTTGGATTCCCCGTGGAAGGCATCGAAGGTGTTGAAATTTCTAATTATCACAAATAAATGTTACCCTGTTTACCAGTCAGGGTTTAGCAGAGGAGGGCGCAAGTTTTCATTTGCACAGATATCTTTTGTCAACTTGTCATTAAAATGTTGAGTGTTTTCGGAACAAGGTGTGCATTGGATGGAAGCTGGTGTACGGCAATAGAACGATTTTGGCCACAATGTTAAATGAAGCGATGCATCGATTGTGTACTCTTTCTCGATATGACAAACTTTACATGTTGCTGCAGGTGAAATTTGAGCTTTTGCCGATTATCCAACCATGTGATTCTAACTGGTATAAAATTTTCATGTCGAAATTTTCGTCAACGTCAAATCTACGTATTTGTCTGGACGGTAAACCTTGCCCTTCAGCATGTTGCCGCACCTTCAATTCATGCGGGGATTCAAGAACATGTTTGGTTCTTGCAAGCAAACCCTGACCTACTTTCTTCGCTTTGTTGGTCCGGGATTCATAGTTGCTGTAGGTTACCTAGGTAAGACTTGGTTTACCATCTGACTGCTTAGCTATAAGAGTATGTTGTAATGTTGTCCTTGCATCCTCCTAGATCCTGGCAATTGGGCATCAGACGCAGAAGCTGGATCGCAGTTCGGTTACAAGTTACTCTTCATTATACTGCTATCAAATATAATGGCCATATACCTTCAATACCTAGCAATCCGTTTAGGCACCGTTTCTGGACTTGATTTATCGCAAGCTTGTAGGAAGTTTCTGCCTCGTTGGCTCAACTTCGTATTATACCTATTATGTGAAGCTGCTATCGTGTCATGCGATTTAGCTGAGGTTATTGGAAGTGCTATTGCTCTCAATCTTCTGTTTAACCTGGCTCTTCCCATTGGAGTCGCTATTACTGGCTTGGATGTTTTAATCATCCTAGCTTTTTACAAAGATGATACCAAAAGCTTACGCATCGTTCGATTGTTTGAAGTATTTGTTATGATCTTGGTCTTGACCGTTGGTATTTGCTTTACCATAGAACTTGTGTATTCAAAACCAGTTGGTGTTGATGTTCTGAAAGGCTATCTTCCTTCACGCGATATATTTACTGATTCGAGTATGCTCTATGTTGCTATCAGTATAATAGGAGCCACCGTGATGCCTCAGTAAGTACCATTATACCACTGTGATCCTGCCCCAATATATATACTAACTAACAGCATGGTGTGTAGTAATCTTTACCTCCACTCAAGCCTTGTTCAAGCCCGCTGTGGGAACTGGAAGAACACCAGACCAAGTTTACACGACGCAATTGATATCAAACAATCCCAAGATGCTCTTGATTCCGACATTAAGAGGCATTTACGATATTCATTTTGGGATTTGTTTATAGCACTCTTGTTCGCCTTCTTCGTCAACTCTGCCATTTTGATTGTATTTTCGGCGAACTTTTACTCAGCATCATCACAACATGTTGTCGGAGACCTGTTTGAAGCCCACGCATTACTGCAACAATATTTGGGATCAGCCGCAGCTGTAATTTTTGCATTGGCATTGTTATGTTCCGGACAAAGTTCTACCCTGACCGCGACATTGGCCGGCCAAATCATCATGTCCGGATTTTTGGGCATGACCAGTCGACCTTGGTTACGAAGGCTTGTAACTCGCCTCATTGCTATTGTACCGGCCATGATCGCCGCTGCTGTAAGTGGAAAGGAAGGACTGAGTAACATGTTGATTGCAAGCCAAGTTGCTCTTAGTATACAACTTCCATTTGCTGTCATCCCTTTGGTCATCTTCACTGGTATGAAGAGAGTCATGACCATTAGCGTCTACAAAGATGAAGAAAGTCCTAAACGCTTGGATTCAGAAATAGCGGATAATAACAGCGATGACGATAATAGCAAGAGTTTCAAATCAGGAAAGTCCACCAATATTGGCAGTAGACCTGCATCAATGATACAACATACAAATGAACACGCTTTAGAGATGGACATCATGACAGTTCCGTCTAAAGAATCCAACAACATAGTCAAACCGACTGGTACAATTAGCGAACTTGAGGAGATCGGTATTCAAGAGTTGGAGCCACTACTGTACATAAATAATCGCATTACAAATGTTGCATCAGCCATTGTATCCCTAATCATAGTAGGTCTCAATGCATATCTAGTGGTAACGCTTTTCATGGGCACGTCAGGCTAGATCATTTACATTTGTACATACATTTGCCATTCCCACTCACTCAGTCTTGTAATTTTTTCACTCCACTTTTTATTATATCTTGTTTGTAATAAAATCCAATCATCACTTGACATTTCTGCCGGTTGAGAAACTTTTTAAAGGCTACGCTATTGTTGATATGTAGATTTTGATAGACTGCTTGACCTTTTCTTCGCTATAATAATGAAGTGTCATGGAAGTGACAAGATATTCATGTACCAGAAGGGGCGGGTGGATTTCTGCAACGAAGCTTACAAAAAAGATCGCATACAAAATTTTTTATAAAGGAAGCATACATTTAGCATATTTTAATTATCCTTTCTCATTATCAGTCAATGTCTTTCTATACTGTACAATCTAGATACTGTTTATAACAATAGGGAGCTGCAGTCCTTCAGTCTCAGTCTAAGTTACTTTCCTTGTAACTCTATTTTAGACACCTTTTTACCTATTTTGATAAGTAAGCGAGTGACATAGAATTGGGCTTTCCTCAAATTATCTTCTTTTTCCATTGGCATGGAGGCTATGGCCTTCTCTATCGACTCTAATTTCAGAGACCAAGCGATACTAGCATGAAAGCGGGGTGGCTGAACAGATAGATTACTTCATTATTAGTTCTGTTCTAGTATTAGGTGGCATTTCAGGACTTTTTGTCGTACCTGGTAAAATTTTGGCTGACGATGTCTCTCAGCAACTGTGTCTATTACCGCCATGCACTTTTCCAGCTTTCCTCGGTATAAGTGAATATTATTTCCTTACAAAATAACGATGATGACTTGATAACAGCTTACCTCGTTGTAACCATAACCAACTTCTAAAGAACAAAACGATCGTGTATTAACTTCGTTTGTGAGGGGGGCTATTGCCGCAAACGACAAAGAGAACCTATAGAAGACGTTAAAAATGTACGGTAAGACCTAGACTGCTCTTTGACGAATCGAAACGCGATTTTCTAACATGAACTTACGGCTTTATTAATTTGATTCCCCTCTTGATCTGAGCTACAAATGTTTCATGCTGAAATTCTTTCAAATAGAGGCATTTACTGAGACTGATATGGCACAAGTCGTCAGGACAGTCCACTTTAATCGGAGAGCTGTCAATATGGGCTGTTATATCTTTGATTTCCTTTGAACACGGCACTGTCTCATAAACGGAAGTGAGCGGAGACGAATACATTGGTTAATCATTGTTTAGATTATGGTTTCATGTAAGCACCTTCTATGTAAACGTGAGTTGGCCATTGTCCTTCCGTATGTGGGACGGTCCGTATTCTCCCTTGGTATTTCTCAGGGTTATCATCTATTTCGACTAGTTTAGTCGCGATCTACGTGTTAGGGACCACAAACAAGTAGATCACTGTACCAGTTCGAATGTGTTTGAAGGCAGCTGGCAATGGTGGTAAAGAGCTATCACTACTTCATAGGCGGCCGCGCCAGTCAGTAGCGAAGTATGCCAAACGATTGAGTTTGAATGTCATTAATTACCGGGATCGCTTGCCAATTTGAGTGGTTTGCGGGCTGGTTTCTGATTCACTCTCTGACGCGGACGAGTAATCTACCAAAGAAGCCATACGGGGGCGGAGTAAGCAATTGTCGACGGTTTTTTTTTTTGAGACTTGAACATGCTCAATCTGGAACAAACACCACCCCCGGACGGTCATGGCGATGATTCAACCTACTCATCCGACATAGATACCACAATGGATATCAATCAAGACCAAGATGTTGTAGAGGATTTTGCACGTACTTTAGACAGACGTAAGACCTCAAAATATGCCATGGCGCTGTTGCTTTATGCTGACTATGGCCATTTTTTTTTTTAGTTGTTTTACAGCAGGGCGAAACCAACCACGAAGAAAGCAGTGACGAAGGTGACATGGAAGAATTTGGTTACGAGCAGCTTCCTCAAGATTATGATGAAGACGATGATAATGATGATGCCGGTTATTATGAACAGCATGAACAAGACGACGAAGGAAATCTCAAGGAGGCATTCGATGCTAATACAATGCAGGCTGGCAAGCCAGAGCCTGTTCGATTTGAAATCTCAGAGGACGTCAATATACCTGAAGGTAGGCAAAACGCGAAACTTGTTCAGTTACATTTATGGCCAATAATGAAAAATTTGATGTCAGACGAAGCCGAGTTTATCAAAAGCATCATGTCCAAGATCCAGCTTCCAAAACCTGGTAAGTTATGGTGTGTTTCAGTTCAGCGAAAGGAAATTTTTTTTTATCATAATTGACCGTACTCCGTTGTGATAGAATGGGCAGAAAAAGTGTCGGAAGAGCTATGGTTACCACAACGAAAAGAGTACAGTAAAAAATAATAAAATATCAGTTTTGTAACAATTAACGGACGAAGTGTTCAGAACGTGCACAATTTAGGATCGCTGACTGGAGAACATCAAAGTTCAGATTTCTGTCCCAGCTCAGCGGCCTCAATTTTTTTTTTTTTAACAACCATAGAATTTCAAACCCGTGATTGTGTGGTTGTAACCAGACTCACTCGCTCTCGGCATGAAGGTATTTGAAAGCCTCGTAAATCATAGTTATGACGAAGTACAGAATCTCAAACATCATTCTCTTTAATGTTATAGTTTGGCAAGCAAATCCAGAGTCAGCAATTCACTGAGTGGAGTGCGCATTACCTCGACTATAAAGGCTTAAAGAAGTTCATTAAGAATCTTCTCAAGAGCGTGAATGATAGACCATATAGCGCCGTCACCGTATCTGCATCGCTGCCTCCTGGAGTATCACCCGAGGACGATCGCTCAAAGCTACTTCAGTCACAGAAAGCTGCCTTCTTCTTTAAACTCGAGCGCGAGTTGGAAAAGGTATGTAACAGCTTCCGTTTCTGACCGGATAGAGATAATCTAAGCTCTCTTTACTCAACAACCTCTTGGTTATAGATCAACAATTTCTATTTGCAAAAGGAGAATGAGCTCAAAGTGCGACTTCGTTCATTAGTCGACAAAAAGCGTATTTTACAGTCTAATGGAAGAAGACTTACCTACGAATCAACCTTACTCAACTCGTTGAAAGAGGCCTTCAATCAATTCGAGCAGGACTTGAACAAAATTCAGGTATTTTCCATATTCAATATAGGTGTGGCGTAGGCGGCCGGTTCGTCGACCTACAAAATGGCTGACTTTGATCTGTATAGAAATATGTGGAGCTCAATAACGAAGGTTTCCGTAAAATTCTTAAAAAATGGGACAAGCGATCGAAATCAAGCACCAAAGAGCTCTATTTGTCCAGACAGATTGACATTCAGCCTTGCTTCAACACTCAAGTCTTGACTGAATTGGCAGATATTGCATCCACCAATGTTATAGAACTCAACAACATTCAAGACGGCATTGCGACAACCCCGGTTCAGCCAGTGACACCATCATCTGAAGCTCTCAGATTCGAGTTTCCCAATGATAATACTGAAACTGTCGTCATGGATGACTTGGAGCTGGATCTTGTGAAGGCCATCTCAGGCAATCGACTAACAGCTGTCAAAGAGACGTTAGAACGTATGCGACAACATCCATCGCCAGAAGATCGGGAGCGAATATCGAGAGTATTCTTACATGCTTGCTCGGAAGGATCTATTGAAAGTGCCATGGTACTCATCGAAACAGGACATGTTAACTTCCAGTATGTCGATGATATCAATGAAAGAAGCTGCTTGCATGAGGCTGCCATGTCTGGGCAACTGGAATTGCTCAAACTTTGTGTCAGCCATGGCGCAAATGTTCGCACAGCAGATGTATACGGCAGAACAGCTCTGCATTATGCCAGTATGAATGGCTTCAATGACTGTACCGAATACCTCCTGGCTCAAGGCGTTAAAGTGAATGTCAATGACCATGATGGCTTCACTCCTCTCATTTACGCCATCATCAATAGCCACACTCGATGTGTAGAGATTCTTCTGGAAAACGGTGCAAGTGCTGAACCACACAACGATGGTCACAACCCACTCTCACTTGCTTGTCATTACGGCCACACAGAGATTACAATGCTGTTATACCGGTTTGGAGCCAAAAGCATTCCGAACCCTGAAGGATTGTACCCACTGCATATTGTGGCTAGAGAAGGTCATATCGAACTCTGCAAAATACTGTCACAAGAAAAGGACAATCTCGACGTTCCAGACAAGTACAGCATGTGGACTCCTATCTTTTGGGCGGCTAGTGACGGCAACATGGAATGTACTAAAATTCTCATTGATGCTGGCTGTAAGGTCAACGTGAAGGATGAAAACGGAAAGACAGCTTTGTACTATGCCGCTTGGGAAGGCAAGATGGATTGTGTGGAACTCTTGATCAAAGCTGGTTGTGAACTGGAGACGGTAGAAGATGCCACCATGCAAGATACAACTGAAACCGCTTCCGATGAAAACATGGATGATCTCGACATCGACACCATTCCAAGTCTATCTTTACCACCACCCATCATACCATTCCGTATTTATGGTCATAACTATTTGGTCAAGAAACACCAAGTCCAGATCACTCTCGGTTATCATTCTAGCATGCGAAATGAGACCCCAGTTGTGCTTTATGGCAACACGGAAATGTCGTCCCTAAAACTAATTATTACATCGCGACCGGATACTGGCATGATCCCACACAGCGTTATTTTACCTTTGGTTGATGAAAGAGAAATCTTTACCTTCCAAGTCAATAACCTGGAAGACTTCTTCCTTGAATTTGATATTTACCCAACTTTTGGCTCCAAAGTCATCGGTCGCGGTGTGGCTTTACCCTCCGCCTTCAGCATCAATAACGCTCAAGGCGTTCTCAAGGGCAGTAATGCAAAGCAAACCATACCATTATTCGACAGTCACTTGAAAGTAGTTGGAGAGCTCACATTTGAGTTTGCGGTTATCAAACCATTCCATGGTGTTCAACTCGAAATTGGCGGCCGTATCGAAACATACTGGAAGTCTACAAATACCATTGCCCCACCTCCAATCTCAACTTCATCGCTATCAGCATCCGATAACGCAGTTCCTGGAAGTCATACTGGAACGCCATCAATGTCAAATCCTACTGCTGGTACCACTGTGAGCGCCGTCCCTTCATTGATCACCGCTTCGTCATTGTCTGGCGATTACTTGAAGGTGGTGGTCCAGGTGACGAGAGATTTGGTGCCGGTCGTGTTTGCCAATTGGCGACTTCCTGTCGACCAATTTGACTTGTTCGTTTCCGATGTCGCCTTTGACCAGTTCAGAGCTCTGGGAGATCGAATCACCAGCGCTATCAAGGTCGAAAATGTCGATGGTGAAGGCGAAGTCGATTACCAGACCGGTAACAGTAGCTTAATTCGACAGTATAGCGATCAGCAACCTATGATATCATTAGAACAATTGCTAAAGGTGAGTCCAGTGGTGATGCTAACAAAGATGATATGGCATGGTTTACTCAACGTCCTCACACCACACAGAACCTCCCACAATCTATGGGCGTCAATTTGGAAATTCGTTACCCTATGCCCAGCGATCTTGTTGAGCATGGATTTGCGAACATTGCTGGTTGCAATGACTATGTAGATGCCATCCTTCAATGTGTCTACGATCACGTACATGCTGCCAATCTGGCCAACAGTAACAACGATGAAAACGGGCCTGCCAATCGATCCCTTTTCTTTTCCTCTTTCAATCCTTCCATTTGTACGGCGCTCAACTGGAAACAGCCAAACTGTAAGTGTACCATTGAAAAAAAAAGACAGTGTATGGGCCACTTAAAATTAACATCCATATTCTCCACCTAGACGCTGTCTTCTTCAACACTCACTGCGGTGTTAAAAGGTCAGCAACGAGACGTGGTGGCAAGCGAAAGGAACCAGATGCAGATAAGGTGGAAAATATCAACGATATCGAAGAAGATGTGCGTTGTACCTCCCTCAAGGAAGCTGTCAAGTTTGCTAAGCGCACCAACCTTCTTGGTATCATTGCGGAAGCTACACCACTTGTAAGTCCATTTGAAACAAAAAAAAATTGGGTATTGCCTGACTTGAGTACCGGCTAACGTTATCATGTATAGGTTCATGTACCATCGCTCATCACTAACGTAAAGGAGAGTGGGCTTATTCTGACGACGTTTGGGCCGGCCAACGTCAATCCACAAAACGTGAAAGTTCAGGAGCGATACGGTGTAGAAGCGATGATCATTAATGGTATCACACGTTATAATGGCACAGATTCATAGGAAATGAATGTGAACAAGCTTGTTATTATTTAATTCTTTTTTACTTCATGTACACACACTCGCATACAGTCATACAAATCAAAAATCCCATTATACAAAATTTTTTCTTGGTTCGCTGTTCACAATAGAAGTCTTCGTACAACGACCTTCAATTGCTTGCTGTGCACTTTATCATCTTGAGGTTGCAGCCCCATTAATCCATTTCTCTTAAAAAGTATTTCTCCTCAGATTCGGTGTGTTAAAGCGGTATTATAGACATCATGAACACAGACAGTATTTGTAATATAATATGAGTTGTATACAGGGCGCGTTTACATTATTGGAAGAAAAGGAAGCATAGAAAAAGGTTGGCGATCGGTCTATGAAATACTACCAAACACTTTGTGAGCCGCATTGCAATGAACGGTGTTAGTGTCCAGGTCGATAGCATAGCTCACAAACAAGGCATCAATTCTTAAAGGAGATGGCGTGTTACTTTTTGCACGAACTCTACAATGGCGGGACTGATTAGAAAATAGGGATGACTTACATATTATTGAGAAGACTGGTAAAGAACCGGGATATGTAAAATGGTACCACAGCCGCAAGAAAACCAACAATCATGCCATGTGGAGAGTGTAAGGATCTTGTTACAAAAATGTACGTTGCAAATCCTGAAAACAGTGAAAGCATCAAGGCGCTGATATTAAGAATCATCCGAGTGAGGAGACCTGAAAGCAAACGTGTGTGAATGACTTAGGACATTGCCAGCGAAAATTAGATGAACTATTTTTACCTTCTAGAACACCAGAGATCAAGTTTCTTCTGAACACCTTTGTCACTGATCTTGCAGAAGCTAAGAAAGATTCTCCAGTAATGCCTGCAAGGATTATAGTTTCATTGTTGATGGCTCCTACAATCATCTCTATGAATTTCAGACAGCCTAAAATGGCTCCAAATACAATATTGCTTGCTTTCAATCGCTGTCGTATGCATTAGCGTTAGCGACCTTATAAAGCAACACTTAATATATCGCTCCAATACTATACCTTCTGTACTTGTATTGATACGACTTGAAATGTTTGAACTATGGATAGGAGCAATGCTCCCACAGCCACAGTGCCAAGTGAAGTTGTGCAGGCTCTTGTCAGAGCCGCTTTCGAAGGATTTGCTGAAATAGAGTCTACAGGCTCATGTCGATGAAAATACCATTGTGCGGTCACCCCAGCCAGAGAAAACCTGTAGAAGAGAAATAAATGCTTTAGTTCTGATGAATGCAAAAAAAAAGTTGTGAGCAAACTTGAAGCAGCTATTACCTTTGAATATTGATTAGGAGAGAAGCGGTCCACAGATAGAAAAAGATATAAAACGTCGCAAGAAGGTATACATTGTTATTGACCACCCATTCGATTCCTTTTTTTAATGGTCGTTAAAATCGCATTCAAAGTATTGTGCTAAATTAAGCAGCTGGTATCGTACCTGAAGGTGTGGTAGGCGAAATGGTGTGGCCGATTAGCCATAGTCGGCTAAACAAGACAATCCATAAGCTTGAAAATGCGACAAATACGCCCATGAGTGAGACAGAGAGCAAAACAGCTTCTGGATTGGCACGCAATACATCACATGCCAGCTATCCAAGAACGATCAATAAAAAGGTCACAGAGTCGAACTGAACATAATAGATCAGACTTACCTCGAAGACTGTCAATGTATGCTCAATCTTCTCCTTATTACCTAGCAATATCCGAAGGTAAAGGATTCCAGTGACAAGCGGGAAGAAAGACATAATGGTCAAGCTATGGACGGTAAAGATGACACAAAATCAGTAAAAGTTGGAAATGGTGAGCGCTCACAAAAGCGGTCAAGTTCATACCGTGTGTCGTGTCCAGTTGGCCCACTTCCTTCTATAAAATTGCTCTGAAAAGATTCAATAATAGTCCACAAGAAGATGCCAAAAGTGGCTACGGGCACGGTAGCAATAGTTCCCCAAATCAAATACTAGAAAGAATGATTCATAAGGCATCCGCTTGGACGAAAAAGAAGATGAATCAATGTAACTTACACGAGCATATTTGCGAAGTAGAATGATCCAGATTGCGCTCACGGCTAATGCCAGACTAAACATGATGGCTAGAATGCCTATATTGGATTGTTAAAGCGGTCTATAGCGTGATGCTATATCGTCAAAGGAATCTTACCTGCGCTGCCTTTGATGGCTATAAAAACAGTTCCTCTTGAAAAATCTTCAATGGCATGAGACTGAAACATAGGACATTAATATCGCTTTGATATCTCCTACTAAGCAAAGCGGAGACACTTACATCTGTCGTGAAAAGGATCACAAGTCCAGATACAATAAAAATCAAAAATGCTATAACATAAAGAAATGCGAAAAATGGATCTTTCAATTTCATGTGGGGTTTGACAGTTGTAACATCTGCTGGTATCTTTTGAGTGGAGAAATCGATTAGCGCATTTATGTAAAGTGGTTTTACATCTGATAGCAACATACCGCCGACGTCGTTGGTAGGAGCGACTCCGCTAGCGTACGCTTTTGGGAATTTGTTGAATTAACTGGAGGTGGAACGTCGAGATATATGGCAGACGGTTGCTTTCAATGAGCAAACAATGTACCTGTCAGTGAAAGAACGTTTGTCTCTTGTTCAGCTTAATGTGCACACTTACTGGCAGTTCTTCTGCATCCGACTGAAACTCCGACATACGAGTATATGAAAAGTCAGAGTAACCAAGGTCACCATCGCTGTACTGATTAGCTCTATAGTCGCTATCGAAGAGTTCACTTGTGTTTTCGCCATTAGTTATGCGTTCGTCGTAAAATGCCCGTGAGTCTGTCATGGGTATAGATTCCGGATTCGGAGCCTGGACGGAGAAGAACATGTTGCTTGGGCTTTGAACAGATTCTTCGTCGTCGTCGTCGTCGTTACCTTCGTCAACAAGCGTATACGGCGATCTATAGTTGGACGACAAAACACTTTCGCGCAGCCTGTCGTACATATTCTTGCCGAAACTCAGTACTGAACTATCCATGGCTGTGAACGACTTTGTTTTAGCTGTTGTTACAATTGGTGGCAGTGAGTATTAAGAGTTTGCAATAATGGTTAAACAGGAATTGTGAGGAGAAGGCTGCAGACGAACTGATAAGCTGAAAGTCATGCTGAGCAATGGTGGCCATTATGGTGTTCCCGTGACGTTCATGTGACTTCAATTTCAGGTGCAAAGCAATCAATTGTGTCTTCTACCATTTTAATAAAAAGGACCTGATAGGCAAGCACAGCAGCAGTGTGCTAAACTCGGACAGATAGCAATACAATGGCGGATGTATGCTCCAATCAAACGTAAACGGATAGAGCGTAGCATTTAATGGAGTCAAGCACAAAAACAGTGATTGGCATTACAAGCGCCACGTAGTCAAGCAAAAGCAATGTTCTGGAAGGTAATATAATTTGCTTCAGGAATTGTAATGTACAGCAGCTTACAGTGATGAGTATGTTTGTGTGGGAAGGCTTTTGAACAAATCACAGGCTTGCAGATATCCAAGGGGCCAAAAACCTGTACTATCATTCTAAAACACTATCTATTGTTAGGTAATGCTCCTAATCCGGATGGTATTAACAAGAACTAGGAAAATGAGGGTTGAGCGTAGCAGGCTGCCTACTTGTTTAATAAATCGATATTCCTGGTAACCGTTGAGGCATTGGCCTTTTTGTGCCGTCAAAATCATGGCGAGCCACAGAGAAGGCAGTCACGTTTTTTTGCGTTTTCTGTTGTTTGGGCCATAAATCCAAAAATTTCGCGCAGAAGATTTCGAGATCTAATCGGAACGAGATGCCAGCTGATACTCTGTAAGTAGGCTCTACATCTGTCAGTTAAAGCAATACATTCTTCTATACATCGTACTAACTACAACATAAAGAGCACCCACAAAGCCTTCATGGGCTGACGAGGTCGAAGAAGAAGAAGGTTAGAGAGATTAAGAAGTACACATTCAACCATGATGATAATTGGATAACTGACACAAACAAAATATGATTTCAGATGCCTTCCAGACTCAAGTTTACACAGATGAGAACGGTTTGAAAGTTATTGTTGAATACAGAGATAATGATGATGGCAAGAAAGTCAAGGTACCAAAGAAACAAGCCCTTTGCCCATTCAACGACCTTCTAACTTATCGCATTTCTTTGCATTAGGTCACTCGCAAAATCAAAACTAAGCTTGTCACAGAATATGTCAACAAGGCAGTAGCTGAGCGAAAAAAGTGGGCAAAGTTTGGAGAAGAGAAGGGAAACAAGCCCGGTCCTGATCTTTCAACAACCACTATTGGCGAAAACATCCCATTGAAGCTTTCATCATCATACGGAAAGACACCCACTGCTGAACAACAAACTGATGAACAAGAGACTAAGATGAGACAAGCATTGAAGAGCAAGAACATTATGTGCAGAATTTGCAAGGGCGAACATTTCACTTCCAAGTGTCCTTACAAGGATACCTTGCAACCTTTGGACGAAATTGCAGCATCACTCGAAGGCGTTAAGAATGAAGGTAAATATAAAGGAATCTTTGTATTGGAAAATCATGACTGCTTATCTATGGTTATTGTATTACGAAACTAAACAACTTGAATGTGTAATATAGGTTCTTCTCGTCCTGAATCACCTGAACCTAGCGGCGGTTCCGGTATGGGACCCAACAAATACATTGCTCCACATCTCCGAAAGGGAGCTACTGCTGTGGGCGAGTCGCCACGCGAGAAGCGTGATGACAGCGCTACTCTGCGTGTGACCAACCTTTCAGAAGATGTTACCGAGAACGACATTTATGAACTCTTCAGAAGATTCGGTCAAATAAGTCGTGTCTACCTTGCTCGTGACCGCGAGACAGGCGTATGCAAAGGTTTTGCATTCGTTTCTTTCGGTATGAAGGAAGAAGCCGAAAGAGCACAACAGGCTGTCAATGGTCTTGGTTATGACAGTCTCATCTTGAGAGTTGAATTTGCTCGTAGTTCATAGATTCATTTTCCCTAAAACTTTTTCCTGTCCCGTATAAACACTACTTGTAAACTTTTTTTTTTTTTTACAATGCAATACTTTGCTGTTATTTATTTGTTAGTTGTTTACGTTGTAACATGGCTTAAGCTTTGCTTTAAGATGTTCATCAGTCCCGCGAAAAAAGGGCCTCATCTTTATCAGCCAATCAGAAGCGAGCACTAGCTCCACTCACCCGGGCGAATGAAATACGTGCGACTGCTGGGTCACTAGTTCAATCGAACCATTTCAAAGCATCGCTCACTGTCCCTGTTACAACCTTGATACTTTCGAGAACAGGATCAACGCAACGCCATTGTTATTTGAATATTTCCAGACAGTTAGCCACCGAAAAAAGTTAGCTACGAATCGGCATTAAGCAGCGATTGGTTATATTCTCATCATCTAAATTTTGCATACCCGCCATTTGGTTCCTGCAGAATTTCGTCAGCGAGAACCGGATAGGATCAGTTTGAGCCTTTGATGACCCAGGAATCCGACGTGATGATAGAGTCAACTAGATCAGACAGCCACAACCAAGTAGGAAACGACAATGTCGACAGCCATCTGGAGCAGTTGATCAAAGATAAGCAAGACGAGTTTGGACTTTTCGAGACTTCTCTGTTTACGATGCCTCGAATATTTGACGATGGAAACTATATTGTTGGCGAACCAGGGAGCTTTGGAATGGATGATGGACTTATGTCGGCAACGTCCCCAACAGCATCAGCAACTAGCGGTCATAGTGGAACTGGTAGTTTCGACCCGCCAAGCCCTGCCAACTGTACCCACGATGACGATGATAACAAAGGAGACAAGGTTATTGAGGTACGATTGTTATTTAAAATTTTAAGAGTGGTGTAGAGGATCGATTACTACATTTGGGAGATTCCATGCTTATGCAATAAGTTCTGCTTAATAGACATTTTCACATGAAACGATGGTCCCCACACTGGCCAATGATTGTCTGGACTATGATCAATTTGTCCATTCATCAATGTAAGGGTCCACTCACAAGCATCAAAAGATTGAATGGGGTAAAGCTGTCGACTAACCCCAACCTACTCTAAATTTTTTAACAGTGACCGTTTAGCGACCATGGCTCCAGTGAACGATTCAACTGCTGGTCAAAGCCTAAGGTACGTGACACATGACTTGGGGTTAGCTTTGCAGAGCGCTTTTCTTTACTAAATCTTTCTTTTCTTCTCTTCCTCTCTCTATCTTCTCTTTATCATGTTTCGCTCTCGCCCACCTTCGTATATCAGACCCCTCGAAATCCGCGTCTTCGGCATACCAGAAAGCGGTACGAAATCTCGAGTTGAAACTCAGATCAAACTTGGCATAGAGTTGATTGATGCTAGAGGAGAGCGTGTAAAAGAATGGTCACACATCAAGTTACCAACTCATATGGTCGCGAGAGAAAAATTGAAGAGAATCAATGGAAAGAACCCACAAGCCGATGCAAACCCTGTCAGCGGCACAGCCCTACATGAATCTCAAGTACTGAGACTGGATGCAACTGTCGTCTGCGCCAGTGAATTGACAAGGGAAGTGATCATGTGCTTCAATTGCGTCCATAGAGAGGTATGTATCTTTTTTACGTCCATCTCCACATATAGTTGCAAACCTCTGACCTCAATGTTTTGCATGACTGTAGAGAAAGCGATTGCAACGAAAGCGTGACAATAAGAGAGCCAAGCTTGCCAATAAAAAAAGCGCCAAGAACACATCTATTACCTTCGAACCCTTACCTGATCTCGACGATGAAGACGTGATGGCAACTGAACGTTCAAAGATACTGCAGTTCAATTGCTGCGACTATGTTGATTATTCTGCTGGAGAAACAGTGTTACCGACACGTTTCACATGCTATTGTAGACACCATGCTGAGAAGTCCGGTTTTCGGTAAGTATTAATATTCCCCAGATTTTGGATTGCATAGACGTATTCCTTGCACTTCATTGCCGTCCCCCCCCAAAAAAAAAGAAGAAATGCGTGCCTAATTCAATTTATTACACAGCATTAAATTAGCTCTCAAAGATCACAATGATGAAGTTGTTGCTGTCGGCATCTCGCCGTCTATTATGATTACGGACGATCACAAAAGCAGCAAATTAAATTCTACATCTTCTACTGGTCCTAAAAAACGTAATAGAGAAGAATACGACTCTCACGATTCAAACCATACATCAAGCTCCTCTAGGAAGGCAAACAAAAAGAAGAATCAAAGCACCGATGGTGAATCTGACTCTGGTACATCCAGTCCCATTGCATCTATACCAGCAACTCCAACATCTATGCAGCTTTCATCCATAAACGGTCCTCTTAGCCCACTGGTCCTACAAGCGTCGCCAGAAGCATCGTCATATGCAACTTCAGTCCATTTTTCAAAAAGTGATTTACAAGAGATGAAAATTCATCTTCGAGATTCAGCAGACAATAACGGACATATTACCAATTCAACGGATTTCTTGGAAGTTGAACGATTCTTGTCACAGTTGCCTAGCCCAGTAGATGTGTCTATGCCATCGATGGAACTGAATGCTAGCATGGCTGCTCACACGGAGTCTCAAATGCACGACAACGACTTCAGTTTGATGAATGCACTGGAAAGGTTAACTTCACCCACCATGACTCACATTCCAGAAGTGTTACAACAATCAAGTCATCGACCCAAGTTACCATCACATACTGACAACAGCAATACGCCTACTCTTCCCAGGGAACTCCCACAACTGGATACTCTGCAAGCACAGGCTGCAGCCGCTCGCATGCGACCGACAGAGCGTAGACAACAAGCTTTAGTAAACCGAGTTATTCCCGCTGAAGGCCCAGTTTATGGTGGTGTTGAAGTGACTATTCTAGGATCTGGCTTCTATGAAGGTGTGACCTGCTTATTTGGAGAGAATCCAGCGATGCCAACGCATTGTTGGAGTCAAAACACTCTTGTGTGTATACTCCCTCCTGCCACCAATCCAGGCACCGTAGTGGTATCGTTGAAAGAACATCCTATTGTCCTGGATGGCCAAGATGTCCCACTTTTTACCTACTTTGATGAAAGCGATCGTGCATTGATGGAGCTTGCTCTACAAGTGGTTGGTTTGAAAACCACTGGCAAGCTGGAAGACGCTCGTCAAATAGCCATGAGAATTGTACAAGGTGGATCTGGAAGTGGACAGGCTCAATCACAACAAGGCAGCAACGATGATGGAAGCCAGCATGATAGCCAAGGAAGTCAGCACCAGTTGAGTTATCGAAAGAATGAAATGCAAGCTACTCAAGTTTACAAGGAGGCAAAATCTCGCTACCTATCAGATATGGAAAGCCGAGTTATTGAAGCCTTGAAGTCCACCCCGAAAGACACGTTATGTCACATTGATACTTGCAATGACTCTGGTCATACCATGCTTCATATCTCCGCTCTATTGGGTTACTCTGAACTATGCAAAGCTCTGTCTGACTATGGATGTGATATCAACAAGCAAGATCGTAACGGCTATACTGCGCTTCATTTTGCCAGCTGGGCAGGCAAGTTAGCTTGTGTCAATGAGCTTATTGATACCGGTCGTGTCGATCAAACAATCCAAACTGTCCACGGCAAATTAGCTGTCGAATTAGCTTTCGACAATGATTATGAAGATATCGTAGACGTGCTTGGCGGACCTATTCATGTTGTTGATTTGGATGACTCGTATGCAGCATCGTCTGAAAATGAATACGATTCGGACGACAGCAGTGACTTCCGACGTTCTGATGACGAGCGAGATGCTATTGATGAAGCTACTGATTTCAATCTGCCTGTAGAACAAGGCTCTGACGAATCCGAAGATGATGTATCTCAATTACCCAATCTTCGCAGCAATATCCTCTTGCGCAACAAGAGCCGTAGCAATAGAAGGCACTCTGCTATGCAGATGGCTGACTGGCTGCAGCTCTCGGCGGATCCAACATTAGCATTCTCGGGCGTTGCAGGTGATAGAGATGAAACGCATTTATCCGAGTTGACGCAAGCTTCATTATTTTGGGTTCGCGAATTATTGACGGAAATTCAGCAAAGAGCATCAGACGCCATTGCAGATTCTAAAGTTCGAGAACGTCTAACTGACTTGCAGCATCAGGCTTCATCAGCGCTTAACGACTATACCACTTGTGGTCGTAGCCGAATTTCCCATTTGCAGAAATACGCTCACACTATGCTTCATGACTCCAAGCTTCGTGCCAGACTACATGAATTACAGCAACAAGCATCTAGTGCTTTGAACGATACCAAGCTCCGAGAACGATTGGCTGAAGTGCAACAGCTTGCTGCCCATGTCCTAGCTGAATCCAGTGCTCTCTCCAAGGATGATCAAGCATTAGCGGCCGCTATTCAGCGTCGACTGGATCGTATGGCCACTCACCTGACTCGTGTTAGACAAAAGCTTCCTCAATCTGCTCGAGACTTTGTCCGGTCAACGCTCCAAACTTTGGATGACCATCTCTTGATGGATGGCCCGTTCACTGACACCGACAATGACATGGAAGATGATGGTTGGCCATGGGACAACAAGGATGGGGTTGAACCTGCTTCCTCGGATGTCACTCCAGCTCCCCTTCATCAGCTCACCACACAAGAGCAAGAGCACCGCCATCGATTCCTTAATCCATCGGAAGAATCCGAGGCAAATATCACCACACCGCCCACCGCTGTGGTCAGTAACAATGTTCGAGTTCACCGCTTCGCTTCACGGTCTAAACATCGACTTGAGCTTTCCAGCAAGCTTTTGAATACGCCAGCAAAGGTATCCAGCAAGCAATCTGAAGCTGAATCTTCTGATGCAACAACTACAGCGGATGATAGCGAAAGTCCCTCTGGCGAAGAAGATGCTGATGGCGAGCCTGTGTATTATCATGGCGCTGTCATTATGGATGAAAACAAGTACTTATGGCATCGTGAAAAGTACAAGCGACTGAAGAAGGATAAGTTGCTCTATCTTTTTTGGTTGCCTATTTTGTTTGGTATGTATCCAATTCTTTATTGCAAGCTATTCTCATCATTTGAATACTCATCCTCTTTTGCTTTTAGTCATTGTGTCGTTGTTATTACTACACTATGTACGAACAAACTCGGCTGTCTATGAATACCTTATAGGCTTTACACCCTCTCTGCGTAAGATCACACTCATGGGCACTATTTAAGTGGCCCAATCTCTGGTTTACGTTTCTTTCTATTTTATTTTTTTATTGTTTTCTCTCTGTATGTGATTGCCTCCCCCCCCACCACTTTTTTGTTCTTTAACTTTGTCTGTGTTCATAATCTTTCCCATTCTTGTAAAGTTTTGTGTATGAATTGCCAGCTACTTATGGCTGCTACTGGAGCTTTGGGTAACTTGTTTCTCTTTTAAACCCCCAAACTCTCCACAGAATCACCTATCTCCTACTTCGCTATACCCTCTCTCTCATCCCCATTAAATGTCAATATGTATGTTCGTGGTGCAAAATACCAAAAGACGCAACCAATACTTATTTTCATGTACTCTCCATAATAAAAATTCGTTTGTCATTAGTAGAAAATTAGAACGGCAACTTTTTCAATCAAAACATCTAGGATTTTTTTATTGATGGGATTGTGAATGCTAGGGTAAATATCATAAAGAAGACAAACAGGAAAAAAAAGGAGCTATATTGTGTGTAGGAAGGGTAGGTCATGGGCTGTGACAATGTACAATCATAAAAGGCCAGCCAGATGAGTGAGGAGGTCATAAGCTATGGCTTATTTGTGGTATTTGGCAGGAACAAATGGCATCTTGGTGATAGAAGCGTCCTGAACTCTGTTACGGACACGAACCTTAAGAGCAGTGCCATTCTTGTGGAAACCAGACTTGACATATCCCATGGCGATGTTACGCTTCAAGCAAGGGCTGGGAACACCGGAGGTGACGTTACCAATGACTTCACCATCGGGAGAGAGGATTTCGGCACCTTCACGAGCAGGAGCACCTTCAACAAACAGACCGACGCGACGACGGGAAACACCACCCTTGATCTGAGGCAAGATATGTTCAGCACCCAAAAAGCCACCAGTCTCACGACGAGACTTAGGAATGGTCCAGGTCAAACCACCTTCAACAGGGGTAGTGGTATCATCAAGGTCGTTACCATACAAGCAGAGACCAGCTTCCAAACGCAAAGAGTCACGAGCACCTAAACCAGCAAGTTCAACATCGGGATGAGAAAGCAAGAGGTCGGTAATATTAACGGCATCAGCAGTAGGGATGGACAACTCGAAACCGTCTTCACCAGTGTAACCGGAGCGAGCAACGTGGCAGTGAACACCGCGAATGGTAATGAAACGACCGTTCATGAAGGCAAAGTCTCTCAAATCTTCTCCAATCAAAGATTCCAATGCAGCAGCGGCTTTAGGGCCCTGAATAGCCACAAGAGAGTGATCTTCGATAATTTTGAGATCGACATCTCCACCCTTATCTTGGAACACCTTGAGGTGCTTGTTGATATGTGCAAGATCCTTCTCAGCACAAGCAGCGTTGGAAACAACGTAGAGAGAGTCAGCTTGCTGCATGATGATCGTATCGTCGATGATACCTCCGTTCTCATTGGTAAACACCGACAATGTGCCACTTCCGACGGGCAGATTATGCAAATCAGCCACTACCAAAGTTTCGAAGAATTTAGCACGGTCCTTTCCAATCAGTCTAGAAGAACTACCAGTCAGCCAACGCCAGGTTAAGTAGTAAAACATGATCTCGTATTTACCTTGTTTGCAACATGTGGGAAACATCAAAGATCGAGGCTTTCTCACGAGTGTGAAGATGGGAGGCCAAGACACCCATACCAGAGTATTGAACGGGCATAGCATAGCCAGCGAAGGGAACCATCTTACCACCATGCTTCAAGTGAAAATCGTGGAGAGCTGTCTGCTTAAGAGTCTGAACAGAGAGCGTTCGGTCAGACATCACGTGTACGATACGTTTAAGCTCAAGGTCTCCGGTTTAACCTTACCTTTGAGGTAGACGCATAGGAGCGCTTTGCCAAAGTCAGCATAGCAGGCTTCTTGAGCAACTTGGTAGCAATCATTATGTGAAAAAAGGAAGAAAAGAGGAGATGAAGTTGCTCGATCGTGTGAGAGGGGTTTTATATTTTTTTTGGTTTGACTCGGTGGAGTCGGGCATCTTCCGTTGCATCGGCTCTCACAGCGCCTCCATTTACGACATTCCGACTACCAATCGAGGCAAAAGAGGTTATGAAGCCAAGGTAATTGCTTCACAATTGATTTTATGGGTCAAAGTTGGAACAATAAGCTAAAGTAATGATAGGCACACTTGGTCAAACAGCTGTTAGGAAAATGAAAAAATAGAAAAAAAAAAGTACGGGTGCTGTCTTTCTCTTTTATCGACGCAGTGAGTTAAAATAATATCTACATTATGAAATGGGTATGTATGGATTTACTTGCTTTCTTATAGGCTTACGCGCCCATCAATCTCTTCATATCTCCCAATTTTCGACGAAGAGTGTCACGCTCATTCTCGCTTTCAGCGAACTTCATCTTGATATCAATGATCATGGATTCCATATACTATAAGAGGTCAGTAAGTATCTTGCGTGGGTCAAACTTATTCGGAGAGCAAATTTCTCTTATCATTGCCTTATACTTACGCTCAGTTGTTCTTCCAAGGCGCTATTTCGTTCTACGAGAGCGGCATTCTTCGTACACAAAATTTCCATTTCTTCCTTGACTCGTGCTTCTACCTCGGCAGGAAGGGTATCAAGCGCTCGCTTCAGTTCATTAGATTGTTGATGAAGTGCGTCGTTCTCGTCGTTGAGTCTTGCCATCTCTAACTTGGACTCAATCAGTCGATTGGCTACAGTAATGTGTTCGGTGTTAAGTTGGTTCACTGAGTTTTCGAGTCGCTTGACAGAATCCTTCAATTGCTTGTTCTGCTTTCGAAGAGTGTCCAGTACTTCAGCTTCGCCACTAGCCCGAGCCGCTTCAGAGGTGTATTGTTTTGCCAGTCGATCCAATTTTTTTGGTGTAATTTTAATGCCATAGGCATCTCGTACAAAGCCCCTAGAGTCCTCCTGAGAGGAACGGAACGCAAATGTCATTTGTTAGTATTAAGACAAACCAATGGTGCTTTTCCATTAGTAGTGCACTATTCTTACCTTATAAGTATCCATCATTTCGTTTTTTAAGAAATGAAGCAGCCCGTCGAAATCCAAACTTAATATGATTGCTTGATTTCTTTCCATGAGGGCTAGTGAGAACCGGAAGAGAGCTTCGGTGCCTTCAGCTAGCACAATGTCGTAAATACGGTATACAAGATTGAATGGGACCTTGTAAGCGAACATGGTCATAAACCATTGGGTGGCGTACATGCTAGCTCGAATGCCCTGTGCCTCCAAATGCCGGTGCAAATGAGGGATATGCTCTTTCAGTAACCCTTCAAATTGGTATAATCGTTGGTTGATGGCTTCCATTTGATGTGTAAAGTTGCCTCTTAAATTGTAATGCTTCATCAGGCGTACAAGAACACAGAAAGCTTCTTCCTCAGGCATCTAAAGCAAAAGTTGTTGTGTAAGGTAAGTCTCTGGTTACAAACAAAATAGCACAAGAATTGCATTCTTCATGTTGTTTCTTGTCCGCATCAAATCACACCAACATAAAAATAGGAAGAGAAAGTCGCTCCTTACGTTCAGCAAAAGTGGGCCAACTATGAAAGCAAGGCCTTGGCAGTAGCCAACGTCGGTATCGTACAATGAATAAGCTTTCACAACATTGAAGAGGGCTTGTTGGCCGGGGCCGTCCTTTTCAAAATAGTCATGCTTAGGGAAAGTTCTGGGGAGATCTCTCAAAATAGCCTTTTCATAAACAGAGTCTTCTTTCAATAGCCTCATATATTGCTCTTCCAGCTCTGGATCTTTGGATTTCGAGAATAGTTGCCATATCATGCCGCGGAGAGCCGGTGGAATGCCCTGCTGAATATTTTTGGACAACTCTTTTGGGTGTGTTTTGGCGACAGTGTTAAAATCACTGATCACCGTACTCCAAAATTCCCAATCAATATCTTCTTCTTCTCCTTTGCTAACAGCTTCATTGTATACACGCTCAAAACTGCCTCTGATTTCCTCAATTTGTTGTTCCTCATACTCCTCTCTTTTGGGATCACTGGTGATTTCGTTATTTTGAACCTCCAACCGTGCGAGAAGGAGATCATAATTTGAACCAACCGTCTGTGAGCGTGCTGGACGGGTGGTAGTTTCATGGCCTTGATTTGCCTGCTGGTGCCCTGATTCACTGGATAAAGTATCTTCGCTTTCATGTGGCAGAACATTGAGGCCATTGATAATGTCTTTAGGCGGTGTAGGAAGTGGCACCTGTCGCATACCGGATGGAGCATCCCGGTTAGAGACAGTCATACGTCTACGTCGGCCGCCAGCAGCAGACGGAGTAGATGTAGCATCGCTATCTAATGATACTTCATTTAGATCAGCTTCATTGATAGGAGTACCTTTCAGAGAAGTTCGTCTTTGAATAGCATCTTGTACCAGAGCGTTAACATTTCCAGAGCTTTTTCGGTGTGAACTTCTTCGGCCCAAGGAGGAATGTGATGACTTGATGGTGCTATCTGATTCTTGGCTATGTATGGAATTCTGAGCTTTGTGATGAGAGAACTTGCCATTAGTGGATGAGTCTTGCACTTCGTTAGAGACGTCTTGGTCTACCGATTCGCGAGCAGCCGAATACATTTCGTCGCCATCAGATGAGATATCGGAGGTTGCCTTAGACGCTGGCATTGGGAAGAGGGGAAAGAGGAGGGGGAGGAGATGGTGACGCCGAATTCGGGATCAAGTTGATTTCAAAGTCCCTTTTTTTAAAGGCATTTGCCAAATGCAACCTCGAAAGCCACTGGTAATGTGGATGCTCTTTATTCTAATGACCTTCCGTTGATAACAATACGATGACTTTAAACTCTTTTTATTATTATTATCACAGTTTACGTCTTCATCACTATTCGGACGAGGGAGGGGTAACTCATGCTCATTTGCCAGCAGAGTCAGGGTCCCTGATCAGAAATTACCTACCTACCGGCTTTTTGAGCTTCCGACAGAGTCTTCCAAAAATAGAGAGGAGATCAGTGACAAGTTCGCTTCACAGCCGATGACTTTGCTGAAACAAGCAACTGGTAAACAACATTCTATTTTTATTTGAGATAGGAACCATCGTTAAACAGCAGGACCACGGTCGTTTTGTAGTGAAGTGTCCATCATAATAGACAAATGCTTTTGACAGTTAAAAAGCTCTATTCGTCCCGAGCAACCTGTGATGGAAACTCTTGTCACTGATGTATTGCCTAATTTTATAGTCCTTGGCGGATCAGCTGGTAATTCATATTTTTGGTCTTCCACCATCCAGCTAATAATGATGCCCAGAGGTCCGCCATGACTGACGATTAGAATATGCGAGTGGCCTGCTTGCTGTGACTTGCTAACAATATCGTTGAATGCCTCCAAGACTCGGGTTTCGACCTCTTGATCGCTTTCACCGCCTTGATCTATGATATAATCTGCGGCACTGATACCTCGGGCCTTGGCGCCAGCATTAATGGCTGATACTGGCTTTCCATTCAGACTGCCAAAATCATGCTCTCGAAGTCTCTTATCGAAAATAATGGGAGTTTGTTGATGGAAATTGGTTATGCCATCCGCTGTCTGAGAAACATTAAATAATCTCAGCAACAAGCTTTCACTGCTGGCAATAATGATACCAGAACTTACTTGTTTACACCTAGATAAATCACTACTGTAAATAACATCAAATTGCTCATTTGATAGTCGCTGACCGACAAGTTCAGCTTGCTGCCTGCCAGTCTCGTTCAGCTGGGTATCTAATAATTATGTATGTTAGGAGATTCAGAACGTAGTGAGATGACCATAGCAACACTAACCCATTTGGCCTTGCAGCCATCTATCTCTATTAGCATCAGTATTACCATGACGTACTAAAGTAATCAACATGGCCATTGAGTAACGTCGAAGAACAAGTGGCTACTCCACTTCATTGAACGTCACAGCTTCTCAAATCAAAATTTGCTGAGCTTTAGAGAGCTCAGCTTTGCACCACTTAGCTTTTCTCCGCCACAACTTCATTTGCAACATGGCAAGCCAAAAGTCGCTAACATCTCGGCCATTGGACCTTACGTACTTCATGTACATGGCTAGTCATATTCCTATTACGATGTTTTTTGACTGCCAAGTGCTGTATCCTACATCTTGGATACCACAACCACTTCTCGACCTCACTGCCTGGTACATCCAAGAGTTCAAGGATCCGTTAATATCGAACGCCAACAATTTGCCATGGTTCAAGAGTTTCATATACTGTGAGGCTCTTATCCAACTCCCATTCTTCTTCTGGAGTCTTCATGGGCTCTACTACAGTAAGTATCGCGTAATATGCAATTTCTCAGGGGGAAATTTTTTAACTCTGATATTTTTTGGCAGACAAACCTATCACGCGCGTCGGCCTTCTAGGTGAGCACTCAATTCTACATCCCTATTTCGTATTTGTAGCACTAATCGTTTGTTGTTTTAGCATATGGTGCTCACGTAGCTACTACAGTGATCGCCACTCTCGCTGAAGTTGGCTTTGGCTCCCCCGCCCGCTTAACTATGACCGCTCGTGAACGCTACACTCTAATTGGCTTGTATCTCCCATATTTAATCATTCCAGCCACCATGGTCGTTGATTCCTGGTTCAAGCTGTCACCTCTTGTCAATTCCGTCAACTTCAACAAAAAGACTAACTAAGCAGTCGCATCAGATCGGTTCGCCATTTAATTAGCCAAAAGCTCTTATTTAACAATGTTAAAACCCTCACATTCGGCCGCCTATCTTTAATTATGTTGTGTTGTTGGTATACAGAAGAAACGTGGAACTGAGTGATAAGGGGTATGTATGACCACAGGTGCAATAATGAGAAGGAGGTAGTGTAATAGTATAAAGTACATTTAGAGAGAACAGGACTTTAAATTCCATCAAAAACGTTCTTGTGGGGATCGTTCTTGCTATTGCGCTTACTGTAGGTGGCTGCAGCACTTGCACCACGAACCATCGAAGTGCCACCACTATGCATGTTCTCCCAAGGATTGGGTGATGGGGAACGAGATCGAACCGTTCGTCCCCCAATCAAAGGACTGGAAGGTAACGATCTCGGAGCATCATTGGCAAGAGGTCGGCCCCGCTGAACACTGCCAGCAGCAGGCGAAGTAGATCGTGGAGGAGAACCTTTGTTCAAGATGTCAGTGATTCCTTTGCCAACTCGATTTTTGATGCGCAGAAATGCATTGCTGGAGTCGTCGGACAGTTCACTAGTCACATCTTCTGGTGGACTGGAGTCGTTTTCTGGAATAGGCGATTGTCTTCCCAGTCCGCCAGATAAAAGTGCATCAATATGTCTATCTCGATCTCTCCTCAGAGTTGATGCGGACGACCGCGCATGCTGATTATTGTCGTTATGAGGTGACTGACTTCGGTTATATTTTGCGGTGTATGTCTAGGAAAGATGTTAGTTCTATGCACGGAACATCTTTATTGTACAGTAAAGTGATACCTACTCCTAATGCATTGCGTGCACGATTTAACAATCCACCAGCTCGGTTGTCGCTTGAGGGGTCGACTTCTCTCTCTCGTAACCTCCTCTCTATCATGTGCCAGCTACTGTTAGCGGTTCTGCCAACTCCTATTATGTTAAACATCATGCCTCATACCTTCGTTAATGAGCGCCTTGCCTTCGTCAACCTCTGAATTTAACACAATCCTTCCACCGCGTATGCCACCTTCCTCGTCTTCAGCATGTCTACCATCACCGTCGTCATCTTCATAGAAATCAGTGATACCGCACAGCTTCAAAACTCTTCCTTGGAAGTTGAACAAAATAGCAAATGCTGGTATCAAAATTACGACAGGAAACCAATCTATAAATGTGGTTCCCAAAAATGGTACCAAATCTGCGTGGCCCATAAACTAGTGAGGAAAGGGTATCAGAGTTCAATGACTGACAAAAATGCTCTTGTAATTTTTAAAACCTTCCATACCTTCGAAAACACAGTCTGCTCTTGTTCAGGATTGATGCTGTCACCAGCAATGTTCAGGTAATTGTAACATAGTGGAGCCCTAGATTTGCGTTAGTACGACAGAGGTGGAGCATCCTTCAAAAAATCAAGGAAAACATACATCATCCTACACAAGTATCCAGTGAACCACAGCATACTGTTCTCATCCGTGTGATGATTAGGAACAAGAAGATAGAGGTTGAAGACCTTGAGTCTAAACAGGGAAGTATATGTACAAAGGCACATATATGTAAGTGTCAAGAATGACATAACCTAATTCAAATAGACTTTAGTGACAAGCGCATCCTTCGTTATTCTTCACGACTTCGAAAGGCTACCTCAACTGCAGCATAGTTCAGTCCACACGCACGCAATGCGATGGCGACAATAGACAGAACCGGTTGTCGTACATTGAAGGTCAGTTCAGACCAGATGACGCATACGCTTATCATCGCACACAAGATAGCTAAAGTGCGCGCCAGTATGGGTTTGATTCGAATTGACCACCACCATTCTAATGAGGATAGAGTGTAGTTTCAGTAGCTGAAGTCATAAACGAACATTAACAAGATATTCTTCGTACCCAGACGAATTTTGATGTCCGTCAGAGTAGTTCCTTCGCTCAAAGGACGTACTGTGGAATAAAAGTGGCTAAATAAATGGAAGTTTTAGTTCAACCTTGTTCATCTAAAAGCATATTTCTTCATCAAGCACTTACTGATCCAAGCTATCCTGGTTGGCAATGATGTCCTGCAGATAAAACGCATCTCGTATAAGGTTGTTCCATAACCTGGCATGTGTATTTTCTTTAAAAGGTCATCCTGTATTAACATTGATGGTGGAATTGACTTACGCTAACTTTCTGTCTCGCATACGTGTAGCTTTGATCATACGCTGATTCAAATCTACAAGATAGTCTTCTGTCAACTGTCTTGGTATGGTGGTTGATCGGAACGTGTTTCTCATCTCAACGTCGTGTACTGCTGGAAATCGCTTCAATATCAGGTCAACAGCATGTCGCAGCAGAGGGTCATCCGAGTGCACTTTGTGATCAACTTTACGGATGGTCTACAGGTGTCATGGATATTAACAAGCTGTTTTACCACCACTAACAAGCAACTGCAATCATGGTTACCTTTGCAATATCTGTGTATTCCAGCTCGCTGTCCATGCATTCTTCCTTCACCTTCGGTGCTCGTATATATAAATGCTTCAGTTGCTTCCTGACATTTGCCGCATACCATAGCTTTCTGGGTATAGCAACCAGCCCGTATCCCATAAAGATAATTGCTAGTAAGAGACCCCAACTATTTGCCATAGCCATAACGTAGCCTTGCAGTTTGTCCCTAGAATTTTGACAGACTTATCAGCATCCAGCTGACAAGGTACACATTTTCAATCCGCGAAGTGCTACCTTGTGGTGTACCCGTTTCCTATGATTAGATATACAAGACCAATGATCGCTACAACAGCATATACGAGATAAAACTTGAGGTTGATGCTGATTGCGTACCGAAATTTAGCCGCCACTGTAAATTCTCCGGCATTTACATAGGCTTGTAGGAGAGGTATGATGGCCCTATTATATAATATTGTCAGCGACATATGTCTATGTGATAGGGTTGATATAGAAGTTTGGATCTGACCATGTCAAGCAAAATGAAATCCAGTATATAGTGCGCCAAGCAACATATAGAAACTGTTGAGAAACGAGAGCAAAAGGAACTTTGCATGTTCCTTGACAGTTTTCGTATCGAGTCTGAAGAAAACATTAGAATGAAGAGCGATTCCATATTGCTCATGTTGAGTTAGCTACTCACGGACGCCAGATCTAGCGGTAATAGAAACACTATCCAGAAAGGAGAAAACCAACCAATGAGTGAAACGACTGTGACATACCACGACTGCGATTTCAGCCGCCCATAGTATGACAGGGAGTACACGACTACTGCCGCCAAGCCAATGGTCGTCAAGATGAGAGGCAAGTAGCTCGATGGTGTGTCCATATTGGCAGATGCTACGAGTCCAAGTCAAAGTGTATAAATTTCCAAACGTCACGAAGTTGGTCTGGGAGGAATTTGATTACAGGTGATTTGGAAGGTAACTCACAAATTTATGAACCCATGGCTTATAGCATCTGCCAATATGTACAAAACTTGTACCTATAGAGAACTGCTCTTTACTACTCTACGTCAAAGATTAGAGTATAGATCTAAGCATAGACATCAGTTTATTGTCCACTGGATATTGATATTATGCTTTTAGCTGCGTTAAAAGCAGAGATTTACTTAAATATTTAGACGATGATGAGCCTAAGCTTTTGGAAATTCTAACTGGGGGCAGACCAGGATCAAAGGTATAGTCTGCCTTTCTGAATTCTCTAGTTATAAGCTGATATAAAAGTTGTCATCGATAGTATAGAGAGATAGATCAGAAAAAGACGATTTGGCATCTTGAAACTGAGCACGATAGTACCAACTTTTGTTAATAATTACAGCGAATCAAATTCCATGTGTGAACATCGTGTTTCATCGTTCAGGAATGAGGCATGTGGTATATGAATCAATGCTGTCTCTTTCAATTATTGCCAACGAAGTCGAGCCTATGGCTTTGTGATATCTACTACAAAGACGACTGAGTTCCATAATAAACGTGAGATTTTACAATTTTGCACAATGACAAGTAAGCGTCAGAGAACATCTTATATTGGCATCATGTAAATTATAGTGGAAGGCGAAAAGTGAGTATATTTTAATTGAAATCCGTTTTCTTGTTGCCAATGAATGAGAATTAGACTACTTCATGAGTACTCGCATATCATCCGTCCGTATAAATCAGGCGATCTTAGATGTGAAAAAACCCCAGAAGGTACATATTTAATAACCATAATTTTTCATATCTATTTTGATAATCACTGCTTAGACCTCACATCTTAAACGCGAGCGAAGCATACTTATAGAGCTTGCTGTGATACCACCACTACACTGCATGCTTTATCTGAGCTCCAATTGAGGATATATTTTTCTCATAAAAACGACCAGACACGTCAAAGGCAGAGGGGCGGGCTTCATCAGGTCATCCATACATCTTTCGCCACCATGGATGAATTTTCAGTGCTATTTGCTGTTCGCAACTTGTTTGCATTGGGTAACTACCAAATTGCCATCAACGAATTGAGCACCTCCAGCCGACTTTTGCAATCTCCTGAGGCCCAAGTTGAAGCCAAAGTTTACCTGTACCGTTCATACGTTGGTCAGGGAAAGTACAACATTGTGATTTCCGACATCACTGAGCGAGATCCACCAGAAGTACAGGCCATAAAGCTACTTGCCATTTACCTCCAAGCCAAGCAGAAGGGAGATCCTGCTGCTGCTGAGCAGGCGATTTCATCCAGCACTGCACTTTTGTCTGATGGAGCCAACAATATCAATCCCACCATTCAACTTGCTACCGCCACCATACAAGTCAACGAAGGTTTCCTGGAAGAAGCCCTGAGAATTTTGCACTCCCGTGGAAAGAACTTGGAATGGTAAGGATATTCTGCCAATCGACATAGCATCCGCCTTTGTGACTAAAGCTCTATGTTTCTGTTTTTGATAGTGCTGCACTTGTCATTCAGATATATGTGCAGATGGATAGAATTGATCTGGCCCGAAAAGAGGTTGCCAGTGTCAAATCCTGGGCCGAAGATGCACTGTTGGCTCAGCTCATAGAAGCTTGGGTTGATCTTCGCGTGGTAAGTGATCAAAATCATATGCAAAACTAAAAATGTGCCATAGCATGTCTAAACGTGGCATGTTATCATAGGGAGGTGCCAAATATCAAGATGCTTTCTACATCTTTGAAGAGTTTGCTCAATCAAACACTGCAGCCACTGTTAAGCTTCTCAACAACCTAGCTGTATCAAACCTTGCACTTGGCAGATACCCCGAAGCTGAGAGCCAACTGTTGGAAGCTTTGAACAAGGTAAATTTTTTAAACGCGCACAGTTACTCCTTGATATGTCAGTTTTTATTAACGTCTGTACGCATTCAGGATAATAATGATGCAGATACTTTGGTTAATCTCATTGTATGCTCAAATTTAACCAGCAAGCCTTTGGATGTTATCAGCAGATATGTAAAGTAAGTGAGAGCAAAGATGGAAATGACGAAGACAGACAGCTAGAGTCTAACTTTAAATTATGCTACAGCCAACTAAGAGATGTCGCTCCACAACATGCATTTTTGCAAGACTTAGATTTGAAGAACAGCTTGTTCGATCGCGCTGCTGCTCGATACGCTGTTGCTTAAATACTTATCCCTTAAAACTTCCTCAATAAATACATTTGTAAATCCAAAAAGTACTCCATGTGTTGTCTTTCGTAAATATAGATTATATTGTGCTCATCCTAAAAACTCTGATTTACGTGCTACTACTATTGACAGCAAGAACCGCTATTCTTGGCTGCGGGTGCTGAGTCAAGGTGAACATCTTCCCTTTTCTTTGGTTGCTGTGTTTGCTGAGTATCGATCAAACGCTTCTTGATATCTCTTGCAAGATCGAAGAACGCTTCTTCAACACCGATATTTGACTTTGCACTAGTTTCTTTGAAGTTAATTCCAAGCTCTTGAGCCAAAGCCTGCCCTCTCTCTGTGGGGATAACCTATAGTACAAATAAAAACGTTGAGCGATCGGAATTTGATATTGATGTGTAGCGAGCAAGCGGGTCCCAACTCACCTTTTTATCAGTCATGTCGCATTTGTTACCAATGAGGATTCGGTTAACACCTTCGCTGGCATGCTGCTCAATGTTTGAGAACCAAGTTCTCACATCTAAGATAAAAATAAATATCCATTAGACCAAAATTATTATACCTTCCAGTGATGCATGAACGTTATTGTAGGAAGCGACACCTACTGTCGAATGATTTCTCATCTGTAACATCGTATACAAGCAAGATACCCATAGCTCCGCGGTAGTATGCTGGAAAATAGAATATTAGATGATGGTTTGCGATACTTAATATATAATCTAAGGGTCTGTACATACCAGTAGTGATAGTACGGAAACGCTCTTGACCTGCCGTATCCCAAATTTGAAGTTTAATACGCTTTCCATCCAATTCAATAGTACGAATTTTGAAATCGATTCCTATAGTGGTGATGAATGAAGGCGTGAAAGAGTCATCTGAGAAACGAAGCAGAAGGCAGCTTTTGCCAACACCTACGATAGAATCAACAGCCAATGAGTGATTGATTTGCAACACATCACACTTTGAATCTATTTGAATGCTTACCAGAGTCTCCGATGAGCAATAGCTTGATAAGATAATCGTAAGAGGCGCTCTTGCTGGACATGATGTACAGCAACACTGAACAGCAGCTCGAGGCGCCAGCTTGAACACGGCAATGGGTTCATTTTGTAACTCCGCTCCAACCCCTCTTTTAGGCAAAAGGTATGATATCGTCCCAGGTAAGGCAGTTTGAGCTAAAAATCTTTTTGAAAAAGACAGAAAAGTAAGTGAATATCTATGATTTACTTATATCATAACAAAATCTATGGTTCCAACGCTTATTTGTATCTTAGTTGAAGGTATTAAGCTTGATATACATCTTATTTAATTGTATCATTGAAACATATGACGTGTACGGCGCGCCTTTCCGTCCTATGCAGCTGAAAGCTCGGTGGGCCGTGAAAGTGAAAATAACTGACGCTCGTTCTTTTGACCGGTGGTGTGTGTATAAATTGTCCCTTAACGCAAGACTGTACAGTGTATACTCGAATTATATCCTGTACTGTGTTTTATGCATCAGACAGCACAACACCGAGAGGACCCTGATCCCGACCATGGGGTTATGTCAATGAAAGCAAAGAAGACAGGTTTACCAACTGACGATCACACCATGACTACGACTTCAACTTCTTCGTCAAGCGTCTCTTCACCTAAGGAGTCCATTGATCGGCATAATTCAGAGCTTGGTCAGCAGCTGATGCTTCCGAATGAAATGGCAGGCATGGTACCTTTAAAATTCGTCATTACCAAACTTGTTCATCAAAGCTACGCCGATCTGCACGAGCTTGCCGAAACGTAAGTCATTACTTGTCTTTGAAGACACTGGAACGATTTATGAAGGAAAATGCAGCGTTTGATTGCTAACAGAGTATGCCCGTCTATATCCTGTATAGATTGCCTGCAATGTCTGAAGTAGACAAGAAAAGATCGATATTGTATTATACAACCAACGCCAGAAAGCAATTTGTAAAGTTGTTGGTTTTGCTGAAATGGGCAAGCAACGCGCAAAATATTCAGACCTGCCAGGTATGAGTATTCTCTATTGTTTTGCAATATACTCTCACCGATCATTGACATCAATGTTCAACTTGCGGTATAGAACATTATGGCGTTCCTGTCAAATCAAAACAAAGTTTTCCAAGACACTGTAGATTATTTACACAAAATACACACCGAATTACCGGCTGCAAGAGTTCGTAACTACGATATTCCAACTGCTGTAGATATTTTGACGAGTGGAACCTATTTGCGCATGCCATCCAAAATGAAGGTCAGTTGAGAGAATTGAGGAATTTCTGCTGTGATATAGGGTGTTAATGGTGCGTTCGTGTAGGATATTATTCCCCCCAAACCTTTGACGGACGAGGAAGTGTTGCAGACGTGGAATGAGTTGAATGATGTGATCCGCCTGCGTATGCTCACGTCTGAGGTGCTGCCGTCTCCAATGCAAAATTATCGTATCGGTAAGATATACAGCACTATTAAAAAGACGACAATGTATAGTGACTAACAGTAATATCTCAGCTGATGGTCGCATATTCTTTCGTGTTGAAAATGAATTTGAAGTAGCACTAACTCTTATGGGTCCGAGTCATGACCGACGATGGTGGATAGTATCTTTGGATATTTTGGCAAATTCAAGCACTCAAGGCGGATTCAACGGTAAGTATTCTAGGGTGGGCTTTATGAGGTTCATGGACTTGGTCACTCATTGCCGATACCAGATATCGACATATCATTGAATGATGCGCAAGCTCAGCGTTTGAAAGCTGTCGCACAACATCATCTTGCACCTGCTGCGACTGGCAGTCAAATACAACAATCATCTGGACTCCAAGATGGGACTGTTACAGAGGCCATCGACGCCAACAACCAGTCCAAAAACCTTCAATTTCCTCTTGTTCGCTTATACGACTACTTGCATATGTTCTGCCTGAACCTTCAACTTGAAATTCTCTATCTACAAGCCACGTCATTACAACGTTCCCGATGGGCAGACCAACTCAGTGTAGAGATGAATCCTACTCGCACCACCCTATGGTTGACTTATTGGCATCATGGATTCCAAAGCGCTTCTGTTACAGGCACAACGGTAAGTTAGCTCTACGACATCAGAGTGGGCACATGGGCTGATACACTAACATTTGTTGTATAGCATCAGTGGGGACCCAGAAGCAGTGATAGAGGAAATTGCATCGAGATATCCATTGTGGATGACGAAGGAGTGAATGAAAATTCACAGACTGGCTATTCCAGTACAACCGTTCAACATGAACTGCGTTTGCTGGCGTTATCCGCAGGAATCGGAGCATCGCTAGACCTTAGCAATTTGACGGACGAGGAAGCTTTCAAGGTTGTAAACGCTTTGAAATATCCAAAGGCTCATCTCGCTGTGCAATGGCAAAGATCAGGCAAACTGTTCAGCAACCTTTCCGAATTGGATGATTACAAAATCGTATGTTATGAAATTTGATACTCCTGGAGTACATCTGGAACGTTTTCTGAACCATTCGTTTTTAGGAGGCGTCCAACATCAACGTAGAGCATTTACTTATGCATGTTGTTAAAGCGAACGCACGTATGATCATACGGATGTTCCATGTCGCTCTCTTGTCCCAAAGACGAATTGCTCTTGAGCATGGCGGCAGCAACCTCATTAAAGATGGGAGTGAGACTGATAAGGAACAGAGCGATGATGGTATACACGTTCTAGGACTTGATAATGATGGTATGTTTAATGCTTTCGAGCATAACCTGTGAATTAGTAATGAAAATGCTCACATCATATTCACAATCAACAGATCCCGACGAAGAGACGAAGAATGATTCACACGTTGCTGCATTGCTTGTTCAATATCGACATCAGCGATATGTCAATATAGCTGTGGACATTCGGTCTGGCCAGTTAACGGCCTCGGAAGTAGGAAGTGGTAGCGATGAATCTGATGGTATGTACTTGCTGCGCAAAAGTTTAGATGCAGTTCAACTACTTACTTTCTGTGACAGACAAAATGCGTCGCCTCGAAGAACGATTAAATCAAGATCCTATTAGCGTCGACGATCATATTTCATGGCTCAGTTCAGAAACGGTCATTAGTGAAATTGTGTCGCTAGCCAAGCAACTGAACCTGCAGGCTTTTTCGCCTTCGGCTATGTCACTAAAGCGGGACGATATCATTCGCATTTTCGGTGATGCATGTTTTCCGTCGGTTTCTAAGCTAGAGCAACATGAGATACATCGCAATGCTGTCGCTGCGGAACTGAAAAAGCTGGGTATCATTGAAGGTGATCTACCAGAATTTTCAGCAGTGTTATCCAGCGGCAACGCAGAGTTTGCCCAAGGTGTATATCCACCACAGTGTGTTTTCCTGCAATTTACGCAATACCAAGACTGGTACTTGGTAGTTGCAGTTGTGGATAACAAATTACAATTTTGCTTGTGTCGTTTAAGGTAAGCATCCACACATTGACCCGAGTACAACGCCAGATATTCGAATACTCATCAATCTATCATTATAGCCGAGGCGCAGAGTCTTCATCACTTTTGCATACTCACGTGGACGTCCTGCCTATGGACCACGAATCGCTTTTTGACAGCCAGTCGGATGATGAGGTAGATGGCAAGGCGAGAAAGAATGGAAGTGCAGCCAAGGTAGAACAGAAGTCTAAGCGATTATCGAGTAAGAGGCGCCGGTTGCAAGATGGTACTGGCACTGAAGACAGGTATGTGTCAATGACGTTCTTGAACAGATGTGAACGACTCCCTCATCTTTTCTCGGTTTATAGTCTCCAAATTGATCTACGCTTGCTTGCAAAATTGGATTCCCTGTGCCGGTATGCATATGAAAACTGTTCGGTCAATATTATTGCTTTGCTAAACAATGCTAACCTTTCGTTATCAGTGCATATATAACCAACAAACAATTAGAAATGCAGCTCGCCAAGCACAAGGAAATTCTATCGCATCGATCATTACCGTTCAACAAGACCGCACTTTCCAAACTCGACCCAACACTATACCCACCGGTTGTGGACAAGATCGATGTTATCTGCATACCTCAACAAGACTTGCTTCGAGCATGTGTGTTTCAGCGTATGCGTGAGGAGGTTGTGGTCATGGGAGTTGGAGCACGGATGAATCAACACAAACACCTTCGACAAGATGACACAGAATGGTTACAACGCGTGTTGCCATCTTTGAAAGGTCAAGTCATATTACGATCGTCGGGATGGCTGGCTTGTGGCAAGAGCGATTGCTATGTGATTGCGGAATTGAAGTTGAACTGGGACAAAATCCCTCAACTGGAAATTTGCCCTGATATGAGTAAGTGGCATGTCTGGCGATCATTGCATGTTTTGAATATCCACTAAACAAAAATTTCTTCTTAGAACATGTTGCTCTAGACAAATCAAGCAAGACATTGTCTTTTACGTATACTGACGTTGATATATGCTTTGACAAGTTTCTTATGGATTGGGAGCGCACCTTCATGATGACTTATCTCACTCGATTCGGTAATATTGCACTGCAGCTTTTCTCTTACACTTTCGTGATCTCATTTCACCACCATCTGACACTGTTTCCCCAACTTTTAGCTTCATCATCATGGCTGAAACAATTTCAAGAAGACTTGATGTTTCAATCTTTTGATCTCAAAACCCTAAAGTACACTTATTGCAAGAATTACACCCTTTCTGTCACTTGGGATGCTCCTGCTCCTGGGCAAGCACCAAAGTACCTGCTAACTCTGGGCTCAATAGCTGACTCAGAAATAGACAAAGAAGCGCCTCCTCAATTACAAGAATCACTCAACCGCAAACAAAAGAATCCACACTGGCGAATAACGAAGCTACTAGAGAACTCACTTAATGAACACAAAGACTGGATCATGTTTGTTCAGGTATATTGCATTCACTTCTCGTATCAATTTTGTATATTCCGTATGCTCATTCTACTTCCCAACCAAAGACTTTATACCAAACATTACCACTCATGGTATGCTTAGACGAACTTCAAGAGCGGTCTGCCAGAGAGGGTAGAATTGGACATCTGGCTATTGTTCCCCGAGAGCTCAATGCGACTCGCTTAATATATTCATCCTTGTAAGTATAAAATTTGAAATACGTAACCCTGGCCTTGACATCTTTGCTAAAACGTATTTCCTGCAGGCATGCACTTGACATCAAGTTTATTAGCCCAGACATAGTCTGCATTTCGGATGTATATTACCACAGTCAGCTATTCACACGACGAGCTCAACTGGATAGATCCAACAAATTCACTCCTCCCAAACCATTTATGGTGATCAAGTCAGAACAGCCTCCCACCGATGGTAGCAAAGTTCAAGTTTCGCAACAAATGAACTTCCAGCCCTTCGATAAATTTAATGGACTAATAGAAACTGTCAATGATTGGTTATTCCAGGCGAAAGAGGAAGATTCAATGAAGGACGATGAAGCTGTATCACCGTGGCAAAAAGTCAATGCCGAATGGACGTCTACTGAACCAAGCGTAACGCCGTTTGAGCATGGACTTATTTGCACTATGGATCTAGCTTTGAGAGTGTTAAACAAAGTGGATGAAATCGCTGGCAAAAACCCTGTAAATCAAACAATTTAAGCACAATAAAGTTCACGTCATTCTCTCTACGTCTTTTTTGAGGTATTTCCATGCAGTTGTTGCGAGCGCGTTGACCAAAAAAATCCCCCAAATACTGCTTACAGCTCAAAAGCAGTCACCACCGAAATTATATATGAGGGTGTTTGTGAATCTATTGCTTTCCTACAAGTGCATTATATGAACGACAATTCGCGTGCTACAAAGCGTGCTGTTGACAGTAAGGCCCTGACTGGCCGCGATAAGAAGAGAGGTAAATTTAAGTCGAGTCATAGAATCCACATTCCAGAAACCAAGATCTTGAATTGAACGTTCCAATTGTGATTCAGCTAAAAACCTTGCGGCTCGCAAAATAAATACGGGAGGCTCGGCTAATGCTGAAGGTGAGCATTCCATATGACATAAGAAATGACCGTTTACGATTTATTGATGTTCTGTATCTGTAGTCGGTGTGAAAGGGCCGAAAGTTTCGGGGCCAATTGATGTTGTTGACTTCATCCAAGCCCGAGCGTTTGAAATCAATGCAATGGAGGCGTCTATTAAAAACGCAAGGTATGTCTGATACTTTTCTACATAACGGAATACGTTTTTCAGACGATCTTCTCTATCGTCGAATGACTAATTTACCCAATTTGTCCAACAGCGGTGCTTTGAATCAACTGGCATTTCAATCTTTGCCCCGTGGACTGCGAAGACGAGCAGCGAGTCATAATATAAAGCGGATCCCAGTGAAACTTCGAGAAAAAGCCAAGTCTGAGGTAATTGGCTCAAAACAGAGAGGCATGATAGATTTGGATGTTTACACTGACACAATGGTATAGATGTTGAAAGGGTCTCCACCAAAAAGAACAGGACCACCAAGCCGAAGGAAGAAGAGAAGAGCCGCCACTATCGTTGAAGAATACCTACGCCGGCAAGGTAAAGATGCTTGTTACAGTGGTTGAATTTGAGCCAATTGCAAACTTAACAAGCTTTTTACCTTAGGCAATAAGAGATGGTTAGAGACGCACACATGGCATGCAAAGCGCATGCACATGAAAGACATGTGGGGGTACCGTCTTGTGAGTCCACAATTTATTCTGGTTGTTAATGGATTGAATGTTTGAACTTAATGATATTCTGTTTGCAGGCTGAGTTTCCAAACGAGAAATCTATTCGCGCTACGTATAGAGCTTCATCTCACCTTTCTATTTTACACGATGCATCATATATGGCATGTCTGGAATTGAAAGGTGTGGCTGAAGAGATTTCAAGGCTTCTCGCACCTACTACCGATCTGTCTTTACCCTCGGTGGCAAGTCAAAGGTATTGAAAAGACGTAGTACGTACCGTAATATTGGGTATATGCTTATAATCAAACATTAGGTACAACAAGGGACATCGACTCGGTCATACCACATTATATCACTATATGACATATCCACAAAATGCGATTTGTCCTATTACATTTCTCTGGCAGCAAAATCCTTCAACCACATTGAGTAAACTTTGGTTATGGATCCACCCCGCAGCGTTTGAAGAAGCATGGACATGTTTGAAGGATGCTCAGGAGAAGACTCAAAGTAAGTACAATGATCGTTATACACGTTGTAAGAAACGCACAGCTGACAGAATGTGTTCTGTCCAATTAGTGGATAATCCAGTGGTTATTACGGATTTGAGAGACGAAATTTTGATGTTTCAGCTGACAGGCCCTAGGTCGACAGCTCTACTTCATGCGGTACTGGATACCGCACAAGTGGACACCGCTGCAGCAAATGGTATGCAAAGATCTAATACAACCAACGCAAACAAGGTGTGGAGTTCGTTTAAATACCTTAGATCATCAGCATCATTACCAGCAGGTGCGGTGCTTGGCATAACTGTGCAAGATCCACGACTAAAGTAAGTCAATAATCTTCTTGGGAGATCTTTATTCAATAGCATCTTATTTGGATATTTTTGTACTTATATTCCTTAATGTCACATCCAAACGTTACAGGTTTCCACAAAAGCTACCTCGTCGTACAAACCAGGTGCCTTCCATCGATGAGAAGGAATTGCAACACAACATCGCAAGCTGGCCCAGCGATGTAGCCTTCAGCGATCTTTGGAACGAAGAGATTCGAGAAGAGCTGCGAAAGAACAAGATACCTGAATCAGAACTTAACGTTCGCCGTAGCAAGGTACTAGCAGATAACATTTCATACTCTCTCCGTTACCATGCATGTCACTGATGAGCTCTTAAAGAATCTTCTCCCTGGCACCAAACTTTTACTCACAGACGACGATGCCAGAATTCCAATCATTTTAGCTCAAAGAGGAGTCGCCACTCATACCAACACGACGCCGTCATCTCCAGAATACCAGTCTGGCTGGAACATCATTCTCCCTAAAGGATGGGGAGTGAGTTTCTGGAAATCCCTTGTATTCGCAGGTTGTCGGACGTCTGGTTTGCGCGAACAACATGCTATGCATTTCGAGAGTGGCATAGCTTGCTATCCACAGGATTGTCCTGATACGAAGGCTTACGCATTATGGAAAGCAGAGGAGAAATTAGCTGCAGAAAAGTCCTGGAAGCGAAAACCACCGGCTAAGCGACTTAACTTTGCTAAACTGGGGATTGCAGACCCATTCAATGCTGACTTTTCAGGACTTGTTTCTTCTCATGGTAACAATGATGTTGACATGGATGCGGGTGATACTCCTAACTTATGGATAGTTCGAAGCAACCAAGTTATAAATGCTTTGGCAATGTCAGACTCTTCTGAACTGGAATCATACCACGCGAAAGTGATATCTATTATGGATAAGTTGTATAATCAACGACAGTTAGACTTGGCTAAGAAGCAGCCATTGGATCTTTCAAAAGCGCTCGTATGCATCCGAATCGTACTTCTTGACCGTGGAACACCTAGTATCAATGGTCGCATATATCTAGTCCCCAGTTCTGAGCAATATTCCAAATACGTAAGGAAGTTAACATCCGTCGATAGCAAACGAATGAAGGACGACGCCAGCGATTCTGATTCAGATGAGGCTCTTGTAAAGGTATGTTCCGTCATTATCAATTTTCAGGTTTTGAAAATGGCATCTTCTGACGTTCGGTTTATACGTTACAGGAAAGCAATCTTGACATGTCTTGTTTGATCGGTTATGTCACTACAGGACAATACTCATATTGCTTGGGCAAAGGAATGGCAATAGGAAACATCACGCTAGATGGGTTAGTCAAGCTGCACACTATAGACAAAAGGTAGGAATTTATACGTTATCGACTCTTATCCTGCGAATATTGACGTTTGCTTTTTATTTCTCTTATAGCCAAGATCGAAAAGTCAAATTGCTTGTTCTCGTCAAAGGAGTACAATCTCGCATTTGCAGACCCGGTATTATAGAAGTTTTATACTAGAATCATTTCAATAATCTGATATCGGCCTCCCATCAATTGTAATACATGTCTACATTTCCTAATCCAAGCATGTTTCCATAATCACGCACCACTAAACAAATACACTGCACTACTACTATGATGGAATGTCAAAAGTTCATTTGTTGTAATTACTTTGGTTTATGTATAAACTACCTAAGCAGTTGGTTGGTTAATCGTTCTCTTGCTGTCTGATACGCTTGGATGAACGACTGCTCGCTCAGCGGGATGTCAGCAACGTCCAAACGTGGCTTGGATACACGACCAACGATAGCATTGGAATCCGTTTCCAAAATGATACTATAATTAGGGAGATATAGCGTTAACACGGGCACAATTCAATTTACGAGCCTTCAACAAACGCTTACCCATCATCCACAGTCTCGTCCAGGCACAGCACAACCAAATCCAAGTTGTCGAGGATAGATCGCTTCTCAAGTTGGTGTCTGTAACAGTTTAAGACTTAATATCAAGGTTGCTAAGAAAAAGGCGTTCACGGAAACTGTACCTCAATAAAGTGGACACCGCGTCGTAGAAGGCATTCAACATGCTGGATATCATCAACTCGTTCTCGTCGGCGGATGCAACAACATAGAAGAATATATCAATGTTGGATCGGTATAAAACAATTTGGTTGTCATACATGATGATCTCTCCTGATAAGAAGTAAGACGATGGTTAGTATCGGAAAAGGTGAAACAAAAGCGCACGAGGTCATGGTGGAGTGGCGAAGGGATTTCAAAGCAAACGTGTACAATGATGTCGCGCAAAAAGGTTCTCATCGGCACAAATGGATGTAGTGACCAAACAACACTTTTCGTACTCTCCATCTGGCAAATCGACGAGGCCATTGTGTCGGAAGCAGCACAGATGACGTGGTGAAAGCAGATCTTTACCTTGTGCCCGCTTGGTCTTGTCAAAGAGGCCCTTCTCAAAAGCCTTCTGATCTTTAGTTGAGGCAAAATCTTTACCATAGTACTTGGAAAGTACCCGGTTGCCTTCTGCATCCAACAGTATAACGGCCTTAATGGCGTATAAGGATAGATTGACCATGGTGTTAAAGGTAGTCCAGCTGGCTATTCAAGTTCCGCTCCAGTAAGTGTTAAACACCTTGTCGAGCACCAGTCTGGGGAGTTACCTGCCTGCATTACGCTAAGCCACCATCACTTCGCGCTGAATTCCTTCCAAACAACCAACGTTCTCTTTATCTGAAGAATGATCTCATATAAGCACATCCCATGCAACTATTTATTTTCAGTATCTACGTATTTATTGAAAACATGAAAAAGTTAAACAAGTTTTTTGGCAACGAAGAAACCCTTGTAGTGGCGCATCTGCCAAACACAAACAGCTCCTAAAATTACAATTTGGAGGATGGTCCACCAGACGACGCGAGAGTTGGTCAATTCAGATTGATCACGGAATTCAGCTTCCCGTTCCTGTTTTTAAATGAAGAGATGAGCATGAAGAAATGGCATAAATTTGGTTATTCAGTATTTAAGTATTGTATTGGTCTTACCCGTTGATAGCTTTGTTCGCGACGGATATCCTGAACACGTTGGTTCAATTCACGAACTCTCAAAGCCAAGTCTGTCGTGCAGAACAAAATGATCAATACGTATCCCAACCATGATATTTCCATATAGGATGAAGTTGCTTACCACTCAAAGTCTCCTTGTGATCCTGGACATTGTCAGTAGGATCGCCGATATCCATGTCGAGATGAAGTCTCTACAATCACGTAAAGAACCCGAGCTACATTAATGCTTTGGCTACACATTGGCATTATAGTGCAGAGAAACTTACAGTGCGAACAGACGAAAACCATGCATTGCTGACAGCACTCAAACAGATCGAATGGTCGCCAGAGTCAGAAGAACTGAAGGTGAAGCGGCCAGAAGCAGCACCTTTTTGGTGAACAAGAAGAGCGTTTTGGGGCAATTCCTAAAATGCACAAGCGAGGGTCAGAATTATGCCACGTCAATAGCCTGTAGACCGATCATAAATCGTACCTCAACGATAATCTGAATTTGTGTCTCTGGGTTGATAATCCACTTTCCTTGCACATCGGAATACTCCTCAGCTTTATATTCACCTGTAGACAGAGGAAGCTTGAATAAATAGGTGTCTACCAGGTTCATCTGATTATTTCCAATTACGTACCTAAAACGGTGGTGTCCTTTGGTAACTCTTCAATGAAGCATTTTTGCTCACTGCCTTCAAGGTAGAAGTAAAGTGCTTGAGATGATGAAGGGAACAGAGCACAGATCAGTGCCAATGTTGTTGCTAGTGTTATAACTGCCTTTGACACGCGTCCTAGCATGATTTGCCGGTGATTGAAAATGCTGAGAGAGGAGTGTGAGTTTAGCTGCAGGGCAAAGACCTGGGTTTTTGATGAATTGCTCCAGCGGCATTTAAATTACAACTTTTGAAAAGGTTCATCCATTGCCATACATTCGCCATGAGCCCTGAAACGTCTAATGACCTAGCGATCAAAAAGCACATTGCATACTTTCTGTACAATCTGCGCATGATGCCCGCGCCTTACACGGAAACAGAAACCAACAGGTGGGAGAACTGTGCCTTTATGCAAATGTAGCTAGGTGGCCGACACTGACAGGCAAAACCCTATGTAGAATGACTCTGGCGTTTTTCTGTTTGGGGTCGTTGTCCTTACTCGGCCAGCTCGACAGTGCTGTCTCTGAGAAAGATAGAAAGGAATGGATTGACTGGATATATGCACAACAAGTTCTACCAGATCCTGAAGACCTGGACAAAAGTAGATATACATGTGGTTTTAAAGGATCTTCGTGGGCTGGTCATTCCTATGATCCTCAAGCGGTACGAAAAGCTGTCAGGGCAATGAACACAAATTTATGCTTTCCTTTTTCCCCGTCCCATTTACTCATTTTGCGCGCATGCTATACATAGACAAGTACGAAATATGATCCGAACGACACCGCCAGCATTCCAAATACCTACACTGCACTGGCCAATTTACTTCTCCTCGGCGATGATCTCTCTAGAGTAAATACAAAGGCTATCGCCACAATGTTAAAGCATCTACAGCAAGAAGATGGAAGGTTGGTTACATAGCTGGAGTAATGTCTAGATTCTGAAATGATGCTCCCGCTGACAGACATGGCAATGTCTCGATTACAGTTATGCTCCAACTTATGGAAGCTCGGAAACAGACATTCGATTTGTTTTTTGTGCTTGTGTGATCAGCCATATACTTGACGACTGGTCTGGTGTAGATATAGACCGAGCTACAGCTTTCATTAGAAATTCTCAGGTACAGTGATAACAGCTTGACGACCGATGTTGCAAATTTCTGACGGCTTGGTTCTAGTCATATGAAAACGCAATGGGACAATCTCCAGAAGGAGAAGCTCATGGTAAGTGAAAGAACCCTTAAAAATTTCTTTGCTGTGGCTTTATAACTTATTTCGTAAGGAATTTAGGAGGCTCCACGTTCTGCGGAGTGGCAGCGTTGACATTGATGGGAAAGTTGAAGGAAGGACTAGTCGACAGAGATGAATTAATCAAATGGTGCTTGGCACGTCAAATAAGTGGGTTCCAAGGTCGGCCAAATAAGAAGGAAGACACATGCTATTGTTTTTGGATTGGAGGTGCTTTACAGGTATGGCTGGCATTCTGGTATCCATTTGAGTCTTGCGTTACAGTGGAACTTACATCGACTGGTTGATTGCCAATAGAATCTCGGAGCATTTCACCTAGTCAATGATGCCAATCTACGCAGCTTCCTAATGTCCACGCAAACCATAAGAGGAGGATTTGGTAAAGATTCGGAATCGCCACCCGGTAAGTTGGATCAAAGAGATTACAAATCTCCACCGCGGATCATTTTCTCACACTATACAAATGACATAGACGTGCTACACTCGTACATGGGCCTCGCTACGCTATCTTTGATGAAGGAACCCGGTCTGACGGAGCTGGATACGGCACTCAATATACCAATAGCTGGAGTCAACCATCTTCGTAAACTCCGTGGCCATCAATGAAGCGCAAACATCAGACAATTATTCCTTCAATAAAAAAATAGAAATATTTACCAGATATCATTTTATTCTTCAATATGATACTCATGAGAAATCTAGGCCATCATATATAGAACGCAGAATTTATGAGAGTATGGTACGTTTGCTCCAAACGGTCAATTACTGTAGATATCTGGCTGCTGTCCTCGTGGCTACATCTTGCTGCAGTCATATAATTTCGAAAAATCCGACGTCTCACAACTGTGCTACCGAGAAGTACATGAAAAACTATAATTCTCTTGCTACAATTCCCCACATTAACAAAGTATCTTTGTACCCTGCGCTAACCACGGTTAGCTAATGCTTGCTATGTAATTTCCGCGGTTGCTCAAACCACTTAAAGAGCTACCATCATCAGCGTGTTACTCCTTTCATGCAGCTTTCACATCATTTCTTGGGAATTGTAGCCTTTCAACTGGCAGCTGCCATTGTTCCTACAAAAGCTACTACCGTTACCGGTGCTCAAAGTCCGCCACCGTCAACATCAGGCAATCTACTATGGTACAATGATGTTTCTGGAGATGAATGGGTTAGTCAAGGCCTACCCATAGGCAACGGATATCAGGCTGCAATGGTAAGATGATAAGATAAATGATTATCTAGAAAATTTTCAAAACTGACTCTGTGTTGCCATCAGGTTTTTAGTGGTGTAGACAGCGATCGTATCCAGCTGAATCAGGACAGTCTATGGACAGGTGGCCCCTTCCAAAACAAAAGTTATACTGGAAATAACGCCGACCCTTCTCAGAAGGCAATGAAAGCGGCGGGTATTGCAAGCTTAAGAAAAAAGATCTGGAGCAAGGGTCAAGTACCTGTAGAGGATGCAACAACGTTGTATGGATCTTTTGGTACGTGTGACAAAAGCAATCAGTGATAAACCAGAAAGTCACCCCCACATGTCAATTTGTTGACCGCGAAACATCATTAACACCCAATGCTCTCTTAATCAGACAACTACGGAAGCTATAGGTACCTTACAAATCTTTACATAAATGCTACCAACAGTAGTCATGAGTAAGTTCAAACAAAGCAAATCGACTGTTTCCTCTGAGTATCGCATTGAGACATCTTCATCATTTTTTTTTACGATCATAGAGTCTCTAGCTATAGACGGTGGCTAGATCTGGATACGGCTCTGGCTGGTTCTTCTTATGGGATGCCGGATGGCTCTACAGTAAACAAAACATCATTCTGCTCTTACCCTGATCAAGTCTGTGTGTTTAATACCATGACCACGGGATCACTAAACCGCGTGTATACGGTTGGCTTTAGCAACGATGACTCTGGACCCCCACCAAACATGACATGCAATGGCAGCAATGGCATGATTTTGCGTGGCAAAGCAGATGATACCGCCACTTCTATGATTTTCGAAGGCCAATTGGTTGTTGCCACGCAAGAGGGGAAGGTATCTTGTAAAAACGGAGTCATCACAGTTCAAGGGTCCAAGCAATTCACAGCAGTTGTGAGTTCTGGCACGAATTTCAAACAAGACAACGGAAACGCTGCGGCAAAGTTCAGTTTCAAAGGCCCAGACCCCCATGGTCAGGTTACCAAAATTATCAAGAAAGCTGCAGCTAAAACCTTTGATAGCCTACTGTCAACTCATGTCACTGATTATAAACGACTTTATAATAACTTCAAGTTAAGTTGGAATGCACAGATAGTGGAACGTCCCACTAATTTGCAGGTGGCAAAGTACAGAGTGGATGCAAACAATCCGTACTTGGAATGGTTGGTAAGTTATATATGTTAATGATTTACCTGTATTGCAGAACTCGTCCTACGTCGGATGTACTAATCGGTAATTTCTTAGGCTTTCAACTATGGACGATACCTCCTAATTGCATCTTCACGGCCAGGTTCTCTTCCAGCCAATCTGCAAGGTAAGATGTCCGGATGGACGTTCATCATATAGGCATTTAAGCTGATGGCATTGTAAGGTAAATGGGCCGATGGTTTGAGCCCTCCCTGGAGCGCCGATTATCACTTGGATATCAATCTACAGATGAAGTAAATATTGCACTTTGCTAAGCTTCTCCAATTGAGTATAATACTAACCACTTTTTTTTTTACCGAACAAATAGCTACTGGTAAGGCTCTTTAAAAGATGGAAAGTTTGATACTCCCTATGCTCAACTTTCGGAGTAACATCTTGTAAAATAAACAGGGCAGCACAAACAACCGGGTTATCAGAAACGGCTTTGCCGATGGTTGAGTATCTAGCCAAGAATTATATCCCTCGTGGAAAGCAAACAGGTAAGTTGAATGGATAGGTTCGCAGTGATTCTAAATATCTAATTGCCCTTTGCAGCGGATATACATTATAGTGCGAGAGGATTCATTGCCCACGAAGAAAACAATATATTTGGCTCCACTGGTCCAAGAAGTGGTGGCGAATATGCTATTTTCCCATTAGGGTCTACATGGATGGTACGCATACTGTGAAGATAATATGTAAAACTTAGATTTCTTAGTACTAATTGTAACCTTTTCCCAACGGGTAGTCAATGCAAGCATGGTAAGAGTGATTTAGAGACTTCCGTTGATCTATTGTAGCTTCAGCCTCTCAGCCATATCTATTCTACTTTGCTGCGGTTTAGGGATCACTTTGGTACGTAAGGTTTGGTATAGTGGGACAACTAGCAGAGTTCTCTTATGTCTAAAATTGTGGTTCAGATTATACACAGGACACAAAATGGCTTCAGTCTCAGGGATGGGATATTCTCAAAGAATCGAGGTAATGGCCATCTCTAATAGCGGATAAACTCGATTTATTGTATGCTAACGAAAGTAATAACAGCTTGTTTTGGATTGATTACCTCACTTTGGACAAACATACAAACGACGGATTGCTAGTTGCGGCACCTTGTGGTAGTAGTGAGCATGGAAATGTAAGCCGACTAAGTTTTTGAAATCGACACTGCTTTTTTAATGCCTAAACAAGTAAATTTGCGGTAGGTGACATTTGGATGCACAGAGTTTCAAAATGTCATTTGGGAAACATTCCAAAACACCCGCAAAGCTTTTCAGTTTGCAAAAGACTCCAATGCATCTTTTCTCACCGAGCTGGAATCCACTATCAACAAAACAGACAAAGGCCTTTACGTTGGTAGTTGGGGTCAACTGCAAGAGTGGAAACTTGATTTAGACTTGCCAGACGATCAACACCGTCACCTCTCCAATCTTATCTCCCTATTTCCAGGATACCTGGTCAGCTCCATCGAGCCAAAATTCAAGTCTGCTGCTGAAGTATCCCTCATTCATCGTGGACCTGGCATTGAGGATTCGGATGCTGGGTAAGAACCTTATTAAGCCTGAAACAGGGATATAAAGGTAACAAAGTGAATTCTAATCGTTCTGAGCAGATGGGAAAAAGTTTGGCGGTCTGGATGCTGGGCTGCATTAGGTAATGCAACACAGGCAAAGTATGAGCTGCAACTAACAATTCAGCGAGATTTTACGGTAGGGGTTAAGCCAAAAGCAATGTGGAAGCCAAATTGATTTTTCTACGGACAGTACTAATTTGTAAATTAGGAAAACCTTTTTGATAATTACACATCAACCATTTTTCAAATCGACGCCAACCTTGGATACCCAGCAGCGGTCATGGTATGAGGATTAATGGCTGAACCCCTCTGATAATGCATACTAATGCCCTTACATTTTTTAGCAAATGTTATTTCAAGACCCCGATACAGTAGTGGGTGGCAGAGAGTCTGCATTATTCAAGCTTTTGCCTGCATGGCCATCGGCTTGGTCTACTCAAGGCGGTGGCGTTTCTGGGCTGCGCGGTCGTGGTGGATACCGGCTGAGTTTTGAATGGAACGACAAAAATGCTATCAAGAGCCTGCATATTGAAGCGGACAAGGCACCGGCAGATCGCCAAATAGAGATCGTTGTTGACAGTTGGATAGGTGGTCGGCCTAAGATTGTTTCATCTGATGGGGAAAAACTGGCCTTGTCCATCTCTGGCAGTACTGTTAGCTTCATAGCCAGATCACAGAAAAGCTATACCATTGAATGAACAGGCCGATGGAAATGTGAGAGTTGTAGCAATTTCACTGTCTTCTACAATGACAGACCTATCGTCGATAAATATCTCAGCTTTCATGACTTTTTTAATTTTTTTTAATTTTTTATTGTTACTGCGGCGCTACATCCTACCAATTCTTACCAATTCTACGTTGGGTGGTATAAATCAACCCGCTATCGATAAGAATACGCCAAGAGAATTTTCCCTCCATGTTGCGTGTTCTACAGGTCATGGGACTCTCGTCTCCTTTATTTCTTTTTTTTTTTTTTATTTATAAAAAAAAAATAAGAATTGGGAACTGTGGACAGTCCTCCCGGCATCCAAACTGTTTGAAATCGAAAACAAAGTCGTCAACAACTCTTGCTAAAGGATGTAACTTTAATTCTCTTCCACATTCGGCATTAATTCTAAATTAAAGGATGTATCACGTCTGTCGATGTGCTTACATTAGGAAGCTGGTAACTCATGATGGTTATTGGAGACTGGGATAAGGGTAGCCCGAGTGTCCGTGAATTTTCCTCGGCGATCCTTACTCAAAAAATACACAAACCAATGACTCACCCCCCATTTTACTACTGAAAGAAAAAACGTTCGCTGTTTTATTTGTTTGGCTATGGACCCATGTCTCCCCTGCGTTCATAAGAAGCATGCGGACTAGAAAACGTTTTCTCTGCGTTTTCTCTAGTCGGGGATTGGATGACTTAAAAAGTATATAAGAACACTGAACAAGAATTACCCTTCATCAAATTCACTGATAACCAGTTATGATGCTTTCCAACAATACACATATAAATTACAATACCTCATCAACCACATCTCCTTCGAAGGGCCTAAACATGAAGCATGCTATAGTATTACGTTGTCCCGGTTGTAAATACTTTCAAGTAGATTGCCGCTGCCCAAGACCAGCTACAAGAGGTAGTAGAAAAAGATAGTATAATCTTATCATTGTTGTAGCGCTAGAAGGTTGATCTTTTCTGGAAAGCTGATGTCAAATTGTTCATATTGTATAAATCAGTAATTACTACTGAATTGTTTTGTTTTGTAAACTGAAGGTAATAAATTATCCATTAACCGGTTTGATCCGTGCATAACTCAGTCACCTCTTTGTTTTCTGGCTTATGAGCACTGTTTCATCTTTGAACTACAAGCTTGGTAGCCTTGAGGCTAACCTTCTTTTCTTTGTTATTTTGCAGCTCTTTAATGGATTTCTGTAACTTACCAGACAACTTGGTACTTTACTTTATGTCCTTTATTAACCGCATCATCATGGTTCATTACTGACCAGGATGATTGCAATTGATACGGTAGGCAAGCTTTCTTTCGAAACCCCAATACCAAACTGATCTACGAAAACATTTGGGACATGGAATAGCGCCTTGCAGGTAGAGTACTCTTCATTTAAACTTCGCTCGTGTATTCGCACAAGCTTTTTTATATAGATCAAAAGATCCGATAGCCTTTATTCATTTTGAATTCCATACTAATTGGTAACTTCGATATTGAAATCATTTAGAGTTATATCTAATGACTATAGTCAGCATACATTTTCATGCGATTCCACCAGGCCACTAAATTCTGATCTTGATTTATCATGCGGTTGTAAAAAGTCTCTGGATCAAACTTTTCGAGCATGATGATATAACTTGCTAGACATATATCAGCCCAACCAGGCTCATCTCCTGTTAAATAGTCATATTTGGCCAATGATTTGGCTATGAGTGCCAGCTGCTTGTTCAAAGCTTGGAGATGTTCTTCACTGTCACCGGCATAATCCTCCAAACTTTGCTTGAAAACACTTTCTCTGCTTTTGCGGTAATATACCTGAGCTTCTTCATCCAACTCATGGAACAACTTCAGTATTGTCATACGAAATGGTAGAAATACGATATTTTGCATGGACCAGTCATCAAAAAAAAAGTGAATTCCAGCTCCCCCATGGAAAATGGATGGTGACGGATACTTTTGTTCCAGATACAGCGCTATCTTCTTAGAGTCTTGAATGCTCTCGCCATCGACATCCGTGATACATGGAACGCACCGAAGTCCTTGAGGTACAAGTTCACCAATTACTTGGGGTATATCCAGGAAATGAAGGTATTTTGTCGTGTAGTCCAATCCCTATTATGAAAGTTAGCAAACTTGGCTTGGATCAATTTAGCTTTCGAGATATATGCTTACCTTAATGTTCATTAGGAACCTGATTTTCCATGTGTTTGGCGACCATGGGTTAGCCTCGCTCGAATCCCGTGTGCGTTTCAAATCATAGAGTACGATGCTCATAATTACGATGCTGAAAAAATTGGATCCGCCATCCCAATTTATACTTTTTATCGGTGCTTACGCAGCACTTGCCTTCACCGTTGATCTGCGTCACATTTCTGTGTTACACTCAGGTTGTCTGCGAACAAATTATTAATTGCAGAACCCGGAATATGACTCAGGCAAGTGAACGAAGATGTTTCTATATCAAAGTTGCAATTTAATGGAGTATGGTATAATAAAGCCCTCAAGGAACAAAGAAGACACCTGCTGAAAGCACTATGGATGATACACTTTTGGAACGAAAGCTTCTGAGTTTAACGTTTTGCAGCATACGCCTCTAAAACAGAGACTTGATGCCAATCAAGTGTCTGTTTTGGTATCGTTCGAAATAAGCAACTTTCGGCATAGAATCGACATATCCATTCTTTATTACAGCCTTGTGATGATTGCGGATCCTTATTTTCTGAATGTATATATAGTGTGCGTAATACGAGACGAACACTAGTCGTTCGATAGTGTAGATGCGATTGGAGCTATATTTCATCAGTTGTCCTCGTTAGCGTACTCCTCCATACGTTCCCACCATGCTTTGAGATGGATGTGTCTGCCTAGCACTTCCTCTGCAAGCATATCAGGATGCGTCTTCTTGAGACAGACAAGCTGACTTGCAAGTACAATGTCAGACCAACCAACCTGATCTCCAGTCAAAAAGCTATATTTGGAAAGAATCTTTGCTACCGGCTCGAGTGCTTTGTTCAAGGCTAAAATATGCTCTTTGGGATTTCCCGCAAAGTTTTCCAAAGAGGTGGCAAACATGAACTCTCGACCTTTTCGGAGGTGCAATTGGGCTTCCTCATCTAAACTGCTATACATCGCCGGAAGCGATGCAAGGAAAGGTTTGGGGCCAATATTCTCGGCAGACCAATCCTCAAAGAAGAAATGGATGCCTTGACCCCCTTGAAAAATCGATGGAGTAGGGTATTTTTCTTCCAAATACAACGCTATAACTCGTGAGTCTTGAATGGTTATGCCGTCAACATCCGTGATACATGGCACCGTGGCTTTAGGTGTATCTGGAACAAGCTTTCCAATAGTTTCAGGTATTTCAAGAAAGTGAAGATATTCTGTTGAGTAGTCCAATCCCTTAAGCGCACAGACGTGAGTGGTCTATATTGATCGAGCTATACCTTGTATTCTTCGCCCTTTTTTCGTATTTACCTTGATATTCAATAGATAACGCGTCTTCCAAGTATTAGGTGACCATGGATTCCTATCATTGAGACTTCTTGTTTTCTTCAAATCGTATAGTTTTATGGACATGATTTTTAGTGAAGACGAAAGTAGTTTTCGGTCCGTGTAAACCATGTACGCTGCGACTTTTATAGTGGTGACGTTCTGAACTCAGTTTTAAGATGCCGACACGGCTTTTCTTGAAAGCCATTTCCATATTAAAGGTTGACAGTACAATTCATAACGTTGTTCTAGTTGGACAGAGCAGTTCTATTTAGCTCGAGTTTGCGGTTTTTCTTTTATGAACAACACAATGGCGCTTCGAAATGGAGGCTCATAAGTGAGTTACATCTCCACACTTAAAATTAAAAATAAGCAATGCCTTCGATGGGCATTTTCTTTATTATAAACCTTTGTCTATCTATAATTTGGAATAGACAGCAGGCTTCTTGGTAACAAAAGCTTCAACGGAGCGGGGAATATCTTCGGTACTCAACATAGCGGCATTCCATGTTACTGTGTATTCAAGTCCTTCGGCCACCGAGTGATCGCGAGAATAGTTGAGCAAGTTCCTAGTAACATACCGTTGCTCAATCAGCACATGGACAAACAATAGCTTACACTTCCCAGGTTAAAACTTACTTTGTTCCAACCACAGCTACGGGAGACTTGGATGCAATCAACTTGGCAGTCTTGATAGCCTCAGCTTCAAAAATACACAAGATCAGAATAGGCCATCATTTCTATCTTTCTTTTATAATGTACTCACCAACGACCTCCTCTTGACTTCCCAAAACTTTGTTGATGAGCCCGCATTGCAAAGCTTCCTCGGCATAGAGGCTAGCACACAAAACATTTAGACATCGCCATTGGTATTTGTGAAGATATACTCATCCAATCACTTACTTTCTTCCTGTGAAACACAATTCCCGCACCAAACTGTTGTTGCCAATGACCTTGGGTAGACGTTGCAAAGTACCAACATCCGCAGCTAAGCCAACATCAACTTCCTGCAAAGTATCATGGAGTCTGTTATTTAACATGACTAGACTCCGTCCTCAGACATGTGATTTTAAACCTACCTTTACACAGAAAAAGGAATCCTTTGTGGCATAGCGGATATCACAAGCAGTAATCATGTCAACACCAGCACCAAAGCAACCATTGTGAACAGCTGCAATGACAGGCTTGTCGCATTGCTCAATGGCTGTGAAAGCAGCTTGGAAATCCTAAAGATACGACTGTAAGCTCAAACTACACAGCTTTCGCAAGCAAATAATGAATACAATGAATACCTCAATGTGACGTCTTCGATGGAAAGCAGCTCTTGCGACATCCATTCCATTGTCCATAATGGCAAGACCATTTTCTGACACTGCATGAAGAGAGATCAATAGATTAATTTGAAAGAGCTACGATGTCTACGCACAATGATATGATCTTGATACTGACGGTCCAATCCAGCAGTGAACATTCTTCCGGAGCCGGAGACCACCACCGCTCTGATATCTCTGTCTTCGCGAATTATCTGGAAGATCTTTCTAACCTCCTTGACTTGACTGTGTACAACGATATTAGTATATGGTTAAAAGCGGGGAAGGTACCGACCGAGATACTTGCGTAGGGTTGAAGGCGTTGAGCTTCTTGGGGCGGTTGAGCTGTACATGCAAGACATTGTCTGCGATGAATTCACCCTTGACGGTTTCAAAGTTGGTGTATGCAGACATTAAAAGTTAATGGACAAGGTTGGCATTTGGGATGATTCAGCGGTTTTATTCTTTTCAGCGTGCTACTCCGCATATCCCACGATTTGACCCCACGCGAGAGCTTGTTCATTTCCAAACCGAAAAATCAGACTCAACCCAACGACTGGTTAGAAATATACTCTTTTTGGACTATGGGTTTGCAGAAGAGGTAAACCTTCGCGAGTCTTGCCGCTCTCATTCACTTCTCATAACTGACGCGACGTTTATAGTATCCGTCAACTTCACTACCAAGATCAGAATGACAGTGTGCATGTCAAAGTACAAGAGGTTTGTAGTCAATTACCCGCAGTCGATCCCTGAAGTGTGCAGACATTCTTTAATACTATAATAGCTACTTGACCCTTCATATGGCAGCTATATTTGGCCGTCCTCGCTGGTTCTGGCGGAATACGTTTGGAAGCATCGATTTCAGTTTGCCAATAGCCGTGTAGTCGAGGTAAGCTCGCGGGCTGCACGAAATTTAATATCCCATTTGACAGCAACTCATGTTTCGTTCTCGGTTTAGCTTGGTGCAGGTACTGCACTTCCTTCGCTTATACTTGCGAAATTTTTCTATCAAAAATCGACACAACTCATAGTCACCGACATTGCTCCTATCTTGCCAAATATCATAGCCAATTGTGATTTAAACGGAATACCTCAATTAGGATCAACGCTCTGGGTTCGAGAATTGGCTTGGGGAACGTTTGGCAGCCATGGGATAGATAGTCTATTAAACGACATCGATACGCAGTGGCATGAAAAGATTGACTGGATCCTAGGTAGCGATACCTTTTATGATCCAGCTGGTTAGTAATGTTTTCTCCATCCTCACTTTTCACCACAAGGTACTCAATGTCTTTACCCCTCTACAGACTTTGAAAAGCTTTTGATGACCGTTTCATACATCATACATAGACACAACAAAAATGCTAAATTCATCACAGCTTACCAAGAGAGAAGGTCAGTGAATATGAATGATATTGCAATCAAGTCATCAGAAGACTGATGAGCAGTTTTACATATCCGTAGCTCCAAACGATCGATACAGCTTTTACTGGATAAGTGGTCTTTAACCTGTCGTCTTATCCCGAAAGAATCTTTCGGTTTTGAAGATGCTCGATATATACAAGACGAGGAATCCAGCTCAGATGACGGGTTACCAAATGAAAATGTAGCATCAGTAAAAATCAGATCTGGAGCATTAGCCAGTGTGTTTTTATTGGAAATATCCTCTACTCCGCCTTGACAGTAGCAACAACACACAGTATTGTGAAAGCATCTTCAACGGAACAATACCTTGATAGACCCAAAAACGTTCGTAAGCGAGACTCTTACACGGTCAGAAAGAGTCGATCATACGGAATGCAAGTAATTCCTCCTAATTATTGCCGATATAAGTTCGCTCACGACTTTGTTTGCAATGGTATCTCATGCGAAGCCTAGTTACTATTCACAATTAGCAACAATACCCATGTACTATATTATTTACCCTATTTGCTTGGCATTATCAAATTTAGTAAATTTAGTAAATTTAGTAAATGATGCATCCTTCATGAAGAATAAAAGTACAGTTAGCTATTTTTTTTGTAAAAACAGTTCATTGGTCCTAAAAGTGCATATAGCTCATGCTTCATTGTCGCCGTCGCTCGGTAGCCGCTTATAGTATTCTGAAGAAGTTGCTTGCTGTTTTTTAGCAGCGTGACATGACCATCCTTGGAATAATTTATAGAATGTCGACTGGTCAGCCAGTTTTTCGAGCTCTTTGGTATACATGTGCATAGCTAAATCAGCCCAAGCTCTCAAATCAGCGTCACCCAATCCATAATGTTCAACCTGTTCCAGCGCAATTAGCGAACCTTGGGTCACAAACCATGGATTCTATAAAAATTCAGTACTTACCAAATGGGTTATCCATAGCCCATATCTCAAGGCAAGTTGCAGTTGTTTCTGAATATTTTCATCCTCCACATCAGAGTCCTTGCAGATTTTCAATACATCTTCTATGAAAGCCGGCTCAGTCTTGTACTCCAGAACCTTTTTAGCAGCAGCCAGATATGCGCAATATCGCAAATGGCACCACAGAGATTCGTGTCCGGGGTATCGCTTTAGCTGTTCTCTCAGCCAGCTAAGATGAACTTTGATATGTAATGTTCCTAAGGATAAACGTAGGCAACGTTGCAGATGCTGAAGTCCAGAGTGATCGCTGATGTGCGATGCGACCCACTGTCGCGACCTTTCGTATTCTTCATGGCGTTTAATATGAGGGATCCGTGTTAAGAGCCAAGATCGGTATGTCCAGGCATAGTAGTTTCTGGGATATAGTGTGGCCGTTCGCTCGCATAGACTAAATTCTCGATCGAAATCCAGGGCCTGGCCCTTCTCCTTTATCAAGTAATTCTGTATCCATTTCCTTTTTTTTTGGTAGTATTCTTTGTTAAATTTAGTCTGACATATCAACTGCCAGCGACGTAGTGAAAGTAATCACCTGTGATGCCATGCTATAGAACTTTTTGAGTGCTTTGGGATAGTGAACATGAGATCTACGAGAGCCAATTCCTTCTGAGCATCCACTATGTTGCTTTGGACAAGGGATTTTCTAATTTGATGCTATTAGTAGCTTGCTGTGGAACACCATTCGCCATTACGTGACTTGACTCACCTCGTGTTGGCTGCGGAATAATGATCTGGGTTAACCATGAAAAGTACCTTCGAAGATAGCTCGAGGTCTTCGAGATTTTTTTGATCCTTCTGCTGCCGATGCTTCATAAACTCAGAGCTAGAGTAGGCTATAATATGGTGAACAACTGGGAGGGGTATACCGAGATTGTTCTCAAGGAAGATAAATGGGTAGTATTCGTTTGTCGATCTCTCCGCTTCATCGGGGATTGCTGGAAGGATTCCAAGTTCATTTCTGGCAGAGGAAGATAAATATAAAGACGTAAATCAAATAGAAAGAGACATAAGAACAGAGATGTACAGGCTATGATTGCTTATAATGGAGCATAATGTGTTGTATAATTCTTCGCGGTCCGTGGTCATGATCGAGTTGCAGTGAAAGCCCAGTCACGACCGAAGGTTTGTCCTTTGCACTTTGAATCACTCAGCATGTCAAACGACCTTTCATCGTCGTCGTCGTATGACATACCCTCCATGATCCCTGCGTCTCTTTTGTCCTCTTCCTCCTTAAAAGGTCGATTTTCCAGCATTGACACACGATCGCCTGCGCACTGTAAGCCTATTCACTTTTTTTCAACGAAGCACCGTTTGTGCTTTAAGGTTCACAATATTGAAAACTTATGGCTCCTTTTCATTTATTCAGCATTCGCCAACCCTACGCCAAGTCATAATGAGACGGAATACGAGCGTTACCATATCCCGGCGGACAAGAGATATGAGCAGCCACAAACACAACATGATGGATACCATCAAACGAATTCAGTCCAAAAAACCAATTACAAAAATCAGCCAGTGCCATATAAAGACAAAAATCGCAGTAAATCTCTCCAGATGACTGTGCGACCAATAAGGGACGACGAAGACAATAGTTCTAGCGACGAAGATGATGACAGCGACGACGAGAACCTCGATGATAGTGAAGATGAGCTTCCTATGAGTTTTGAGTACATGCTGCGGCACCCACTTAAATCGCAAGGTCAAGTTCATGACATGATACACAAGGTAATGATCCCCCTTTGCGATGGTGTTGAAAAGCTTAGACTTTATTAATATATGACTTTGTTTAGCTTGAAAGGTTGCGCGGCCGATACGAGCAATACAATCGAAAAGCATCGAATGCCGCCAAAAATATTCAAAAGACATGCAGAACTTTAGAGAAAACCATGCGAGTCATGGCAGAACATTTCTTTTCTGATAGTCCTGATCCAAGATCTCGCGCAAAACCATCAGCGATCAAAGGAGAATCATCAGAAAATGAATCCGGTAGATTACTTCAAGAACCTACAAACTCCAAGCGTAAACACAGCAGTATATCCATTCATCAGCCATCGATCAATGAACAATCCAAACGTCCCAAGGTACGTAACTTGTTTGAATGGACTGTTCAAATACCTTGATACTAAAACTTATTCACAGGAAATCCCTCCTTCGACACCAGTGGCTGTTACTATTGATAATGTCAAACTTGCGTCTTCTGACAAACTGGATTTACTTTTCCAAATTGATCAAAAGAAAGCTAAAGTGACATATATGCGGAAGCCTCGCAGTTTGATATACAACACTGCACCTCAGGCGAAACACCTCAACCACCTGATGGTTTCATCTTGCTTAGGCGGTAGCGTCTACTTGTGGAATAGTAAAAAACGTACCATAGTGAATACTATCGACAAATCTCGATTGAATATCGAAACATGGGCAGAGGATTTATGCTGGGTAACTCCTGATACTCTTGCCGTCCCGGTTGCTCACAAAGATGGAATTCATCATTCACAGTCACAAATGCTCTTGATGAATCTGAAGGATGATATAGAGGTACAATTGGGATATATGTATTACTATTCATTAAATGACTGGCTAACAGACTTTTCCTTCAACAAGTATAATACTGATGTACAGTCACTTGCACCGAGGCCACATCTGAAAGGTGTAACGGCCATTGGAAGTATAAAGTACAGTGAGGACAGTGATGGACAAGTGTCCTCAATGTTCGTGACTGGAGGAAATGATCACGGTTTGGTAAGATGTTCATGGAAGAAAAACTATAAGTCGACCCAACCAACCCAAGAACTAACTACCATGCACTGAAATAGATGCTTTGGGAAATCAACAAAGCTTCCGCCGCCAGTCAATACCAACATCCAAGCGTTACCCCTATTAATAGCAGACATACTTCAAAGGTCTTATCACTCCATTACCATGATTTATCGCAGACTTTGTATTCTGGCGGAGCCGATTGCAAACTGACATGGTATAACCTTGCATTGGGTAATTCTGGTAGCGAATTTAAGATCGGCGAACGCGTACGTCGTCCATTTCCAATAAGAAACTATCACATTTGTCATGACTGAACTCAATCATTCCTTTTTGATTAGATTAATCATATACTTAGCAATCCGGTCAACCCCCACTTACTAATGTTATGGTAAGTAACGCTGATATTACATGTTTCGAACGGTGGCAAAATTTTGGCAGTTGATGAACCGTCCCACTTAGCATGGCGACAAGAACAAATCAATTCCGCTTATACGATCTACGCGTTCCCCAAGACAGCGGACTGGACCTGATGTTTGGGTGCACGGAGCCGGATAATGTGTCGAGATATCTGCGACCAGACTGGAAGCCCGATAGCTGGACGGTAGCGAGCGGCAACATGCAGGATCATAAAATCCATATATGGTATGTGATATGTCTACAAAAAATTTCTCATTGTTGAGCTAGCTGGCTGGGTCTTACATACTGCTTTTGTGTGGCGCATTAGGGACCTCCGATACAAAGATGTCGCCAAAGGCGGGCCTTCTTACAGCTGGGACGGACACAGTAAGTGGAACTGGGAGTCAACGTAGGTCCATTTCGATACACTATCTAACCATTCCACTGTGTAGGCAATAAAGTACTGCGGACTCTCTTCATCCCCGGAAATACCATGGTCAGTATCGGAACCGATAAGAACACAGTGTTTACCGACTATCAACTGCAGAGCAACGGAAAGGTTTCTACACGGAAATAAGATGAAGCGTAACACATAAAAGAACTGTAAATGACAACTCAATCGTTAGAACGACATATACGTTCCTCACACCATTAATTGCAATTTTAGGATAGATGTACTGTAGTGCACAAATACAAAGAATTTGGTTATGAAGCAGTCGATTTCCCGTAGATACTTTCTGTGCGGTTTTAATGCTATGTTTTCTTTACATTTTGGAGTGGAAAAGAAAAAGGAACAAGACTGTATGTCGAAACGCAACGATGTGAATGATTTGGTCATTGCAAAGGGAGGGAGGATTTTTTAGGGTAGACAGAGGGGGTTTTTGTTTTTGTTTTTTAAGCAGTGTTGGGAAATGGAGGAAGAAATAAACAGAAACAGAACGAGTGTTATCAGAATACACTGTGCGATGGCGAGGAAGAAGAGTGGGTTATTTCGACAATATATGGTTGACATAAAGAACATGACAAAAGGGAGGGGGGGTAGAGGGAAGTATTAATTTTTTATGATTTTTGTTTTGTTGTATTTTTTTTTTTGGGGGTGTTGTTGTTGGTTGGGATGGGAGATGTTCCTTCCTCAATGAAAAAAAAAAGAGTTTATCGTGGAGAGGGAATATAGGAGAGTGGAGACAAGGCTTTTTAGTTGGCGTCCAATTCATCTTCCTGAGCAGCCTTGAGTCGTCGTTCTTTCTCAGACTCAAGTTGTGCGTAGAGGAGGTACAATGCACGTTCGTTGGCTTGAGCAGTGCCTTGAATGGTGAACATGCGCTCGCCGGCTTCATTGTGTGGTAACTTGGCAATGCTGATACGTGAACCAGACAGTCTACGGATCTCTGAAATTTTGGATCCACCCTTGCCAATGATGCAACCGACCATATCGCTTGGGATAGCAATGTTTTGAGTTCTCAAGTTGGGATCGTTGACCAAAGTCTGTGATGAAGTTGACAAACGTCGCTCAGATGAACCACCGGAAGGATTGCTGAAGTCGGATCCGTTTCCAGTACGAGTAATGGATGAACGTCGACCGTCACCGTTGCTGAATTGAGTCGCCTTGGTGGGGTTGTAAAGGACGGTTCCAAACGCACGTTCCTTGTCGTCTACCAAGCACTGACCAATTTCGGTCAAAGCGATTTGTAATGCTTCAACAGTACCTTTCACCTCGACCACACGCTCAGTTGACTGAGGCAACATCTCCTTGGATGCAATCATGCGCGCTCCGGACATGTCTTGAATGTGCTTGATCTTGACTCCTTGACGGCCAATGACAGTTCCCATCAGATTATGCGAGATCAACAAACGGATCGAGGCTACACCTCCTTGCTTCACCTCGGTAGGTGAGGCTGGAGGGCTGGAGAGTGGGTTATCGAGAAGTGTTTGGGCAATCAGGGCGTAAGCCTAACATTGAATAGTGGTCAGGACACATTGACTGAAACGAACGGGCGGGTTATTCTGTTTGTAAACTCACCTTGGCAACGCTGTTGAGAGAACCGACAACAGTCAAGACTCGATCATGGACGCCTTGGACAACTTTGGATACGCCAGCCTTGACACCTGTTGCGTCCCTGAGCTCAGCAACATTTTTGCCATCTATTAAGCGTTTCATCAAGTCAATATAGAAGTTCGACTATTTTAACTTCAAATCATTTTTACATACTTTTACCAATGATAACACCGGCTTCCTTGGTGGAAACCAGGGCTCTCAAAGTGAGAAGGTCCGAATCCTGCTGTTGGTTTTGCAGGGTGGGAGAGGGGTATTGTTCTTGGTCAGGAGAGGGAATGTCGGACATGAGGAAGAAGGAGGATGGGACACGCGGGTAAGATTGGGAGGGTGACGATGGGGGAAGAGACGCGCTCGGGTTGGAAGCTGAATAAAGTCAAAGCAAAGCAAACACACAGAAGATAATTTTTTGCAGGAAAATTTTTGTTGCTTCTGAAGCGAAAGCCTTTCAGTGACTGCGCTCATCGATCTCTGCCTTTTGTCAGTCCAATCAAAAGCACTCAAATTTTCCCAAGTAAAGTTTAGAGAGAGAGCTACCAATAATAAGTGTAATGATTTTTGATTTCGTAAGACTAAAAAGAAAAGAGACTGTATATACAGGATTTACACTGAGGAGGTGATAACGACGGCTGATACAAAAGCTATCGATACATAAAATAATGTGTACTAAGTGGTATGAATTTTTTGAAAGAGTGCATGTCTGGCCCAATTTTTTTTCTTTGCTTGTCTATGATTGGTACCTTTCAAGATTTATCGCCCACCACTGCCAAATCCCTGTGTAGATGATCAATTAGCCAGATAGTTCACTTTACTCTGTAGGGTTAAAGAATCCATAATTCTTACCCGACATGCTCGACAAAACGGTATCCACTCTGCGCGGTCACCTTCTAGAACGGTGGCGCTAGAATCCATTTGCTTCTTGCATCCTCCACAGGTAAGACATTTCTTATGCCATCGACTAGCTCGAGGTCCAGGTGTTTCCTCTAGAAAACCTACGCTTTTACTGCATCTTGGACATGTCTTTGTACCGCCAAGCTGAGGAAGAGCTTTTGTGCGCTTTGCAAAAATTTTGGAGGTCGCATCAATATCTTCTATGGGACTAACTGGTGCTGTCTGAATTCTGTTGGTTCGGTTTTGAGTACATGGCTCACAGAATGCCTCGCCCTTAATTTCGTAGAAGGGTCGACCGGGATCCAACACATGAACACAAGACGTGCAAGTAAAACATTCCGGATGATATGCTTTGCCGTTATTCTTGAAGAACTTTCCGCTTATTCCCTTGAAGCATTGAACGCATCGAACACCACCTACAGCCGGCAATCGACACTATTGATAATCAAATTAGTACCTAAAATTTTTTAGAATTACTCGTTACATGGTTATGAGAACTCACCTGTGGATGATAAATGGCATCTCCATCAGCTATGTAATCCGATTCTGTGAAAATGTCTTTGCATCCAGCACAACGAAGACACGATTGATGGAAAATCTCAAATCCGTCTGCTTTAGGCAACCGGATTGTAATGCCGTTGGCAATATCATGACATTCGTGACAGCGCTGCACTTTATCAGCGAAGTAAGTAGACTGTCGGCGTTGACGCTGAAGGCTAGGGGGAGGAACTTTCTTCTCTCCCGAATCCTGATGACCATGAAGAATATCCTGTGCTAGAGAAGGCATCGAATTGGTTCGTTGCCGGTTGTAACGCGATGGCTTGTCACCTCCCAATGGCTGATAAGAGACGTTGCTAACAACACTATCGATGGATCGAACCGAGCCTGAAGAAGCCTGGGACAATGCAGGGGTTGTAGCACGGGACACGATATCTCGTGGAGATTCATGAATGGGAGAGGTCATGATATTGGAATCGTTCGAGTCAAAGAGTCGAGTGTCGAGACGGGGTCTCATGAACGGTGAGGCATTTGAAGAGGCAAACGAAGATAAAGAAGATATCGAGTCATATCGGCTCAAGGTTGGGGAAGAAGGGGGTACTTGATCAGGTGAGGGCAAATTACGTGCGCTGTGGACGCTAGCTGTCTTGGCATGTTTTTGTCCTTCTTGAGCCATAAGGCAAGGTTCACAGCAAGGTCTTCCAGCTAGATCGACCATAGGTTGATCGCCAAGCGCCTTTCGGCAACCTTGGCAGTTGAAGCAAGCGTGGTGCCAGTATTTACCGTTATGCTCGACGTGAGCGTCTTTGCGGAAAACATTCTTGAAGCATTGTCGACAAGACCCTTTAAGGTAAAGGCGGTTGTAGCAATCAGCGCAGTAATGCTGAGGGGTGGCATCGCCTTCAACGAATGCAAGCGTATCCACATATAGGCGTTTGCTACAGTTAGCGCAGCAACGGCGGGCGGCGAGCGATGGAGAACGAGCACTGTATGACGCTCTTTTAGACACTTGACGGTTAAGTAATGCTGGAGTACTGGTTGTTTTCTGAGGCTTTTCTTCTGGTGATCCGAGGATACTGGAAGCGTACCTGAAAGAATCAGAGTTATCAGCAACTACACTCATAATCTAAAAGAAGAAGCTATCGTGAGCCTTACTGTGACTGCCAGCGGTCAACAACGGAGCCTTGACTTTCAGAGCCAAGACCGTTAGCGATGGAAGCTATTGAATACGAAGGCAAACGAATCAATAAGACGGAGCGATATGAAGTAACACATCATGACGATACTCACCGACAGCGCGGCCGCCACACTTTCGGCACTTTCCTCCAAACGAGATTTCACCACAACGACTGCAATAACCCATGGTGATGAAACGTGCTTTGTGTTTAATGAAGATGAAGAAGAGGTTTTTATATATGAAAGAGGAGAGAAAATGTAAAAGGTTGCAATAACAAACAACTTGAGGTTGTCAGCTTGCCTTATTGGCAGCCGCGAAAACATTGGTCCCGAAAAGGAAATGTAAACGATTAAGCAGTAACTTGGGATGTTCCGCTGCCTGACGAAGGCCCTTGCTCTACAACATCTTGAACGTCTTCACTAGTGTCTCCCTCTGCATCCTCAACCATAGTAGAAAGGAAAAATTCCGCAACCTTTTCATGATTATATGCTTGTGCCTCATAGATGGGAGATCTTCCAGCTTTGTTTTTGATCTAAAGGCCAATCCGGTATAAACTTTCTACAAATCCCGGTTGTTGATCGTCAGTATTGGTATTGCTTACCTTCATATCTGCTCCATAGGAGCTAACCAACAACTGCACGATCTCTAAATGACCATTAAGCGCCGCCCAGTGCAGCGGCGTATTTCCTTGTTCATTTTGACTGTTGATGTACTGTGTGACATTATCGAGACTAGCAAGTTTCTCCACTACATACTTGACGATATCTATTTTCGATCCCAACCGTAAACAAGTTAATCAATCGAACGGTTGTTTTTCCTAGTCCGGCTAGTATGTTGGGAGTATTTCTTACCCAAGTGACCATTGGCGCAGGCCATGTGCAATCCCGTGTTGCCGGTCTCGTCAGCAGCGGCGAAGAATTCTGCAGGAAAGTTGGCATTCTTCAGTTCATCGAATTCACCGTATCGTGCACAGTACAGAATGTCGTCAATGGTATCGGCTGTAGGCTGTGACATGGTAGATCTTTGAATCGAACTTTTTTTTTGCCGAAATGGGCCCTTTAAAAAAATCTGGTGGCTTTGAATTGGACTGCCTGTCAGTGAAGCGGGAACAGTGAAACCGCGGTCATTCGCCTTTACCCCGTCATGGGTCATCTGTAAGTGCTGGTAGTTAAGCCCACAGCTGGTATTATACTATTAATGGAAGCTCATCACCATTTAAAGCATTACAGTAGCAACATGCTCGCTGAACCAGTGGGCTCTCGACTTCTCGGGAAATCTAGAACGAATCTTAAGTAGTATTCGTATTGCCAAAGAACGAGGTGCCACCTTACGTGTAGGCCCTGAACTCGAAATAACGTGAGCGAGACAATCTGTACCAATTCATATTATCAATATGTATTTACGCATTGTCCCTGTTGCAGTGGCTATGGATGCTTTGATCACTTTCTTGAAGGTAAATTATCATTACAGGATACAATTTAAACCCGATTTTTTCGTAAACCATTTATACTTTGCCTTCCCCCACAGGTGATACATATTTGCACTCATGGGAAATGATTGCATCCATTTTGAGCTCTCCTGAAACGGATGATATCTTGCTGGATATCGGCATGTAAGTAATCGATTTAAACGCATGGCGGGAACAACAGCTGCTAACAGTATGACAAATTTCGACGATAAGGCCAGTCATGCACAAGACTGTAAAATACAATTGTCGTATTGTAGTACTCAATCGTAAAATTCTTCTGATCCGCCCCAAGATGTTCCTCGCTAACGATGGAAACTACAGAGAATTGCGTTATTTCACCCCATGGGTGAAGGAAAGGCAAGTAGAGGAGTACTACCTTCCTCGCATGATACAGGAAATCACTGGTCAGAAAACTGTTCCTTTTGGTGATGCTGTCATCAGCGCTAAGGATACTTGTATTGGTTGTGAAACATGCGAAGAGCTATTTACACCACAAAGGTAGGCCCAGTAATTTTATCTTACGATTACTACGCCTCAGACTGACCATGAATGAATGCTATATAGCCCACACATTGGTATGGGTCTGGATGGCGTTGAAATCTTTACAAACTCCAGCGGCAGTCATCACGAACTACGCAAGTTGAACACGAGAATTGACCTCATCAAAGAAGCCACTCAAAAACTTGGCGGTGTATACTTATATGCAAATCAACAAGGTTGTGATGGTGACAGATTGTATTACGATGGCTGCGCCCTGATTGCTGTGAACGGTCAAATTGTAGCTCAAGGATCCCAGTTCTCGTTGCGGGATGTGGTATGTACATGTAGTATTCAACTGAAACGATACTGGGCATAATTTTTATGCCAGCCTATTTTTTCCAATAGGAAGTCGTAACTGCTACCATTGACATTGAAGATGTCAGGGCTTTCCGCGCGCGTACAGCTAGCAGAGGAATTCAAGCCAGCAAGTCTGAGGCTTATACCCGCATTGAAGCCGACATTGCCTTGTCTCAACCAAGCTTGGATGCTGATATTCGTGTTTCTCCAGATGCTCCTCGACCACCCACCTACCACACCCCAGAAGAAGAAATTGCTCTGGGACCAGCATGCTGGATGTGGGATTATCTTCGACGATCTAAGACCGGCGGCTTCTTCTTACCCCTTAGTGGTGGTATTGACAGCTGTGCAACTGCCACTATTGTTGCTTCCATGTGTCGACTTGTAGTGAGTGCAGCCGAAGAAGGTAACCAGCAAGTCATTTTGGACGCCCGTCGTATTGCTAATCAAGGCGAAGACTACATACCAAAGGATCCTAGAGAGTTTGCTCACCATTTGTTCCATACTTGCTATATGGGTACTGAAAACTCCAGCCAGGAGACACGAGACAGAGCTAAAAAGCTTGCAGAGGTCATCGGGAGTTACCATACTGACCTGAACATGGATGCTGTGGTCAGTTCCATTCATACCTTGTTCTCCTATATCACCGGTAAAACGCCAAAGTATAAGGTACATGGTGGATCACAAACCGAGAACTTGGCTCTACAGAATATTCAAGCTCGTCTTCGCATGGTCCTTGCCTATCTATTTGCCCAGCTGCTTCCTTGGTGCCGCGACAAGCCTGGTAGCTTGCTCGTTCTTGGCAGTGCCAATGTGGATGAAAGTTTAAGAGGCTATTTGACAAAGTACGACTGTAGCAGTGCTGATATCAATCCTATTGGCGCCATCAGTAAAACTGATCTCAAGCGATTCATTGCCTATGCTGAGACAGCGTTCGAGATGCCCATTCTGGCTGACTTCTTGAATGCTACTCCTACCGCTGAGCTTGAGCCCATTACTGCTGACTATGTCCAGTCCGATGAGGTAGACATGGGAATGACCTACAACGAACTTTCAATATTTGGACGCTTGCGCAAAGTCAGTCAATGTGGACCTTTCTCCATGTTTTCAAAGCTGGTGCACGAATGGGGCGGTACACTCACTCCCACTGAGGTGGCGGCCAAGGTCAAGCGTTTCTTCTTCTACTACTCCATTAATCGTCACAAGCTCACTACTCTGACGCCATCGTATCATGCTGAAAGTTACAGTCCCGACGATAACCGATTTGATCTACGACCTTTCCTTTACAACGCTGCTTGGACTTGGCAGTTCAAACGTATCGATCGTGCCGCTGAGGCTCTTGAAGCCAATGATAAGAAAAAACAGTAGATGTACATTATTAGCTTCAACAACCCTTTTTTCTCCCCGATGCCTTTTTCGATTGTTTTCTATATTTTTACTTCCTTTATTCTAAATTTACAGATAGTGTTCGATTGGTGAACATTTGGTCAGCAACGCATGCATAGTGTGATAAAAAAGGGAAAAGAAAAACAGTAGTGATTAGCAAGATTGGATGTTGATGGGAAATGCTTGTTATTCTTTTGAGTGTGAAATGCGATAAAAAATGAAATAAACGATGTGGTGTGAATATAATCCTTAGTAAAAGTCGCCACCGCCCTCTATAAGAAAAAATCAATATAAAAGCTTCACAGGAGTGTCAACATCACGCACGTTATTTGTTCCACATACCATCATCATCGTCAACGTCATCTCCTTCGCCGTTATCAAAGTAGTTTTGTCCATAGTCATTATCGTCAATCAGATCCTCTTCATCATCATAGTCCTCTTCCTCCGCGCCAGAACCTTGGCCTTCCTTCTCTTCATCTTCGTCATCGTCATCGCCAGCTTTGGTGCCGTTTTCTGCTTCGTTAGTGAGAGCGTCCAAATCGCGCAATGCATTGGATTGATCGTATGTTTGTTTGCGAGCTTTAACTGTAAAGAATAGAAAATCAGTTAATAAAGTGTTGAGAGCCGCAGCACGTCGTTGGTCATAAACTGTGCAGAGAACAAGATTGAGCCATATACCTTTCTTCTTTGGATCAAGAATACTGTGTAGCTCGTCCGGAAAAAACGAGGTATCTGCACAAGGAAATGAGGGTTACTACATTGTGTCGCCAGCCAACGTGCAGTTCAATCAAGGTCTTACTGGATGAAATGATTTGCAACGACGGCGGTTTGTCAAGATTTGCTTTGTATCGATCTGAATAGCGCTCGATATCTATTGAACGTATTAACAGGTTAGAGAATGAGCCTCATTTTTGAGATGATATCTAATGGGTAGGCTCACCTTTAGGTGGAGGGGGAGGTCTGAGATAGAAAGCACTTGACTTTAGAGCTTGTCGGTATGACTTGGATGCTGCTAATTGTTCTTTTTCTCGAGTTGTAGGAGCTCTTGGGTATGCAATTTCTCGTTCCTATGGTGAGATCATCAGCATTAAGAACGTCGTAATGCATCCCTACGCGCGACTAATATATAAAAAAAAAAGTTATGTCCAAGTATACTTACGGGAAACAGGTCGGTTTGAACATTGAATAAACCACCGGATCCGAGATCGCCCATCAATTCAAATGGCATCATGGCCATCGCAGGGTTACCACCACCACGACCACCACCTCTTCCTCCTCCACGGCCTCCTCGGGACATATTGTAGCTTGAACAAAGAGGGTAAAGGTGTGATTCTGCTTCTATGAAAAGCAGTCTCACTTATATTGTGTGGCTTAGCTTGGCCCGTCTGATACTTTTGGCCACTGGAACGCTTAAGCCCAAAGAAATACCAGGAAATCCAAAAATATAGTTTTATGTCATCGTTTAACTTTTGGTTCATCACATCTATATAACGTATGTAATCAACAGTAAGGTAGCGAGTAAAAAACTGAAGGTGGTTGAGTAGACTACAATCCGCACAAAAGCTTGTCTTGTGGTCTCCATCCGTAATGCTTGTAAAGCGATATCTTCACCGAGTTCCAAATCCGCTGATCCATACGTTGTTTTGCCTTTATTGTTGGCATAATCGTCCGTCGTCTTGTAATCACAGATACTAACGACCGTACTCCCTTCGCTTTCGTTGCTCGTGGAAGTCATTGTGCTTCCACGTTCTCGTAGTTTGGTCAATGTCGTGGGTATATGCGCCTTGGTCGTCTTCAAATCGGCTGTTTCTTGTACGTTTTTAGCCTAAAGATATGATAGCAACTGAGCGCCAATCCATTTCGGGAGAACTTCACGGCCACACTTTTTTTTTTTT